ATGTCAGCTCGTAGTGTTGTGCTTCTGTGCCCACAGTAGAAATATGATGGGAAAATATTGCAAGAATGGTTATAAGCAAGACGAATCCTCTCTAGCCCATTTGCTTGCTATTAGTTAAATCATCCAAGCATCTCAGCCAGGTGTTTCTTGGAAGAAGCCAGGGTATCAGCTTCAAAAACAGGGCTGTGTAGTGTTTTCCACTGAGTTGACTTTTTCAGTAACTTTGAGGATTTTGAATACTTGGTTCAGGTCTTTTCTGCTCATGGCTAAAAAGGTTGAGCACTTTAAACCAGTCAGAGTAGGACATTCCTACATTGTACAATTTTTACAACATCTTTTCGATTGAACTTCTCAACTTTTAACTATACTGTATATCCTACAATTTGGTTTTCCTTTTTATTGCTTCCCCACAGCATCTAAAAATAATATGCTGTCAGCGGGTTATTGGACTGTTTTGAGAAGCCTTAGGTAGTGAAAGGAAAATAAAGTACAGCGCTTGTCTCTGCGTTAGTCTAATTCTTTAAGACCTTTTTTTCAGCAGGTGTGATTTCTCTTGTTCTTCCTTTTTCTACACATTGTGAAAACATCTTGGTTTTCCGAGAGGTTTTCAGTGCATGCTGCCCGAACAGGCCTGAAGTAAAAAAAAAGCACCACTCGCAGCCCCAGACATCAGACCCAGTGCGTTCGGCCCCCGAGTCACAAGACCTGGTATCACAAGGAGGATTATTGCTTGTTATTCCACCTTCCCCATCACTTGTTCAAGAGCCAGCTGAGGGAGGTTCCTAGGCCTTCCGTCAGATGTGAACAGAGCAACGTGGAGATCAGCGTCTCGACTGACACGCGGAAAGATTTTTCTTTCAATTTTTTCCTCAGTTCCTCCTTTAATTCTGATGCTCTTTCGAACTGTGGTGGGGATCCCTGTTGTTTCAGTGCCTTAAGTGATCATCAGATATGTCAGGTCTCTCTGGTAGATTGCTACCAGATTTCTTTGCCCTTTACCATCTCTGATCTTCCAGACACTTGGATTGGAATGTTAATAAATGTGCACCTTGCTAAATGACACTGCTTCAACAGCTGAGACAAGCATTAGACTGACAGCTTGTCATTCAAGTCCTTATTTGCTTTGTATCGGTATCCTGGGGTTGTTTTGTCCTTCTTATCCTTCTTTGAATAGCCTAAATGAATAATTTCCTAATTATTCTGCATCCCAGGAATCCTACTTTTATCTGCACCATTATCTTTTTAGAAAACATACTATTGCTTTTGAATTGAACCCTTTCCTGAGTGAAATACTGCACTTGTTCTCCTGCTGTTAGTCGGTGAGTGACACAATCACATGGGCACAAGCTGAAGGGAACACAGGTTCAGCACTATGGAGCTACACCAAGGCCAGGACTGTACAGGTAATAGAAAAGAACGCTTCCCAGCCTCCAGCTCTGAATCGTCTTAAGCCTGCTCTTGAATGTCACTTTCAAGGTTTTTACAGACTGGTAGTAGATTCTGCAGAATCTCTCAAGGCTTCAAAGAAATATTATGTTGTAACAGAAAAGCAAATGCACTATGTGGAATTAGTAGGTTATAACTCCTGTTGAGACACTGTGCTCACGCAGTGCCTTACATCCCTGTGAGCTATTTTTACAAATTGGGTTCTAGCTCCTTTTTCACTGTTGCTAGGATCCTCAGTAATGAGGCAACAATCCCTTGTGTAATCTACAAGTTAAACACTGCATACATGTTTAACAGGTAAAATACCCATTCAGGGATGAGCAGACATGGAAGGAGACACAGCATCTTTCTTGATAGAGCATGGCTATTTGAAAAAAAGGTGATGGCATTTTTCATCTTATTTATTATTTATGGTGCTTTTAAGATCCCAGATTTTTCTCTTTGAGATACGATGCTTGCACAGTGATGCAGCTGGTGATTTCAGCTTCTATTTCAAGATGTTTCCATCAGTGGGAACAATATGTTTTTTGTTTGTAAACTTACATATGTCTCATGACTGAACAAGTTAACTTCATATAAACTAGTGACTGGTCTGGTGATTTCTACCATCATGACCTCATGAAGTGTAGATGATGACACTATATTTATGTGTACCGGGCATCTGTGCCAGTTTAATTGCTTTTATTGACTTGTCATCCCCACACAGATTCTCAGGCAATCCATTTGTTACCTCTGATGCCAAAGCAGTAATTTGATTTTCCCAGAATCCATTTAGCCTACCCATATGTCTTTGGATTGAGGGTAGAAACTGGAACACCTGGCAAAAACCCATGCAAACATACACAGATAGCACCACAGGAAATGAACCCAGGGCCCCAGCACAGTCAGACAGAAATGCTAACCACTGTTAGTCAGATCTTGTTAAAATAAATTTTCCTCAGTTCTTTCTGGGTGTGGCAAAGTATGGTCTATACAGTTGTACTATGTAAGAAGCTAGAGTAGCAACTGCTCTGCTGAAGAGTACAGTCCCTTAATTCATCTGTGCCTGAGCTTTCCCCTGCTCGATGATTTATTCCTCTTGGGATTACTCAATGACTATAACGCTGTATTTCTGGAAAATCTATTTTTGTCTATTTGCATTATTGAAGTTCATCCTGAATTTCCCGCAAGAGAGACCTTTTGGTACATTTCAAGCATTTTATCTTGGATTTTATCAGCTTTGTCTGGGGGACACATTAGAAGGTTATAGGCAGAAAACATTTAAGATTGTCATATTCAGATGAATTTCAGTATGTGGTGAAAAATCCAGTCATATGTTTTGTACTGTAAAATCTTTAGATTTCTTGCCTGGGATATGTTTTTTGATAGTGAAACAGAACTGAAAGCAAAACAGTATTGGAAGTAAAATACATTTTTATGAAAAAGCTACATTTTTGTGTGGAAAAGGAAAAAAAGAAATCTTGGTTCTCAACAACAAAATGAGTATCCTAGTAGTCATTGAATCCCACAGTAGGTAAATGACAGTATGTTTATGTGCAGTGCATTTAGGGCCGAGTTCCCTCCAGCAGCTGTGCTGAGTTTATACTGTACTTGCTGTAATCTGGTCTCTCTTGCTTTCTGTTTAAGACACTCAGGTATGCTGCGTCTTCATTTACTGATAGCATGTTTCAGTTCTGTGCTAGGTTGAGTACATTCCTGAACTGATTTCAAAGTGTTATGGGTTAATACTGATAACAGATTGCCTGCTTATTTTGCCCTTAAAAGAAAATATTTTCTTTCTTTCCTGTTTTACAGATTCTTTGTAGTTTTGGTTATGAGATAAACAATGAACTGTTGTTGAGATTTTAAATATTAAAAAGGCAATTACATTTTTTTAAAGGGCAATTTTGATGGCAATACATGCAACATATTAGCATTGTAAATAGTTTCTTGTTTAATACTTTGGAGGAGCAAGTAAAGGTTATTTCCATCTTAAAGAGTTGAAAGAAATGAAAAACAATGTTTTGGCTGTTGAGGGAAAGTACCAGAGATATAATGCACAGGTAAACAAAATACAGACCAACTGAGAAAGTGTGTCCAGATGACAGGAGATCTGGGGAGAGGTGTGAAAAATGTTAATCATTAAAGGAATGGAGATGGTTTAAAAATAAATGAGTCCATTACTGAGACAAGGCGAAAGGTGTGACCCATGTTTAAAGATTATCTTGGCTTTGAAATGCCTTTCATGGAATCCATGTAAAAGGACACAGCTGGAAATCATGACTGGGGGAGTTGACATGGGGCACTGAACTGTTGAATATGTTGCTCAGTAGATTGGTCTGACTAGAAACAGAAAGCAAACTTGCCTACATTTGAAAAGCAACAGGAGGGAAAAGCGCAATTTACGATGTGCACACGGCTTCATTTTCCCTTTGACTGCCGGTCTCCTCTGAATGTGATGACTGTGTGTGTGGGTATTGCAGCTCTTTTTCCATGCCCATGACATTCTCTGTGTGTGTGTTCGGAGAGCCAGCAGAGAGCAGCGCCTTTCCAAACCCAATTATGCCCTTGATGTGGCTCAAGCAGTCATCATGCAGGATGACCAAATGGCTGTTTCTTGACCTCCCCCTGATCCTCACTGTACCCCCCAGGGACCAGCTGACTGACTGGATCAGCTTCTGTCACAGAGAGCTTCCAGTCTATAGAAAACAGTCATTTTGAAAAACACACAAAGAGGCTCTATTCTTTCTTCTGAAACATGGCTGCCAGGAAGTCACAAAATGCAGTTTTTATCATGGATGTGGGCTTCATTAGACATGGCCTGTGATAACGTTTTCCATGTTTGACTAATACTTTCTTAAATCATCCTCAGGAGACAGTGGAAAGTGTTTGTTATATAACTAAACTTTTAAACCATTTGGAGAAACGTTTTATATACATGTATATGAGACTCCAAATATGTTTAACTTGTGAACTGAAACCTTTTTTTTTAACACGAGGGCAATTTATGTAAGAGAAAAAAATATTTTTTTTTGCAAGCTGCAAAAATAATTAAGTAAAGACACAAATCTCCATATGCTCAGGATTTCCAGTGTGAGAGATTTTCACAGCTCTGGGAGGTCTTACATGTCCTCTGGCAGTGGTTTGTCAGGTGGGGTGTCTGGAAGCAGACACCTTTCTTTGAAGTAGGATGAAGGGAACCAACTGTGACCTACGCCTTGATCAGCTCTCTGTTCACTGGCCATACCTTCCCAACAAAACACGTTTTAAAACTCAGTAATGAACCGAATCCAAAAATATATTCTTATTCAGTATTTCTATTCATAAGCACATTTTATTGTGTTTCACTTTAATGGGCTCTGTAAGTTATTGGTATTAATTTGTCTGTCCCGGACAGCAGCTGTGCAAATTCCATTTAATTTCTATTAATTCCTTTTGCTGCAATCTGGCACTGCACTGAAACGTTGTTCATTTGCTCAGTGTTCTTCGGTGACTACTTCATCATTTCTTCATCTTCTTTCCCTTCTTGTGTGCTTGGATGACAATTGTAACCAAGGGGTCTGTGTGTTTTGCAGTATGCCCGGGTTTGGATACCTGATGCAGAGGATGTGTGGAAATCGGCAGAACTCCTCAAAGACTACAAGCAGGGAGACACAGTGCTTCATCTCCAGTTAGAGGATGGCACGGTAAGACGCTGGGAAAAACAGTGCGATAGAGATAGAGAAAGTCCTGAATATTTAGCATGCAAATGAGTTGTAACTTAATTTCTTCGAGAAACCATAGAAAAAGAAGAACAAACCCCCATTCATGGTTTCATTATTAATAGATTCCATCTGCTTTTGTTCTTGTTTCACTTTCCCCTACAAGGTGAACCTTTAAGATACAGTAGCTGCAGAGCTGTGGCTGGTAAGACATGCTCTCCACTCAGAACACACGGGCCTCACTACCTTACTGTCAGTTTTCAAGCTTTCATGAGGCGCTCGGTCTTGACAAACTAGACTAACTAGACTTTCACTCCCATGATTAACCTAACTGCAGAGAAGAACTAAAAAATAATTTTGGGTCCATAAAACTTGAGTTGTGGCATTTGAAATGACAGGGATTTCTTTCCTTTTTTCTTTTTTTTCATGCTTCAGAGAAGTACAGTATTAGTGAAATCATTCTGTAGTTGTATGACAATATGTGAACTGTGAGGGGAGCAGCTTATAAAGTTTCTGTATGGTTAGGTTAATTATAGATACGTTATTTGTCAAGGTGGGGTTTAGGTGTGTTATCACACTCTTTCACATTTGAGATACTTTAAAACAGTTTATTCATTAGAATTCAAAAAAAACTTTTGACATAAGTGCTACTTAATTGGGTAATGCGATTGAATCTTTGCTTACAATTTACTACATTGTTCATGAGAACCACCATTATTGCACACAGATAGAGGTCCAAATTAAATCTGCTACAGCAAAGTGTTTGAATACTTATGCAATAATCATGACCTTTCTGTTTTTCTTTTATATTGATTAACAATTTACTTCATTTTGTTTTTACTTTTGAACGTGTGGTATAGGTTATGTATATTACAGATATTAATTATTACTTCATAAAGTCATGACTGTAAGGTTTACCGCATCTCAATATACTACATGAGCAAGGGTTTGAATACTTTTGCAAGGCAGTATGTTTGTACTGGGCACAGTGGCACAGTGGTTAGCACTGCAGCCTCATAGCACTAGGGCCCTGGGTGCAGTTCTGGACCCGGGAAGCTATTTGTGTGGAGTTTGTATGTTCATGTGGGTTTCCTTCGGGTTCTCCAGTTCCCTCTCTCAGCCCAAACACACATAGGTAGGTAATGGCTTCTATGAAAATTGGCCCTGGGATGAGTGTGTGCGTTTGTGTCTGTGTGCGCCCTGTGATGAACTGGCGTCCTGTCCTGGGGTCTATCCTGCCTTGTGCCCGTCAGTGCCGCATTTCCCATTAGGGACTGTAGGCACAGTGCCCAGGGCCAACGAAATGTTTAGGTCCTATGAAGGAGGGCAACACTAGTGACTAATGAAAAACGAGCTGAAACAACATGCTTGCGATCGACTCTAGTTGCTCCAAATCAATATCAGACTCTATCTAGTGGCTGTTCGAGAAACTAGAAGTACTGAAGTGATGGTCGCTCAACTCGCTCCATCAATCTCTTGGTTTAGCATTAGAATAGTTTAAAGTGCATCATGTCAATTGACACAATTCAGTTGGTGTTTACCCCTCTTTTTGCAAATTTCAGAGTGAAAGTGCCTAGGGTCTATGAACACCAAAATCCGGCCCTGGTGCCCATTCCTTGCTGGGATAGGCCTGCAAATCTGAATTGCATGAACTGCACAAATTACATTTATGTGACCGTGTGGTGTGTCATTAAAAGGCCATGTGTGCTTGGTACTCATGAGGTCTGCTTTCCTGATCAGACTGCGTGATCTGCTCTGGAATGACAATGACCTAGGGGTAGCAGAGCGGTTCAGGAAATGCACTAATCCATTGCTTTTAAGATAGAGGCTCTATTCATCAGCTGCTGTAGATCTGCATGCAGCACAGTAAATGAACTGAGCTGCACTACACTATCTCTTTAGAAACAGTGCTTTTACATGCCAGTTTCTGAAATCAAACGTTTAGCTGTATTGTAATTGACCACCAAATATTGTATATCCTAGCACTTCTCATTAATTCATAAAAGCTTTGAATAAGATATCCACTCTTCATTTAGAACATTTTGTCATAGACTTGAACTTGAGTCAGTTCTTTAGTTTATGGCTAATTCACTAATTCACAGTCTCTTCACTAATTAATAACACTAATTACTAATTCTCTTCATGCCATGAAACACAGAACAAAATGAATTGTCACAAATGTAATTTGAAATTGTGTATCTTTAATCTTCAAATCTTTGAGCCGTATAGACTTACCTAAAAATTCTAGCAATAAAAAAACAGGACAGTATGGAGAACCTGACTGTTTGTCTTTGTCAAACTATCATTGTTTGCCTTTACACTTTGTAGAAAGGATAAGGTAAGAACTAATCCAGATTTTGAACTGTTACTTTTTTTCACACCCAGGCACATACACCTCTAATGAGAAATCACACTGTTTTTGTTCCAGGAAAATATTTCACTACTATCTCACCTGTCACATAATTTTTTCTGTTTTATCTTTACATTTTCCTCTATTGGTTTCATCAGCCCTTGACTCCATTCCCTGTTGTGTGTGCTATGGATTTTGCTGTCAGTAGTTAACATGCTCACATCTGGTACAAATGCTATAAAGGTGCATGTACTGATCCAGATCTTGGCCATCTTCCAGCAAACTCACATTAGTGGGGCAGACTGTGTGCCAGCCCACCTTCTCACTGGCTAGCAGCAGGAAGTGATGATCCAATGACATCACAGAAAAGGAGGAGCTTCTGTTCTGTTTTTCACCCAATTTGTGCTGCAATCAGTTACAGCATTTGTGCTGTAGCTGTAGTTTAATTGTTATCCCCATTAACATATTTAATCAGTTTGTAGGATGTAGAACGCACTTCGCTGCTTCAGTGCAAAGCAATTGTAAAATATTTGACAGACACTAATGATTCCTGTGTGTAGTGACCTACTGTCCCACATACATATCATGTGAATTTTTCATAGGTCTTTTCAACCTTAATGTGTTTTTTCTTGCTAGGAAATTGAACACAAATTAGACCCAAAAACGAGGAACTTGCCCCATCTTAGAAACCCCGACATCCTAGTGGGGGAGAATGACCTCACTGCTCTCAGTTACCTCCACGAGCCGGCTGTCCTGCACAACCTCAAAGTGCGCTTCATTGACTCCAAGCTCATCTACACATATTGTGGTAAGTGGCTTTTCCGTTAGCTTGTGGTTTTGATTGCGTTGATGCTCTCGAAACAAAAGGAACAAATTGGTCATCACTGATCTATTTTTTTACTAATACCAATATACAGTATATACAAGGTGTACCCAATGTACCCTAAATACCAATAATATAATGTATGTACATATATAATACTTTTTTAACTAATATTAATACTGCACATCACTGTGTCTGTATAAATGTGTGATATTTGGCTGAATTTTACTACAGAAAAAGAATAGTGTATTACTTCTACAGTGATCATGATTTAATAAAGTCTGTTTCAAAGGCATATTTTAATAAATTTCATTAAATGTGCTACTTATGACATTTTCTGCCATTAAGAAAAAAGAAATATTGTGTACAGCTCCCACTGCCTACATAGAACCATAGAACTTCTGACTTTGGTACAGTTAAAGCGTTACAGATGTCATTATCTTCCTTATGAGAGCCTTCAGCTGAGAACATCACTCATTTGTCTCCATGCCTGCAGATGTAAGACAAGACAGAACTGAACAGAATTGAGTCTAATGTTTTAATCGGCATAGTGTAGTTTGTTTTCATTTTTGAGCACAAATTATGTCAGGTTTAGCAAAGTATATTCCTGTGTTTCAGTGTTGCTGGAAGGGTTTATAACCATTTTGACACATTGCAATATATCCATACTAAGGGTTATGCTTATGGATTTATAGTTATAGGTGTTAATTTGGATTGTTGCTTCTACCTTTCCTTTAAATTTCAGGTATTGTCTTAGTGGCCATTAATCCCTATGAAACCCTACCCATCTATGGAACAGACATCATCAATGCCTACAGTGGTCAGAATATGGGGGACATGGACCCCCACATATTTGCAGTGGCCGAGGAAGCTTACAAACAAATGGCCAGGTTAGTAAATCTCAGGAGCCCAATGCCAACGCAAGTCAGCCTTTTGCGATTCTGTAGTAGAGAGATCTGAGTGGATTTCCTTCACAGCTGGCGCTGGGCTGATGAAGTTGAGATCAGACAGGTCTGCTGTTTGACTTTCTTTGCTTTACTCTCATTTCCTCACTCCCGTGTGTCGACCTCACAGCTGTTCTGTCTGTATTGTTCTGACTACGCCAGGACCAGCATGTGCTCTCTGCCGCCAATCAGTTGGTCAGTCCTTACTGATCCAGAGGCCTTTTTCTTAGTGACCTCCACTGGCAGATTCTTCGTGTTGTCTTGGGGAAGAATGGAGCTTAGGTGCAGAGTACAAAAAATTTGTGTCGTTTGATTAGAATTGGGAGTCTGCTCCTTTGGCTCATTGTATTTTGCTTGTGGTCTTGATTGCATTAAAGCCCTAGAAATAAAAGGAAAAAAATCCATCACCATTGATCCAATGAACACACTTACCATTGATGCTGTTAGTGTCAGTATAAAAGGACAAGAATGTGATATTGTCCTCAATATCTCCTAAATAAGTTCTTTTGTTTAAATCTATCTAAATGCATTTGTCAGGAGTCACCAGGATTGTTGTTACCAGTGTGATTGAGATGTCTAACAACAGAGCTTACCTCAGAGAGACAGAGAGATTGAAAGCTCAATACATTAGGTCATTTGTTTTAAGTGCTCTCTATGCACCTCACTATGAGGTTTTTATATCTTGGTCTCATCTTCCTGCCTGTGAAAATAGCTCTGTATTGCGATGATCCAGTTTTCTCTTTTGCTACAGAAAGGACTATAGGTTATTACTTTGTCAGCACAATGTACTGTAGGTGAGCTAAAATTAGTTATTTTTGAATGTAGCATCTCCTTCAGGAATTGGTGAGATCTCTGTTAGCTTGCACAGCTCATCTGGGTGTTAGCTCTGTAAATCAGGCTGCTGTTTAGTCTACAGTTCATTACTCAGGGTGAGCCTGTTTGTCACTATCAAAATAATACCTTTATCTAAGTATGAATTGCATCAAACTGTTGATTTATTAATTTGTCAAAAATGCAGGCTTTCCCCAGATGCACATGTGCACTAATTTATGTACTAATGCACTAATATGTAAATTGTGCTCAAATAAAACTGCTGCATTTGTGAATAATCTACAGTTTCTACAGCACTAAACTAGTGTGACAATACTTTGCCAGCAAATCCAATGTGTGTGATAGTTTCAGCAGTACAAGACCAATGCCAGCAGCCATATCACTCTGCAACTCACAACTAGCAGCCCACTGAAGCTAAGCAGGTGTGAGCCTGGTCAGTACCTGGATGAGAGACCTCCTGGGAAAAACTAAGCTTGCTGCTGGAAGAGGTGTTAGTGGGGCCAGCAGGGGGCGCTCACCCAGCGTTCCATGTGGGTCCTAATGCCCCAGTATAGTGACGGGGACACTATACTGTAAACAAGTGCCGTCCTTCGGATGAGATGTAAAACTGAGGTCCTGACTCTCTGTGGTCATTAAAAATCCCAGGGTGTTTCTCTAAAAGAGTAGGGGTGTAACCCCGGCGCCCTGGCCAACTTTCCCATTGGGCCTTACCAATCATGGCCTTCTAATAATCCCCATCTATGAATTGGCATCATTTGCTCTCCTCCCCCCCTGATAGCTGATGTGTGGTGAGCGTTCTGGCGCACTATGGCTGCCGTCGCTGCACATTGGTGGTGGTGGAGGGGAGTCCCCTTTACCTGTAAAGTGCTTTGAGTGGAGTGTCCAGAAAAGCGCTATATAAGTGTAAGCAATTATTAATATGTTTATTAATGAAGGGTAGTAAATGCATATTTTAGTTTGCATTGTACTGTACTTTCCAATAAAACACTGTGTTCAGTTTCAAAAGTTTCACTTTATGTGCTCAGGCCCCATAAATCCGTAACTAAACGAAGGGATGAAGGATCAAAGCTCAGTCCTTTTTCAGGGATGAGAGGAACCAGTCAATTATTGTGAGTGGGGAATCAGGAGCTGGGAAGACGGTCTCTGCCAAATATGCCATGAGGTACTTTGCTACCGTGAGCGGGTCAGCCAGTGAGGCCAACGTGGAGGAGAAGGTGCTTGCGTCGAACCCGATCATGGAGGTAAGACTCGCGGTGTCTGGCCTTTCTTGGGGCTGCTGTCGTTGCTCTGTGTGTGTTGAAACAAGCCGCCGTTCATCCCACGCAGGACACTACAGTGAAAGATGGGAAATCTCACCGTTTCAGCTGCGCCATCTGATACTGTATGACTTGACAGAAGAAGGCACCACAGCCAAAAGCTTCTTTTTTTTTTCCTCTAAACATAGAAGTTAACTTCTACTGGCTCCCGTGCTGCTTGGGAAAGAAGTGGTTTTCAGTCGAATCATGGAAACTCATTACAAATGTCTGAAACAATTTGCCTGTTCTGAAATTTAAAATCGCAAATGCTGTAAAAGATGTTTAAGGTCCTTATTCACCTACTAAATGTGTCTGGGAAACTCTCTGTGGCAAACAAGACATTTGATTGAGATGTTCAGAATAGGAATGGATATTAGTGACCTTTATAGTTCATGAACTGTTTAAACTTAAAAAGCAAACATTGGCAGTGGTCACTTTTCCCTTCCAAATCGCCAATCTCTATAAGGTCATTGTACTGGAAGACGGCTGTTGTGACAGTAAAGACTTTGTGTTGTCTAAGCCTGAGAACAGTGTTCAACGTATGATGCCTCCTGTGATGTAAAAGGCAGGGTGCAGAAATGATCGGCCCTTCTCTCAGATGGTTGTTCGTCATGCGGTTATTTTCATCTCTAAACGAGAGCTCTTCCATTGTCTGCTGCTTCTCACAGACCCCCAACAGGAGCAGCAAATCATTTTGCTGTGCAAAAAAAGGGAATCAGTCTTCACCTTGGGTTCCTTGAGCTGCTGAAAGAATGAGCAGGTCCTGGCCATCGTAATCAGTGTTAGTACTTGCATGTTCCAAGCAGTTGTTCAGGGTGTGTGTGTCATGGAAGCTTCAAAGCTGTAATTCTAGAACCTCTGTGCGTTTGTGGTAGGTATGTTATGGAAGGTGCCGCAGATGTGCTGTAGGCGGTATTATTCAGCAGCAGCATGCCACCAAGAAATTCTTGGCGTACTTGTTTTGTCCTGAATAGAATTAGCCATTTAGTAAGTGAGCCTTGCCAAACAAGTATCTATCCATTTCTGTAGTGGAAATTGGTTATTTTTTTTAATACACGCAGATTTTACTTCATTGCTTAAGGAGCATATTTCTGCCTGTAACTGGCAGCACTGATCTGGTATTGAATACAGTATATCCTTTAATTTCATTCCTGTCGATATCTTGATAGATGTTGTTGTAGCATGCTTTCAAATCAACAAGTATACAACATAAATATTTAGAAGTTTTACTTAGGCCTGTCATCAGATTTTAATATGCACTTTATTAAGCAAGCAGGAAGTGGACAATTATTGCCCCAGAGCAATTCTTTGTTAACTGGAGCCCTTCACTCTTGTAGGGCCAATATGAGACTGCTTGTTCTTAATTAAAATAATCAGATTCCCCTGGAAGAGCCTGGGAAAACTGTTCTGCGGGGCTACACACACAGTAGAAAAGTGGCAGTTTATTTTGAGCTCTCTAGTTTCATTGGCCTTTTGACACATTTCTCTCTCTTTCCTGTTAAGGCATTCTTGTTATTAATATCCCCAGTAAATGCTGTAGGAACTCTAGTGCTCGGCTGCCTATTAATGCAACTTTCATGCTGAGCTCAAAGTGGAGCAGCAGGAACACTAGAATGGCCGTTCCTCATATCTGGTACTGCATGTGCTTGTCACTTGAGGTTTCCATGGCTTCATCTCAGAAAAATGATCCTACATGTGTGCATTCTAAAGTGATCATTTCTGGGTTATTGAAATAGAAATTCCTAGCTGTTGATCAATAGAATGCATTTTGAGACAAAACCAGTGTGAATATATTTGTAAAATACAAAGTACCTTTCAAATGTATTCCTCTCTTTCCAATGATGTCCCATTCACTAATGCTGAGTTACGAATCACGTGCATACACTTTTTCAAGTGAACATTGTACTGTCAAAACCTGCATGTTTAAAACTGAACACTGTTATGTGTTCTTTAGCCTTTTCTTCCTCAAATGACCACCTCAAAGTTTATAAATGTTCATCTGTTCAGAAAGCAATGATGACTAATGAAAACTAATGAGCTTCCTTCTTCATTCCTTTTAGCTTGGTACAGTAGGTACAGGTTTTAATCACAGGCCCCTGATTACACAATGTAGAGGTTTGTGTTTCTGTTGCCTTTCTGTTTACTTCTCTTTATGTCTGTTTGCTACAATTCTTTTAATTCTATTTCTGCACAAATGTTCTGAATACTCTTGGTTTATTACGATACTGAAACACATTCAATTTAACATGGGGTCTAACTAGGCATTTATAGTATGTAAGAATTCTTTCATCACATACAGCATCCTGTTTGTTGTGGTGGTTTTAGAGAGCAAAACTACTCTTTTTCTTTGAGAAGAGCTTTGCAGCCAAGTTTTAATGAGAGTGTGGTAGGTGTCAGTTCCCTGGCTTTTTTGCAGAGCTTGCCTTAATGTGCTGCACTCTGTCAAATGTGTCAGAAAGGTGCCTAGTCAAGGTCCCAGGGGTGCAATTAAACCATCTCTTTTTGCTGGTGAAAAACCTATTTAGGACTTTCTGATCCAGAGTAAATGAACGAATGTGAAGCAGTATTTACTATGATTCGGTGAGGAGACCATCAGTCTTTTAGGTACAGATTAGTAAATGCGGCTGGTTTCAGAGTTTCATGAGGTTTTCACTCTGTTTTTCTCTAATTGTGCGTGGGCAGGTCTGAAAGCTGACTCCAGGTACACCTGAAGTGTAACAGCAACAGACTGCAGAATACGGTTCGTTCAGGAGGACAGAAAAGCTGCATCAGGAGACCAGTCAAACTGCTGTAGTCACACTCTGCTCTGTCAGTTTTATATTTCCTCATGATGCTGCTGCTGGGAGATGCCTCCTTCTCTCCTGTCTCTGCTCTGGCTCCTCCCCTTAGATTTCTGTAAATCTGCAGTGTTCAAAGACCTTCCCCTCATTTCTGTTTGATACATTTCTTTTAATGAATTCTATGCTTTCTATATGTTTCAAAATTCTCGTTGTCAACAAAATGCAACCATATCATATATTAGAAGATCGTATTCGATTTCAAGAGCTGCTTACTTTTTCCTCTCCAAATATTGGCATAAAAATAGTTTCCCTGGACCAATGCAGTAGTGAATGTGTCCAAAATTAAAAGGATATTGACAGAATGTCCTTCTCCTCTGCCTTACCCTGACTTTAAGTGTGTCAATGCTGTGTTTTAGGCCATAGGAAATGCCAAGACCACCAGGAATGACAACAGCAGTCGCTTTGGGAAGTACATTGAGATCGGGTTTGATAAGAGGTACCGGATCATTGGGGCCAACATGAGGACGTACCTGCTGGAGAAATCAAGAGTGGTCTTTCAGGTAAGTGAAACTCTCTGAAGGGGAGCTGATTACCTCATTCCATCCCTTTTCTAACTGCTTCGTCCAAATCGGGGTCACGAGGAAGCAATAGGTGCAAGGCAGGGTACATCCTGGATGGGATGCCAGTCCATTGCAGGAAACACACAAACACAGACACGGACACACACCAGGGCCAATTTTCTCAGAAGCTAATTATCCTACCTGTATGTTTTTATGCTGTGGAGGAAACTGGAGCACCTGGAGGAAACTCTGCTAACCACTGTGTCTCCATGTCATCCAACTAATTCCCGTAGTGGTGAACATTAACAAAGCAGCAGCTCAAATCAGATTTCATGATGCAGTTTAGAGTTTTGAATTGGTTCATTGTACAAAAATGTTATGAAGCATTAGGTACTTGTAAATGCGAATAAACAACAGGGGTAAAGTACATGCAGTGCTGTAGAGGACACATGTTCAATGCAGAGTCCGATACATGTATTACTATCTAATAAGGAATTAAATCTTGTTTGTAAATATGATCTGGTTATCCTTAATTAAAAGTAAGTCTTTTACATGTGTGGAAACATACGATTGACCTTATTTGAAGAAATAAGAAAATCATTATTAGTAAAAAAAATGCAATTTATTTGGCTAATTCCCTCACAGAAAACCAGGGAAACAGACTCAGGGAAAATGTATTTTCATTGTTGGAGTTGTTACATACTCCAGTTTCCTCCCACAGTCCAAGGACATGCTGGTAGGTTAATTGGCCCCGCTCTGAGTGTTTGTGTGGATATACCTGCTCCCTACAATGGACTGGTGTCCCATCCAGGGTGTATCTTGCCAGTGTAGGCTCCAGCTCCCTTGTGACCCTGTATTAGATAAAACGGTCAGAAGATGGATGGATGGATGGATGGGTGGATGGATTGATGGAGTTGTTACATGGTTATACCTGCCTCTGTAGCAAAATCAAAGAGTGTTTGTGCTATTGTTTCCTCTCACATTGTACCCAATCACTGGAATGAGTGGTTTTCCATTGAACACCAAATTGGACACAGATTTTGCTGGATTGACCTGTGAACACTGGAAAATATTGCCAGCTTGATTACAGGTCACGAAATAGCCAATGATCTACTGTGTCTATTTCACAGAGAATAGCTTAAGAATAGTGTATTTCTTTATCTTTAAACTTTGGATTGATTCATAACCTTTCAAATCTGTGGAAACAGTGTTTTGATTACCTAATGTTTGCATTTTGTGTTTTGATTATGTAATGTTTGCATTTTGTTTTGACTTTTTTAAGCGGCTCAATACTGTAGTAGTGTTGTTGGATTGTAGCTAAGAGTCAGAAAAGAGCCAGTGTTTCGTATGTTTGAAATGGGAAATGGCACTATTAACATCCACCGGGGAACCTGCCAAGATCTTACTCTGTCCTTGATAGACAGTGCACTGACATGACCTATACAGTACATATGACTGCTCTTTCTTTGGCTAATTAGTTGCAGTCCATAAAATTAACTAAGATCCGATGCTGGTTGCTTTAGTGAGAAAATACAAAATGCCAGAAGAAAGTTAATTGAAATATATTTTTCATATCTAGAATTATTTAGCTGGTGGGTTGCACAGGTCATTATGTCACTTTTAATGGCACAGCCAGGTCTGAATCTAAGCCTACCGCAGGGAGGGACATGTCAGAACAAATGTGTGTGTGTTGTGTCCTCATTGAGGCCCACTGCCACCCGATATACTGTATTATTACAGCTGTATGGGCAAATTGAAAGAAGTCTCTCTAAATGGAGATCAGCATCTTGGGAAGACCAGTTGCTGTCCAAAGGCAGTTAGGTTTCAGATGGATGAGAAGGAAACTTACAGATGTATTACAAAATGTGTGTTCTCATCTGTTAAGGAGTTTTGTGTTTCTTTTTCAGGTAACAGGCAGTCTAAAATTTAGTATTTTTATTCCTTCAGACCCTAAATGTGTTTTTGTCCTGTGAACAAAGAACAGTTACAGAAGGTTAAATGCAGCTAATATAACCTCTAATGTTAATGCAAATTTTAAAAACATTTATCTTTTACACCAGTGCAATGAGAGAGCCCTGTACTGATAATAACCACGAGGTCAGCTGTGCCTTCTAAGGAGCACTGTTTGTATGTTAGGCTGACTTGAAGTCTTGCAGTCCGCTGTACTGCACAAAGGTTCTGTCGGTGGTCAGATTGACCTCTGATTCCTGTACTAGCCAATGATTGCTTTTGTGGTCTAACCAATAATTGACTAAGCATGCTAATTGCACGTATGCAATCGTTGGTGAAGGCTCTTTGATGGTGCTTTTCCAGAATTAAATAATAACTAAAAAAATAAGATGCAGCTGACATGCAGCTGTAATGTATTTTGATCATCTTCATGCACTACTCCCACTCTTCAGTGAGAATATACTTGTGCTTTTTTATGTTTTGGACAGGCTTTGGAAATGTGGAAATGTAATTGGTTTACTTTATTTAGCATGTCTCTGCATGTTAATATATCATTGTAATTACTGTTGTTTTTCTCTTACATGCTAACGTCAGAATCGTGTGCTTGCATTCTGAATGTTTTGCACCTTGCTAGCTGTTCCTGTAGTTCTTTTAGTAGAATTTAGTAATGGTGCAGAAATTAATATACCTAAACGAATAGAACCTTTTTGTTCCAGACCTTGCACTGTTTTCACAGAATTGCAGCCACACTATTACTAGGAAGTAAAAACTCTGCCTACTGCGGGTTTTGATAAGAGTTGCAAATTGTCTAAGAACGCTCAATGTTTAGATAAAGCATTTCAAATTACCTCTGCCTTAGCTAACTATTTCATTTATCTAGGCTTTAATTTGTGTTGGCTATTTTAATCAATTACAGAAATTGGGAATTGAGTGTTTGCCTGTAGAGACCTTAAATGGTTTATTTACATGTAGTTTGTATTATTTCCCCTTCAGAAGACAAGGACAAAACACTTTCTTTCCTCTGTTGCCAGACCAGGATGTTGTTTTGACCCAAACTAACAGTGAAGTGAGAGGAGTCTGGGATTTGTATCTGAAGTCCTGAGTGAAATGTAGAGGGAGCACACCAAGCAGGCAGAGCTGGTATCCATATGGAAGTGCAGTAGGGGCTGGATTGAAATTCATTGCTCTGTTTATTGGCAACAGAAATGTGAAAGCATATTCTATTCCTTGTTTTTGATATTCTGCATTTCCTGTGCGTTATTTTACAGTGTTTTTTAAAACATCATTTACTCAGTAATTTTGTGATTGTTTCTAAATGTTCCACTTTGACTGGTATTGTTCTAGGCAGACGAAGAGAGAAATTACCATATATTCTACCAGCTGTGTGCTTCTGCACGCTTGCCGGAATTCAAAGCTCTTAAGTTAGGTAAGTTGCTTTAATTCTCGCAATGAACTACTGTTCTTTTTTCCACCAAAAGAACTGAACTCCTGATTCACTCTGTAAGCTTCTGCACGGGGGCTCAGGGTGACTCATACAGAAGCACTGATGAGTCTGGGAATATGTGGCTACAGAACCATTGCACACTCGCCAGCAATAAAGTGGCTGAGATGTGCATTCAGACTTGTTCCTTTTCTTCTGTGCTGCAGCTCAAGGATACAATTCAAGATGGCATTAAATATAAATCAGACTTCAGCACGAGTACATTTCTTCAGAAGCAATAATTCTGTTGATGCTGTTCGCAAGCACAACTGACTCCCACAAATTGCTGGCAAATGGTGTCATGCAGCAAACGAGAAAACAAAAAAAAACATAACCTTTATTTGAAATGTGCTGCTGACTTCTACATCACCTTTGTACTATTTGATTTCCATTTTAATAGTGTTTATTAGTGTGTCTCATGGCATTAAAAAGCTATTTACCTCGTCATGAAAATTGTACATTTATGTCAGCAACAGAAGCAGAATTGGACTTATGATACCAGAAACACTAAGCTATTAGAGGAGCATTTTGTTTTTTTTCAACATATTCAACATGTTGAAATAACAGGTTCATAACAGATGTTAGATATACAGCTTTTGTCCATTCATAAATACATTCAACAAGGGTTTTGAGCTGATGAAGGACATTTTCATAAATCGCAGCTCTTGAGCTGCTGGTCCCTGTGGTGGAAAAGCAGCAGTGTGCTCCCTGAGATTGTGGGGGCAGAGCTGCCCGATTGGCTGTGTGTGAGCATGAGCGGATGAGTCCCACGGAGAGGAGGCCCCTGTCTGTCCTGTGTCTCCAGAGTTCTGCTCTCCAGTGCTGTCACCCTGGCATGTTCTGCAACTGCACCCTGGTAGTGGGGGAGTTCCAAGCACAGACGAGGCCGGTTGCTTAGCAACAGGATCAGGCCAAAACCGTAATCTTGGAAATGGCTTTACTTTTCGTGTTGAATGTCACGCAGCAAATCACCAAAGCCTTAACCATCTGTGTTCAGAAGATCGAGTTCGGATTTTATCATCTGTTGGTTCTGCCTGCCTGTTTGTTTTTTGAGGTATCAACAGGCAGTACACCTATCAGAAAACTAGTAGAGTTCCCACATTCTGCTTGCTAGGTGGCTAGTAACCCTGGACATTTTCGAGATTCGCACATCTTGATATCCGGTAGATATGAAAATAAGCTTGAGGCTTGAGACAGGCAGATGTCTTAGAATTGTAATTGTGAAATTGATAGTCATGATCACCACAGAAGAAGGATAATATTTAGTTATAAACTGTCATATACAGTATCTTGTCTTAAGGAAAAGATAATTTTAGCAATAGATTAATGAGTAGACATATAGGCCTACAAATTAACGGACAGATATAATAATAATAATAATTGCTTACACTTATATAGCACTTTTCTGGACACTCCACTCAAAGCACTTTACAGGTAATGGGGACTCCCCTCCACCACCACCAATGTGCAGCCCCACCTTCTACATGCAGCCATAGTGCGCCAGAACGCTCACCACACACCAGCTCTCAGTGGGGAGGAGAGCAGAGGAATGAAGCCAGTTCATAGATGGGGATTATTAGGAGGCCATGATTGGTAAGGGCCAATGGGAAATTAAATATAAGGTGCACTGTATGGTTTCAGCTGTGTAACTCACATTGTTTCAGGTTGTATCTGGACCTCCTTCATTAAGAGCTATGTACTTGGTATTTCTGTGAGCATTGATTGGAGAATCTGTCTTGCAGGCTCTGCCAATGACTTCCATTGTACCAATCAGGGCCGTAGCCCAGTCATCGACGGTGTGGATGATGCCAAGGAGATGGTTACCACCAGACAAGCTTTCACATTATTAGGTAACTCCCCAGTGTCTCTTATGCGGGGAAGTGCTGCAGGAATACTGACTTCTTACTGTTCTCTTAATTCGTCAATGTACCCTTTCTTGTGTGAAATACAAATCAGTCTTTGAAAATATTGTTTTTTGCCATTGTAGTTTCAATCAGATTACCTCCAGCTCATGTGAATGCGAAAGAATTACAAGCTGAACAAACACTCTGCTTTTCGATGTTTTGCTTTGCTATTGCTATTGGTATTGAACAGTTTTAAAGTTTTTTTCTATAGAGGCATAAATGATTCTTATTGGAAGACTGTGTCACTGGAACTTCTCCTTGGATCATAATAACGTTGTTATGGTGTTTCAGGTATTAACGAATCTTACCAGATGGGCATTTTCCAAGTTCTTGCAGCTATCCTCCATCTAGGCAATGTGGCCATCAAGGATCGGGATTCAGACAGCAGTATAATCCTGGTAAATTACTACGTTTATTTTGCATGTCTTTATACTAGTTTTGGAATACATTTATAGATTTTTGTGATTCACCTTTCCACTTTCAATCCTATGAAATGTATGCATTATAATAATATGGATATATTAGAATGGGTAATGTGGATAATAAATCCAGTTTTTAAAATATAAACATTTTCCCTCATTGGATCTCATGGATTGTCTTTGTTTGATGGCACACTGGCAGGACTTTTTACTTCTTCAAAGTACTTCTATTTAATTTGCCATATCTTAACTTCTACAACCGATATGTCCTCACTCTCCTTCCAATTTTAGCCCAACAATGTCCACTTGACCATTTTCTGCGAATTAATGGGAGTGACCTACCAGGACATGTCCCACTGGCTGTGCCATAAGAAACTCATGACAGCGGCAGAAACCTACATTAAGCCCATCCCAAAACTGCAAGCCATCAATGCAAGGGATGCCCTTGCCAAACACATCTATGCCAAACTCTTCAGCTGGATTGTTGATCATGTCAATCAAGCCCTGCACTCCACAGTGAAACAGCATTCCTTCATTGGAGTTCTCGACATTTATGGGTATGTGAGGGCCTCCCTGGAGTCAGTACTGGTCAGTCCACTCATTAAGACAACACAGACTGTGAGACCGTTCAGCATGTTCATTCTTTCTGCACTGTTCGGCATTCTTACTTTTCTCTCTGACGTTTAGTATATTACAGAGCACTTGTTGTTGAGCTTGCTTTTGGCCATTTTCACTTGTTCATAAGCAAAATTGCATTCAGCACTGCACAATTATTAGAGTGGTCCTTGTTCAAGGTACAGTACATGAAAAAACAACTATGTTGAAGTGGGTAGTTTGAAGAATGTAATATATCCCAGATGTGTAATTAAGTTGAAGCAATTTACCACATTAATATTTAAATTAAACTCCTGATGTACAGGCCTGATCCCTTTTTTTGTAAAACACTATGCAAAAAGCCTTTGAGTTATTGCATTGTGCTACATTATGCAGGCAGATTCTCCTAGTGGTCTGACTAATTTACTACTTCTTTACTAAAATGTCAGCATTGTAGATTCTGAGTGTTTTTTTTCCTTCTAGATTTGAAACGTTTGAGATCAACAGCTTCGAGCAGTTCTGTATAAATTACGCAAATGAGAAGCTGCAGCAACAGTTCAATATGGTGAGTTCTGTTCTATTGATGTTATTTGCATAGAGTTCTATAATCCTCAAGGGATGTTCATTCTGACATCCTCTAATTACACCTTCTAACACAGTGTGATGTGTGAGCATCAGAGAATCGTGGTTCTTTGTGTTAGCATTTTTAAATAAAATGTTATTTACATTTTTTATATCTCTGGGGTTAAATTTCTAGATAATCAGTGTTTGTAAAGTTTTAAGGTAACACACCTTTGTTTTATTTTGCATCATTTTTCATTGAAGGTGTTCACACCTCTGGGTTTACTGTAAGTTGATTTGAATTATATTCAAGTGTTTGAATATATTATATGATGGCTCTCCTAGCCTTAAACTGTGTGCTGTTGTATAGCTAAATAAGCATGCTGAAGCCCTTTGAAAATACACCTTTTAATTTCACATCAGTCTGATCTTTGAAGTACACAAAACACAAAGAAACAAAAAAAAGTCTTGAAGCTTTGATATTGTGAAAAGATGTCCAAAACAATCCACTCTCTGATAGATTTCTATAAAAATGTATTAGGTGTTGCAGTTAAATCCATTTTTTTTGTTGTTGTCTGATCTGATAGACTATAAAACATTTCTAAAGGTTGAAGGTTTCATGTTTGCACTTTATTTTATGCTTAGAAGAAAATGTTTTACTTTGTATTAAACAGTTCTTCGTGCTGTCTTCTCTGGAAAACATTGCTACTTTTAGTATGTTTACAGTACTCCATCATCTTCTTATGGCTATCTCCATTTACTGGGCTTTCCAGCAGATTCCTGTCAGACAAATATTGTAAGACAGCTGTAATTAGTAGTAGTTGGCTCTTTCCAAGCCAGTTAAACTCTGCTGGGTCAGGTTCTTGTCAGGTACAACATACAGATCAACACTGTTTTTTTCTGGAGTTTTAGCCGTCTGTCTGCACCAATGCAGCAGTGATGCTGGTGAGGTCTTCTTTGGGATTGTCGTGCTAGGAGAAAAACTAAAAAACCCCACCCATGGATGCTTTCCCTCTCGTCTTGCAGCATGTGTTTAAACTGGAGCAGGAGGAGTACATGAAGGAGCAGATCCCCTGGACGTTGATAGACTTCTATGACAATCAGCCCTGTATCAATCTGATCGAAGCCAGACTCGGAGTCCTGGACCTGCTTGATGAAGAATGCAGGGTAAGAGCTCAGCATGCCTCTGCTAGCAGTGCTAGGGACATTCATGCTCACAACACACACACACCTGGATGGTAGATACCGGTCCAAGATTTCAGGATTGAAGTTTGATTGTAAATAGAGATGAGAGGTATAATCGGCATAAGCCCTGCTTTTTGTTGCTGCCCAAGGCTCATGTTGTCTTTAAGACCAGGACCTGGCTGGATATAGGCACCACTGAAACTCCTTTCTTTCCGCTCCCAGATGCCAAAAGGAACAGACGATACCTGGGCTCAGAAGCTGTATAACACTCACTTGAACAAATGCGCACTTTTCCAGAAGCCCCGTCTGTCTAATAGAGCCTTCATTATCCAGCACTTTGCAGACAAGGTAGGTTTTTCATCTTCAGGCTCTCCTCTTCGTGTCCTTCTTGGAGTTTTTTCTGTCTCTTGTCTGTAGTTAAAGACATCTGAAGGGAACCTCAGATTACCCACTGTAATCCCCAAAGTGCTCAAAAGTTGTTATTCTTGCCCAGATTGCTTTTATAGTTTATGCTGAATCTCCTACATTAATTTCAGGAATACCTGTGAAGACTCCTTAATGAATAAGATTTCAGTGTTTCAGTTCCTAATAAAGGCTGATGATGCCAACATGTTAGATGAGCATAATAGGACAATTGTCCTTTTATTTTTCTAACCTTTCTTGTATCATTATTCAGTTGTTGTAACATTTATGTCCTTGTTGTTTATTTAACGTATTAATTCTATAGTAACTCTATAGTAGTATAGTATGTATACTTTGGTAAATTCTTGGGAACTGATAGATTTAATGATCAATTTCAAACAAATGACTACTAATATTGTTTAAATAAACCCGGGTTTTCAGATGTACAACTTAAATATTTGTAATTAATTACTATTTTGAATGTGTTTGATATATTTGTAGGAATATAGGATAAAAAAGAAGTGTTACAAGGTGAAAGACATTAGACAATCTTATTTTAGCTTCACTCAGTGTCATATTACAGCCATATGTGAGGGTTGATCAAATAGTGCTGGCATTACACCCACTCTGGGAACATGAATCTCAATGACAGAAGAGGTCATCCACCGTTTTCCCTATTTCAGACACAATGTATTTTGCTTCTCAGATTTCTTTTTCATTACAGAATCGAAGTGTTACTGGATCATGGTTTCTCTGTGTGGTTTAATACTGAAAATAGTGACTGTCAAGACCATATTGAAAGCTATAGCTACTGTATATATTTATAGCTGTTCAACATTGTAAAATACTGTAATGCACTACACATTGGCTGTATTGCAATCAACTGTGTCATTAGTTGGAAAGTGATGTGTTAAAAGTAAACCCACAATGGCAAGTAGATAACATGAAGAGGTCATCTTAGAGAACATTCAAGATTGTTCTGTGTTTGAATCATTATTGATCACAGCATTTTTAGTTTTACTTAATTGAATTTAGCTAGTGACAGGCTATGCAGTTAAAATGGTCCAAGAAAATCCACTATTTTAAGATTTCTTTATCAGAAAGTGGATATGGATTGCATCGATACGAAATGTGAAATGGCACAGGCTTTTTGATTGTATATTCTTCTGTCTCTAGGTGGAATATCAATGTGAAGGGTTCTTGGAGAAGAATAAAGACACAGTTAATGAGGAACAGATACATGTGCTGAAAGCAAGCAAGGTTTGTGTTTACTATTCTCTCTAAAAATTAAATTAAAGAAGGTTCATATAAATGACTTGCAGTATGGTTTGCTCGTCTAAAAGGTCAGATGCACTGTCGCCATCTGCTGTTCAATTAAGTTATTGACGTCATTCACACCCACTGCCACTTCGTCGTGTGCAATGTTTTGTCTTGAAAGTAACAATTGTTAATTTGCAAAACAAATTACAGAGAGATGCATTTTAAAAAATGCTCTCCGGTAAGATTTAAGAGTTGAACATTGAAGACTTCCTCTCAATCTTGAGAAAAAGGTGTGGAAACAACTATAGACCCTATCTTGACAGATGACACCTGAAGAAGGCTCCACAGCCGAAATGTGTTTTCTTTCTTCTCTTTTCAGCCTGGAATAAACCTATTAACTGTTAACATAGTGGACTATTGACAATTCACAATTCACAAGAAGGACTTATTGATGTATGAAATGAAGCTGCTTGACTTTAGTTAAAATTCTGTTTATCTGTTTTGCAATAACCACGAAGAGATGCTGATAATGAAACAGCCCTGCTTACAAGGTTTTTTTTTAAATTGAACTCTTATCACAGAAGCAATGCAGCAATATGGGTTGTGAACACATCTACAGCTTCACATTAAACTTTAGCCTTAGTGTGGATACTGTACCTGCCTAACAATGGGCTGCATCCTGCTGGTTTCTAGGCTTCAACTTCTTTCATAGTCATGGTGTTTGTTGTCTTGGAGGACAAGAAAGCAAGGGTTTCTCTTGTTTGTAGACAACATAGGGATCAAGTCTTTTAAATCCACCGAGAAAAGACCTAAGCCTCTAAAACCAATCCTGGTTGTCGCTGCTCTGGCTGATCATTCGAAAATGAATTACAGGTTAGCAGTCAGCACACTGTGGTTTATCAGAGGCTGTGTGTTTATAACCGAGCTGGGAAGGGTTGTTTATCCAGATTAAAAATAAAGGACCAGACTGATCTTTAGAAATAAAGTACCACTGACCATTGATCTCTTTTTCCCCAATTCTTCAGGAATTTTGCGAGACATTCATATAATAGAAAACTCTAATGTGATTTCATCTTCAGAGAGTGACCCCACAGAAAAATCATTAGACCACAGCAAGGCCTCGCCTCACTGCATCAGTCTCAACAGCATGCCTGCTGCTTGATTACATACACTACTAGGAAATGCCAAACAGCTGACTGGTGTACAGCTCTTTTAGCATTCACATCTTTTTTCAGGTCTGCACAATCCCTTGTCAATCCAAAGTCCTTCTCCATCCCTCTGGCCTCACTCACGATGAGTTCAAAGCAGTTTAAAAACAACTTTCAGTTGCTCTTATTGCACCGCTGTATAAGCTCATCTGTCATTGATGGGAGCAACTTAATCTTTCAATGCAATTAATCATTTGAAGAACATGAAAATGAATTGTCTGTGTCCCACACAAAAGAACCAGTATTACTATGCTAACACTGCTTTTAATTTGGCTTTGACCATTCATTTTTGTGGCCTCTGTAAGATATATTCAAATTTAGTTTTGTATTGTTTGACACTTTTTTTATAGACATTGCTTGATAGCTTGCAGAAGCGGTAAGTACACTTGGTAAGGGTTTGAGCTGCTCCAGCTAATCCGTTAACTACTGAAAACCTCAAGAAAAACACCTTCATTTTGACATCTGTCTTCATTTAATGTGATGCTTTATTTTTGTTTTTTTTATGTTTTAACAGTGTTTAGCAATATTAATAATATTTGTTTTTACCATGAAGGCTTAGCAAAATTAATATGGTAAAGATAAGGCCATTTTTACATTTTATTAGCTTAATAAATGCGTTACTATATGTGGTTAAAATAGGCCTAGTGTTAATATTCCTCACTGCCTTACATCAATGCATTGTAATTTTTGGTATGCTGAGGTAATGCGGTTACCTCATGATTTTATCATTTTTCTATAATATTATAATTATTAATGCAGAATTATAGACTTTCATAATTATGAGCCATTATGAAAGATTGTGGCAAGCAATTTGAGATTAGTTTAAAGTTGGACCATTCGCCTAAATTGAACCCAGAGAGCTGAGACACCAGTTGAGAGCAGCCCGGGATGTCTTTTTGCTTGAAATCATCTCCTCATAGCTGGTTGACATCATGGTAGTCAGAACTTTAATTATTTTTTCATATGCAGTTGATGTTTGGTAGCTAGGTTTCTTAAAATTAATATAGGCCTAACATGTTTATTTTTGTTGTGTGACCTCATGCAAAAAAAGAGATTGACATTCATTTCTTGTCATTATATATGCAAAAGCGTTATATATAATGGTGTGGGATCTCTGTGGGTGTTTTTTTTTAATTTTGTTTTTTTTCTCCACCTCCTGTGTGTTTGTCTTCCACCTTGAAAACTGTTGTTCTGCAGAAGGTAAAACTGTTGTCTTCATACAGTCTGCTCACCTTTTTGTTTTTCTAACCCCCTCACTGGAAAGCCTTCAGTATTTTCTTTGCCTGCACCATTGCCGTTCTATTAATGTTCTTCCACTGGAGTCGTTGCAGTGTTTGAAGGCGCATGGCAACAGCAGCTTCTCCAGTAGCAGGAATGGGTGGGTGGGGGAGGGAGGAGTCAATCTGGAGACTGTTTTGTGTTATAATGCACCTGAGCAGCATGTTGTGGCTGTCATTTTGCTTTAAGGCCTTGTAGAGCGAAAGCATGTGTCTGAAGTAAACGTATACAGAATAAAAAATGTGTTTTCCTCTTAATCTGCCACAACCGGTGGAATATTCTGAGAGCCAGAAGCAAGATGACAGTGTCTTCCCTGTGATGGCTGAATGTGCACTTTTTACACATCGGCCTAACATACTGGGAACAAATAACAATATGTATACTGACATTGAAAATGCAGTAACTTGTGCTGGATTCATTTCCTTGTCCCTTTTACAGGTGATGAAATTGTTTTTGCTTTTCACTCAAATAAATTCCTTTCTTTTCAGAAATTAAAGATTAACTCCCCACCATGAGATGTATGCATAGCTCTTAGAGTTTCTGTCTGAAAGGGATGCTTCTTTCTTTAAATTATAGAGCAGGGGTCTCAAATACAATTCCTAGAGGGGGTGCTGTCTTCTGGTTTCTGTTCCCACCTGAGTAATCAATTTAACAATTTACCCAATTATCTTAATTAGACATATACATAATTTTTCTTAATGTCTTTTATGTGTAATTATTAAAATTTACATTTCATTAAAGATGCATACCTATATAATATTATACAGTAAGATACGTATAAAATACCCCAGAGTCTGTTCCATAATCTATACATTATATAAATTATGTAGTTAATTCAATAATTAGACAGAGAAAAAACAGAAGATAGTAGGCCTACCAGTAATTTAACCATTTATGTATGGAGAGCAGTTTGTTTCAAGACATTTTAGTTAACTAAAAAGTGTCACTTTTTCTTCATATGGTAGTCTGAGACCTAGTTGTACACTGTTTCATTTATCAAATAATTAAAGACATAGTAGGTATAACAAAAATCATAAAGGGCATATGTTCTATATTTTATTATCTTGACAAATTGAGAAAATACATATTATTTAACAACAGGTTATTTATTGAATATTTTCCAAGAATTATGATGTCCCTTTACAAATAAATTCCATCCTGGATTAAAGTTTCAGTGTATCTTTTTACATAATACTAAACACCACATGGTAGGATAATGCGTTCATGAGAGATTATCAAGTACTTTAATCTGTGCTGTTAAAAAAAAACCCAGGAAAGCAAAAAACATTTCAAATGGATACACTATACTGGTGTGAATGCTTATGTTTATTGCTTTTGTGTAATTGTCTTTGCGATAACCTTAACAAAGAAACGGCAGCACTGCAATGGAGACTTGATAGAATTTTACAATAATGAACATGTAACATCCAGAACTGAAATATCCTGCAGTGGATCTACTGTCACCACCCAGTGTTTGTTAAATGCAAATAATTTTAATAATGATATCTGATATGGGTTATCAATCATTGTTGAATGTTATGTCATTGAATAGGTCAGGCCAAGTGTGAAATCCGAGATTTTCAAATTACAGTCTTCTCAGCACTGCCAGGCAGTGGGTAATGTGAGTGAGGGGTAACAGACTGGAAATTAGGCCTCAGTATCCATACTGAAGAAAGATATCCTAGAAAAATGTGAAACCCATAGAAACAGATGGTTTAGGGGCATGCTATAAAACTAGCACATTCATGAGAAATCCCCAACATCTGGAATCATTGGAATTCACACATCAGAGCAGTAATTCTCAAATTGTCTTTTTTTTTCCATGTCTGATCACCGCACTAGTTTGAGCTGCTGGTGGAGCTTTTTCAAGAGGAGGAAAAAGTCACGAGCCCCACTGGGGCTCCCCCTGGTGGCCGCACCAGGCTGAGCATCAAGCCAGATAAAACGCGACACAGTCAGTCCAGCAAAGAGCACAAGAAAACTGTGGGGCTGCAGGTGAGAGCTGGGGAGACCTGACTTGCAATCAGGAGATGCACATTGGGTGTGTGATGACGTAGAATGGCCTGTGATCCAGAACCAACCTCAGCTCTTTGTCTTTGCAGTTCCGTAACTCGCTGCAGCTGTTGATGGACACTCTGAATGCTACTACTCCACACTACGTGCGCTGCATCAAGCCCAATGACCACAAGTACCCTTTCACGTAAGCTCTTCCGGACACTGCTTGCATTGCGCTGACATGATAAAATAAAACTACTTGCTGATGGACCAAAACAGGCCTGATGAACATCTCGTTCCTGAGCACACAACCCATTAGAATGATTTCACTTAAATCAGTCAAAACAAAGCATAACTTGGCAGCACATTAATTGTAATAATTTCAGGTGAATCTTTGGTGAGCTGTTGTTTTTTTTAATTAAAGAGATATGAGATTAAAATTTCTTTCTATGCAGTTTCCTTGGTTTGTTGTTCTGTGTCACAATGTTAGCCACCATCCCATAGCTGTGATCTGGAGGAGGGTGACGTTGTTCTCTGTCTTCTGCTCCAGGTTCGACCCCAGGAGAGCGGTGCAGCAGCTCCGGGCCTGTGGTGTTCTGGAGACCATCAGAATCTCGGCTGCCGGCTTCCCTTCCAGGTCCGCTGTGGTTCTGTAATCCTCCTGATGCTACCAGGGATCCCTGGCCTGCAGCAGGAGGACGCCTTGGCCTGCTGGCTCAGTGGTGATCTGGAAACTCAGCCGTGGATTTGAAATGACATTTTTACAAGTTGTAAACATGCTTTATTATGCTTTGCTTGTTTAAATTGCCTGTTTAACTGCTGTTTATCCTCTCAGATGGCTTCTGAGTAAGGATCTGTAGGCATTATACTATCTGGAGCTCAATGAATAATAGTTAATGCACTTGAGTCGAATCTGACTAACCAGTCCAGCTGACTTGAATAAAATAGCCAGTGCTGCTGGGAACAGTGATGATTGAGCTATGACTGTAAAAGACAGCTCTGAGGAAGCCTGCAGTAGTCCTCAATATGTGTTCATCTAATGAAATCTAATGAAAAGCCTGATGTTACCTTTCTTTTATATAGTTTAGTACTTACATAGTACTTACAGTATATACTACTTCCAAACTGAAACTCTGGAAATATGGTATTATAACTCAAGCGTCTGTGAGAAGGCAAGGGCTTGTTTCACTCCATCACTGTGAGTGCTTTTCCCTGTTGATCTCTTTCTGACTGCCTTTTGCTGCCCTGGTGACAGATGGACCTATCAGGAGTTCTTTAGCCGGTACCGGGTCCTCATGAAGCAGAAAGATGTGCTGAGCGACAAGAAGCTGACTTGCAAGAATGTGCTGGAAAAGCTCATCAAGGTGCGAAGCTATCGCTAATCGAAAGAGTGCCTGAAAGAAAGCATGAGCTAGATTCAGCTACTTTAGTATGGGTGTCTGGACAACCAGGAGCATGTCTTAACTGCTGTTCTGAAAAACGCAGGATCAGGACAAGTACCAGTTTGGTAAGACGAAGATTTTCTTCCGCGCCGGACAAGTGGCCTACCTGGAGAAGCTGCGTGCGGACAAGCTGCGGGCGGCTTGCATCCGAATCCAGAAGACCATCCGGTGCTGGCTGATGCGCAAGAAGTACCTCCGCATGAGGAGCGCAGCCATCACCATTCAGACACACATCCGGGGATACCAGGCGCGATGGTAAGGAGCCAGGGGGACCAGGCTCAGAGGGCTGCATGTGTTTCCACAAGCTTCCCTCACCTCTGTCCAGAGACAGTCAGACACCAAGAGAAAACTCTGTAACATCTAATATCACATGTTACAACTCTTGTCAGCTCTTATAGGGAGAAGGAGTGTCGCAGTGCTGGTTAATAACTGGTTTATTAGAGCTTTATGTATGACAAATGAGAATCCTTGTGTTGATTGGAAATTATGTCTCACCATACCTGTTATTATATAAATAGCACCAGTAGGGGGTGAAAATGACCTTACTAGTATTAAAACTGGGTGAGCAATGGAAATCAAAGATTCAACAGCACAGAATGAAAATAATAAAGCATTAAAATTTGGAATGGTCCACTTTTGTAGAATGCTTTCCAGGTGCTGATGGCTTATTGGTTTTGTTTGATCCAGAAAGACATGGTGCTGAAGAAGACATCTGTGTCTTTTGTACCTTTCAAACTCAATCCTGATCTCTTCCTTTCTGCTTCTCAGTCTTGCCAAGTTCCTGCGCCGGACCAGAGCTGCCATCATTATCCAGAAGTTCCAGAGGATGTATGTGGAGAGGAAGAGGTACAAGCGCTTGCAGGCTTCTGCCCTCATCATCCAGTGTATCCTGCGTGCGTACATGGCCAGGCAGAAGTACCAGGCGGTAAGATGAACGAAAGATCCGGACTCTTGACACTAACTAGTTTTACAGTTCATAGTGAAGAGATTAGAGAGACACCTGGGAAGTGAGATAATAATATCATTTCTTGTTTTTGTATTTTTGCAAACTATGCAGTCCAGTGTTTTGAAGTTAGCTTTGCGCCCAAATATATAAAGATGCTGACTGTCCTTGGTCAGTAAGATAAAGGGCATGTATTTGGTAAGTTGGCTGTATGCCCAGAACGTGAAAAGAACTAACTGTTGTCTAGTCTGCAACTTAGATATAATTAATTGGCATGTGTTGCTGTCTTATCATTTGTTTAGAATGTGTCATAGTAACTAGTGTTGTTTTAAGGTATAAAGGACCATCTTCAGCTACTTATTTTTAAGTCTGGTGGTTCCAATCCAGACTTCCATCTGCATATGTAATAAAGAGACTTCCGCTTCACAGACACCTGAACTTAGTCATTTGTATGACACAACAATTGGAACAAAGCTTTTCTCACCACACATTGTCGACTGTTTATCCTAAGTACTAACTTCCAATGTGGTTAAAAAACAAAATATAGCAAATAGCAAGACCTTTGAGAACCTTCATTTGTATTTGTGTAGAAAAATACTGATGCTGCAAGCCCAGACAGGAGAGTGTGAAAATAAGAGCTAATGTAGACAGCTGCTCCTCGGCCAGCCCAATAGCCAGCCGTGCAGAATCATTACAGTACTGATATGTTCTATATTAAGGCAATTGTGCCAGTGTAGTGGGCCCAAAAGACATGAGTTTCTATTAAAGAATCATGTGGGGTCCTCACAGTGATGGAGAATTCAGCTGACTTTGTGTGTATACTGTATGTGTATAAGGTACAGGGAGCCTGTAATCTGAGTTGCCATCATACAGTTGAGCCAGCAAACTGTCCTGAGTTAGTAGAGCCCCTGACTGACAATGACAGCTGTCCCTAGTCATGGTTCGTCTCTCTGGCACTATGAGTTATAAGCAAATTTCCAAGCTCTGTCTGTAGAATGAAGAGGAGGAAAAAGGTCTGTTGCAGTCGTTGAACACTGACCGAGTATTCTTGGAAATTATTTTATTATATTCTACTGTTTCTTTCCCTGCCAGATGTTACGGGAGCACAAGGCGATTATCATCCAGAAGATGGTGAGAGGCTGGCTTGCCCGGCAGTGGTTCAAGAGGTCTCTGGAGGCTATTGTTTACCTACAGTGCTGTGTGCGCCGCATGAAGGCAAAGCGCGAACTGAAAAAATTGAAAATCGAGGCCCGCTCAGTGGAACACTACAAGAAGCTCAACATTGGTATGGAGAACAAAATCATGCAGTTGCAGCGCAGGATAGACGAACAGGTATGTTGCCATGGAAACAGGGCCTAGCACATCATCGCTATCAATACAGTCTGTTGTTTTTCACCTTCTTTAACATCAGATTACACTAGCAACATTCATTTTTTGTGTTCAAATTGCTTTGTTATTTGTTTATTTTTTTATGTTTGAAGTCAGTATTGACAAAGTTAAAATACATTTTGAATACCGGTTTAGTTCTCTGTTTTGTTTCAGTTTAACTGTACCTTTTAGTTCTTAGTAAATGGTTGCCATAACATTACTAGTTTTCCATGATGTTTCTTTTTTCTTTCGCAGAGTTATAAATATCCTCCCTGCGGGGAAAGGTGAATGGCTAGAAAGTGAAACTAGCAGCTGTTTAACTTATTGCTATTTTTGCTTCTTCATGTCATCTTTAGTCCCGCTTCTGTATCCAGTGAATTATATCTGAACACTCATGCACATCTTCTGTCATTCATCTGCTAAGTATGTGGGACATCTACCTATTGTGTTTCATGCCCAAGAAAATGATAAATAGGGATAAATACGGTTCAGTTGTTTTACATAGAAAAAATAAGGCAATTTCTACAAATTTGTTGTAAAGGAAACTTTACATTCTGCTGTTTCTCGGTACATGAAGTGGAAATAAAACTAATAAAAAGCCTTAAAGTTGGTAAAATATTTGATAGGAACAGGCCAGTTTAACAAACTGGTAAAAACACAACTGAGAAGCCCAATCTTTAGTGACGGTCTTTAAAGATAGTCATTTTCCACACTTCATTGTTTTAAATAATTGCATTGGAAACAAACTTTAAACTTTTTCAAATGTTACTCAAGCCAGTAACATAAATGAATAAAACGCATACACATATTACTAGTAGTACATAATATTAATTTGACATGTAAAACATTCAACATTATTTGAACAAAATCATAGTCTGCTTCTTGCAATGTCAAAATATGTTGGATTCTGGGAATTGTAGTGTCCTGAAAAGAGCAAGCTGCCAGACATTATTAAAATGTCAGAATTGCGATTAAAATCAGATGTATTTTGAATCTCACATGATTAAAATTGTAAATGGCAGCAATATCAGGGAATTTAGTTCTATGAACTATTACAAAAAGTGCCAGGACTCAGAAAGAGGTGCCATTACACAAAACTCAAAAGGCCTGATTTGTCAGTACAGCCTAATTAAAAGACTTTTATTGCTGTGCTCTTGGTAAAGCCTGTTGTCTTGTGACTTTTTCAGCACAAGGAGAACAAGAACATGCACGAGCGACTCTCAAGCTTGGAGAGTTCCTATGCTTCAGAGAGCGAAAAGTTGAGGAACGAAGTGGCTCGTCTCCGTGTGACAGAGGAAGAGGCGAGAAACAACGCCAACCGGATCACCACTCTGCTGGAGGAGCTCGCCAGGCTGACCAAGGAGCTTGAGGAAACTAGGAAGGAGAAAAAGACCATCGAGGAGTGGGCTGAAAAGTACAGAGATGAGATGGAGCAGGTGGGAGTGGGAGTCGGTGGGAGTTCGGATTGTGCTGTTGTAATGAAACGGAGGGGAAGGTAGTCAGGGTCAGGATTTGAACCCAGAATGTTGGCTCTGCTAGCAGCTCATTAATGCTTTGCCAGAAGGCCCAGATTGCCTGGCATGTTGGCTGATGCATATTTCTTTGGAACAATAACAAAGGGAGAGCCATTTCACTTTAAATTTATAAAGTACAAACCAAAACTGTCGTTTCAGTTTTTTTTAACTTCATTAATCCACAACGGGCATAACTTCCTGTTTGAAAATGTATATTTTTCTGCATTCTTCTGTATCAGCACATATGATGGCACCGAGAAAAGATGTTCGATTAGGTAGCTGCTTTCGATGATGGTAGCTGCTTTCGATGATGGTAGCTTGTGTAGGCTGCAGACGAACAGGTAAAGGTTTATTTCAAGCTGAAAGGAAAAGATGCAAAATGCTTTGGCTGTGTCATCAGGTTGTCACCTGAAGAAGGCTTCACAGCTAAAACGCGCCCCTTTTCTTTCCCTTTACGCCTGGAATAAACCTGTTCCCTAAAAAAAGGCACCTTAGCAGCTGAGAAAGTTACCAAAAAATCTCTTGCTTCTCTTACAGAGGTTTACTGTGGTGCCATGAAATGGTTGGGATGTAGGAATCAGACTTACATGGAAGTTGTTTTTATTTATCCTGTTGTTTATAAACAAATCTCAGCTACAAAGACTATTTTGTGTGTTAAATTTTGAAATGCAAAAATTCATATGAATTGATGCAGGTCCAAGGAATATGGATCAAATACCAATAATAAAAATTAAGTTTATTTTGTTATTACACTGAAATGCATTGTTCTTGGCTATTGGAAACCTCATTTACAGGCATTAATACCAGTGCTCTTTTTCAAATGTCTTCCTTTTTTCCTTTGTTTCCTTTTCATAGATGGTGTCAGATCTGAAGGAGAGGAACACCCTCCTGAAGAGCGAGAAGGATGACCTGAATCGCCTGATCCAGGAGCAGGCCCAGCAGATGAAAGGTGCCTGTGATGAAGCATACTATTCTGTTTTCGATATCAGCTGATTCCAGACAAAACACTTTGAGATTTCCCCGACATTTTGACTCTAAAATCTGTTTTTCTGTGAACAGTTGGTCATGGCAGCCAGCCATAATTTCCCATCAGACAAGCCACCATTCTTTATAATGCACTAGAATGAATAAGAGGCGAAGGAGCTTCCTTGAGCTGCAGGAATTGAAATAGCTTTCTGTTGCTGGTTTCATACCTGAAGGTGGCTTTTTCCTTTTTGTACACATAAATATGTACAATATGAAGTTTCTTGCATTATCATCCACCTGGCATCTTATTAATATATATGCTGGATTTTTAAAATATTTTACAGTGATTTCAAAGCTGACACAAAAGGCATTAGCAAGTCAAGTGAAGGCTAAAGTCCTCATAGTTTAAAAATAATGAATACAGCTACTAGAGGCTACTTAAGATCCACCTTAATAAGATCATCTTCATTAAATTCTTAGGACCTGTGAAATTAATACAGTACCACTAAATGCTGATACCTTTCATTGTTTTTTTTTAAAAGAAATCAAAAGTGAATCCAGCCTGGAACATGGCTGGGGGCTTGAGGATGATGAGCTGTTGGTATTTACTCCCTACTGTACTTCCTGTCGCTCACAGAAAAAATGGAGAAGGCGCTGATGGAGGAGACCAAACAACTGGAGAGTGATCTGAATGAGGAGCGGTCCCGGTACCAGAACCTGCTGAGCGAGCACCTGCGGCTGGAAGAGCGTTACGACGATCTCAAGGAGGAGATGAACCTTGCAGTGGTGAGTGCAGTGCATGCACACCACTTCCTAAAGGTCCCGGAGCTTCTGCACACAACGCCAGTACTTAAAGCTTATAGCCCCGCTCCTGACCCCTAGTCTAACTGTGACGTGAGCTGAAAGAGTGATTTGGGTTTTCTGTTTTATAGAATGTTCCCAAGCCGGGCCACAAAAGGACAGACTCTACCCACAGCAGCAATGAGTCTGAATACACCTATAATTCCGAATTTGCAGAGTCGGAGGAGATCTCTCGTGGAGGAGAGGTAAGCACGTGCACCATTTATTTAGTGTTATTGATTGATGTGTCTGTGGCTACCATTTAATCTAATGTTTTTTTCTTCTTTTTTAAGCTCCTTGTTGAAGGGTGAATTCAGAATTCAGCACATTTAAAATGGAATTTTAACTTCCTCTGAGCTCCTTTATCTGTTTCCAGACTGTTGTTCTGGAATAAACATAAGCCAATAAACATTCTGGTCTTAAATGTTAAGAGCCTTAAGAACCAATAAAAGGTTCTGGTCTTAATAGTGATTTGTTATGAGGACTATTTAATAAACTATTCACTTTATCTCTCTCTATCTGTTGTTGTGTTACACCCCACACCCCTATTCTCCATTGTGGCCAAATGCTGAAACTTCTGTCTCTGCTGGTTTTCATCAGGATGTCACCAAGGCTCCCTGGGACATGTCTCTCTTCCTCAAGCTGCAGAAGAGGGTGACTGAGCTGGAGCAAGAGAAGCAGTCCCTGCAGGGAGAGCTGGACAGAAAGGAGGAGCAGGCTCAGCGGGCTAGGACCAGGGTAAGAGCTGAAGTTTAAGTTTATTTGTCAGTCCAGCCATATATAATTATACAGAGGAGCGAGATATTGTTCTCCAGGTCTATGGTGCAAATACAGACAAAAAACTGACAAGACAATGCTATAGACAATGTAGATGTACACATTTCTGACAGGGTACAAAGCCTTTACAAGAACCCTAGCAAGATAGAGCTCAACTTCTGCTTCAATGCTGTCATCTGGTGGTGAGCAGCAGTGCTGGATTTAAATTGTGTTGGTAACTCTGTGCTGTTTTCAACGTGTCTGTGAGTTTATTCGTCCTTTTCTTCCACGGCAGGAGGAGGAGGACTACAAACGGGCTCGGGGAGCAGAGCTGGAGTATGAGTCTCTCAAGGTAAAGATGAGTAGAGCTGCTTCAGCAATGCTGAGGCAGACATGGCTGACGTGTCCCTTCACAGTCCTTTTCACCTCTTGCATGCCTTTTTTAAATGGACTGAACAAAGAGGGTTATGCTTGCTGTAATTGGGCATTGTGGTCGCTACTGGAGACCTCAAAAGATCTATAGCAAGAATAGCCAAAAGAGCAGCGCTTCTCCTGAAAATGATGGTGATCTGTGTTCGTTCTGAATCCTTTCTGTAGCGCCAAGAGCTGGAGTCTGAGAACAAGAAGCTGAAGCATGACTTGAACGAGATGCGGAAATCTATGTCTGAGAAGACCGGGCCTGGCAGTGCGGTCCCAGGCTCCCCGGTTTACAAAGTCCTCCTGGACCAGCTCAACTCCTCTAATGAGGAGCTGGAGGTCCGGAAGGAGGAGGTGCTGATCCTGCGCTCCCAGCTGGTCAGCCAGAAGGAGGCCATGCAGCACAAGGTAGACTAAATCAGAAAGCAAATTACATGAGACAGATTACAACAGTACGGCAGTCACAACAATATCTGTAACACAATAGGATTTTGTTGTAATAGTAAGAAAGAATGTGCTTTGGTATTTGAATTTTGGTTATTCTTGTCTGAAAAACTTTTTTGAGATGAAGGCGTCAGCTCCATATAGATTAGGAAGATGCGTGGGAACAAGGAAAAACATTGCCTCCCATCTGAATCTAACTTCCGTTGGCAAGTAAACAAGCTTGGGCTATGTCAGGGAGCAAAGAAAGATAAAGAAATTACTTCTAAGAAACCTATAAACCTAACTATATGAACTAAGGCTGTTTTATCACCTGCTGACATTACTTTTTTTGTCCACTTTCTTTCCTACAATGCTTTGCTTCCAGGAGCACAAGGTAATTGGCTTGCTTCCTGCTGTTGCTCTAGTCTCTGGTTTGATGTGTGTTTGTTTGGTACCTCTGCATGAGCCCTTGTGTCACCGCGTTGACTGAAACAGGAAATTAGAAGCTTTGTCTCCCCCAATGGGAGGCAGAGTAAATTGCCTCTTTCCTGGTTAGATGATGAAATCAGGTTCAATTTCCACAAGTAACACTGCTTTATTATATCAGTTGTTGGCACAGCAGACGCTAGGAGAAAATCTTCTTTATACTGAAGTAATAAAGTTGAAACCCCAAAGTAAATACAGTTAAACTTTCTTTTTACATCTTAGCTTCATTTTTTGTTGCATATGCTGCTTTATTCTGTTTTTGTTTTTCCACCTGGCTCTTTGTGCTCAGTAATGGCTCCTTGTCTCTGCTGGGCACGCATGACTCATTGTTTACTTACAGCCCAAGTGTGAGTTTTTTATACTAGATGTCTCGTCCTGAGAGTAATTATTCATATTGTTCATCAACAGTTTTCACATTCAAAATATTATTTTACTGATCAGCCGACCAATTAAGCAACAATATCAAAGACATTGACAGCTAAGCTGGCTGAATCCTGATGAGAAACTGACAGACAGGGATGATCCTCCTTGTATATGAAGCTAAAGAGGCATGCTGGTGCTACTATAATGGCTTTTCATTCACCTTGTTCACATCTATAATTGGCTCTGTTATGTCTCGTGACAATAACCCGCTTATAGATGGTGTAACCAGGTCTGTGATCACATAAAATTAGCCGTTTAAAAATCAGATTGTGGGTGAAAAATAAAAATAGAAATCGGTATTAACTAAAGCTGAGCAACGCATTTCATTTTCATGTGTCTTTGCATTCTTTTTTGGTGAATATGAGCACTGTACTGTTTCACTGTTTAAAGGGGTAAAAGCAATAAGAACAGCACCTGCATAGCACAGCAGGGTACGCTGTTCAGTAGTACTGAAATTCTAATAGCTCATATTTCACCTCCTGTTCTGCTCCCTCCCCAGGAAACCATGACAGAGGCCATGTCTTACATTGAGGATGTGCAGAAGATGAAGGATGCGGGTGAAATTACTCAAGCGTACATAGGACTGAAGGAAACCAACAGGTACATTCTCCCAGCTGCACAGCTGTGTGCTGGACTTTTCATGGAACTTAAATGTGGTTTATGCACTACACATCAGCGAGTGTTGTGCATGTTTCTTATTTATGTCTGGTTCCATGAAAGCGTATTTTCTGTTTCTATAGTGCTGTTTCTCCACTTATTTTTTTTACCAGGGACTAGCTCCATAATTAAGTCTTCCTTTGAGGATCGCTTAGGCTACAGAGTAGTCCATAGCAAGAATAATTGCTCTAGTTACCTAAGGTTACAGCACAGTCCTGTCAGTTTTGCTACAGGAAATGGTGCTGATCTGTGAGCCTGGACTTGAGAAATTGGTTCTGTTAATGTCCATGAAGGGCCCAGGTGTACAAGACATACTGTATGCCTGAACTGAACAGCAACGTACTGGACATCTGGTGGTTTTTATTTCCTGTCAAGCTACAGTCTGTGTAGGTCCGAGTCAGAGCAGTCTGAGATTGACTATAGTTTCCAGCTCAGGACACTGCTAGGCCAGCTTGTGAGTAATACAGAGTTGTTTTTGTGGTATCAACTTGTAAAGCTTTTAATGGTTTAATGGCTTTGGACGGGTCTTCCTCCTGGGTTGTTTCCTCTTTCTCAGTGTCCATAGCTTTTCAAAGCCTCTTGGCAACCTTGCCAGCAAGTTGTTTTATGGTGTTCCCCTGGAGCTCTGCACAGCCAAAAATACTGCACAGCTTTGACCTGCTAGTGCCCTTCACATTGTGCCATGAGATTATGCTGTTTTCCCTAACTTTCAGAAAAACAAATTCATACATGCTCAGATTTACTCTAGTACTATAACACTGGATTTCTCTTTCTGTTAGGTATCTTTTTTGCTGTTGCAGTTTTATATTCTAGAATTAGTTTTATACTCCAAACAACAAATATGTCTGTTTTTTTTTATTTGTGCAAAGACGTTCCTGTATAACCATATAGATTGTTGGAGCATTGTAAGAAAAAGAAACATTTTGCCAACAAACAAGGGCACCAAAGGTGCACATAAATGTTGTTTGTGTTTTTCCATCTTTTTATAACAGATTGCCTGTCAAAAGGAACTGCTGTGCTCAGCACATGGTATTAACATATATATTAATAAGTCAGAGTCAGTGATGCAGTGCTCCTATTCTCTCTTAGAGGAAAGTCTCTCTGATGTGTGAATAATAACAGTGTTTTGGTCACTGATAGAGAACACTGACAGTTGTGGACTGTTCAGAAATCAAACAATGAAATATTGCACCAATATTAAATATATTGCAACAGCATTATTCATTTACAGAAAACAATATTTAATCCATACTTGAATTAACAGGAGTTTTTGGACGTGGGACATCTGGACATTGATTCAGAATCAAATTCAAACAAATGAACTAAAAAATGCAAAAAGTACAATTTTTCATGATGGATATTATTTTAAAATGAGAGAGTCTGTGATTTTCTGAAAGGTCATCAAGTGACATTGTATTGTATTCTTAAACTGTATGTAGTGTATTTTTTGTAATAATTCTCATCTTGCTTTTTATATTTATATAGTTCACAGTAGATCATTGTTGCAAAAGGTTTAGAATTTTCTTAAGTCAGGTCCTCACAATGCTTTTAGCATCTTCTTTTGCCATCTGCCTTAATATGTAGACATTATTAAGGATGCCCATCCACTCATTCGTTTTGCTTGTACTTGTCTAAATGTGCTTGCTGGTGTACCAACACACTTCCAGACGGAACGAGGCCTTCATTAATTCCAGAGCAGTGATGTGCTTGAAATCCGATAAACATCTTGTGCCTTTCTATGTTGTCTGTCTTGTGCAGATCACCAAAGTTTTTGCGTAAACCCCTTGAAGTGAATGATCTCATGGCTAGGCTCAGGTACTGTAACTGAAGAAAGAGAATGCCCTCAAAGGAGAGAACAAGTGTTCGTGCATGCATAAACAAATTAAAAACATTTTTACTTTGTTTTCCAAAGGCTTTTTATGGATGACCAAGCTGAGATAACATAAGGCAATAGTGTAATTTAGCTGATTTAATCTTGAACAAGCATGAACTGCTTAAATGAATGAAATGGGCGCTGGAGTGCACTGCAATCTAGAGAATGGCTTCCCCCAGTTTTCTTACCATCATCATTGTCCATTTTGTTTTCCAGGGGCTTCCTCTGGATATTCTTCAGTTTAAAAATAGGTTTTTCGCCCTTCCACAGCTAATGTATTTATGTGTCTCTTGACAGTTTCTCAGCCTGTTTTATTGGCACAAAAATCTTTTTATTTCACAAGGTCATGATACAAAAGTCAGAATCGATCCAGTTCCTGAAGCTCTTTCTGCTGATCACTGATTGTGACTGCAGTGACATATATTTTGGGGACTCAGTTTCCTTCCTTGTGTGACGACATTAATGGACTCAAAGCAAACCCTCAGGAGGCACATAGTGAGATGAAGTAATACACATCCAAAGTAAATGGAGTCAAAATTACACCCATTTATGCTGCTTTGTTGAACATGAGATCGTCTCTCAAAGAATAATCATTCATTTTGAATGCTTGTTTTATGCAATATTAATTAGCAGTGCATTGTGGTGATGTCAGTAGGCCCTCAGTTAGAGACAAGCACCTTTTAAACTATGCACAATGTACTTAGGAGTAAGAAAATATGTAAAGAAAAGTCATGCATGCTCTACGATGGCTTGTTAGGCACCTGATTCAACTGGACAGGCACTTGTGAAACTCTTGATCTCCAAACTAATATATATTATTCAGTCATCTCTGAACTTTCTCTAACCCTTTATCTGTGTGCTCAAAAGGCTGAAACACTTCTGCCTTTGAGTAGTTTACATCGGATGTAAAATTGGTTAGTTTCTTTGTCCACATGTGCTCTGCTATTGTGAGTGACATTTGAAGGGTTAAAGGACCTTTTTATGACGGCATTTTTACTAAGTGCATGTCAGCATGAGTTGAGACTTTACTGACAAAAGTGGCAAGTTATTTTTTTTAAATAAAATAATTGTACAGTGTATATCAAATGATTAAATACAAGAGTCCCAGCAGATATGCAGTTTATATTATTTTTTGGTTCTTTTTAATTATTCTTATTAGGTGTTATTATTCAGATTTTTTTTATTTCTATCTATTTTACTGCTCTATGTACAATGAGTTCAATTCTAAGCACTAAAATGCATACGATTGGTCATGACCATAAATAATTGTAAAAGTTCACTCTATGTCCAAAAGGCTTGCTGTATAGTTTAAAATGTAGACACAGCGCAGAGGAGATGTCTCTGTCTGAGCTCTCTCTCAGCTGCCATCCTCCACCCTTGTCGATCTCAACATGCTTGCACTCATCACCTTCATTTGTCCCTTTTTATTTTGCCTTTTTTTTGTTCTGTTTCCTTTTCTGTTTGCTTGTCAGATCCCCCACTCAGGACTACCATGCGCTGAATGAGGACGGAGAGCTTTGGCTGGTTTATGAAGGGTTAAAGGAAACCAACAGGTTAACCTTGTTTGTAAAGTGCAGGGCCTTTCCCTGCTGTCTGCTGTGTGTCCATCTGGCCATATTACACCCACTGAGCTTCTGCTTCAGTCAGAACAGACTCTCAGCATTCCCAGCACCATGTGTACCACTAGATGTATTTTTGTTTTCCCATTTTTAGCACTTTTGCTGAAAACCTTGATCAGGCAAAAATCAAACATGCACGCAGCTAAAGAAGAATGTAGTGTTCGCTGCTTGCTTGTTTCTGCCGCTGCTTTGTAGGACTGAACTCAATAGCCACTTGACGTAAGAGGTTCTGTCTATTCTTAGTACCACAGTCTACAAAATAAAAGGAGAGAATCCCCACACTGCAGCTCCTGCAATTAAATTCAGTAACTGGTGCACACAAAGGCTCCCGATCCAAGATACTATGTATTCACCGTTCCCCTCTTTATTTGACCATTCTATTAAAATGAATTAATTTATAAATGTCAGGTTTCTACAAGTCTATGGTGAGTTTAAATTACCATGTTTGAAAGGTAAGCATTTCAATTTACCTTCAAGTGAATTGGTACTTAATAGTAACAGTGCAGGCCTTACATCTTTAAACTCCCAGCTGTGCTTTTGTCATGATGCTAAGGTTCCATTCTGTGGGCATCATTGGACTTTAGGAAGAACAGAAAACATAAATCTTTAATTAATTCCTCACTATATAATGGCTTTTCCTTAGGGTGCATTGCAGGATCACACAAGAAGGGCTGCCTTCTGTTAACAGAAGAATAATAGATTTTTTAGAATCAAATGGTGGACATCACTAAGCTCATTTTACACTTAGTCCATATTTGGACATTTGAGTCTTCATTTTGGGGTACTGGCCAAGCCCTTGTTTTAGGACTACATTTCAGTGGCTATTTCAGAATTTAGTAATCTCTGCACCCTCAGCATAGATATTAGGATGTCAGGTTCCTTAGGAGGACAAAAGCACACAGGCAGAGTTTAAAGAGCGCATTTTGCTCTTTCCTCCTTCTTTTCCGGCGCTGTTTCCGAGCGCGACGGCAGCTGCGCAGCACGCAGTAGTGTTAGACGGCAGAGCTCGCGCCGGCTCTGGGGGCTCGCCGCTGAGCGACTCTCGTCTCTTCTCCCCTCCCCACGCCCAGGCTGCTGGAGTCGCAGCTGCAGACGCAGAGGAAGGCCCATGAGAACGAGGTGGAGGTGCTGCGCGGGGAGCTGCAGGGCGTCAAGGAGGAGAACAACCGGCAGCAGCAGCTCCTGGCCCAGAACCTGCAGCTGCCCCCGGAGGCCCGGATCGAGGCCAGCCTGCAGCACGAGATCACCCGCCTCACCAACGAGAACCTGGTAGGCGCCGCCCTGCCCGCGCAGGCGCAGCGGGACAGCCTCCGCATCTCCCTGGGGTTTCAGTTCAGCTTTCTCTTCGTGCGGTTTTCAATCACCCACCCACTTTCTTAAAGTAAAATAATTTTGATGCTAAGGCCATGCTTACCGCCACAACTATTTCCTTATTGAGCACTTGATGATGAATATTATTAATATTGTTAATAAATTCAAGTAGGTAGCTGTGTCAGCATGCGTAGGCTGCAAAAGGAACACGTAAAGGTTTATTCCGTGCTGAAAAGAGAAGAAAAGAAACACAACGTTTCGGCTGTGGAGCCTTCGTTGAATACGGCAAGGAAAGAAGACGCCCGAAGAAGTCTCTACAGCCGAAAGGTTGTGTTTCTTTTCTTCTCTTTTCAGCATGGAATAAACCTTTACGTGTTCCTCTGCAGCCTACGCATGTGGACGCAGCTACCTACTTGAACTTAATAATAATAATAGCAGTCAAAACAATCTACTAGACATTCATCTGGTGCCTGTGGAGTCTAAACAAAAGAAAAATGCTCACTAATAAAAAAAGATTGCCTTACCGAGCCATCAGTTACTTGTAATCAGCAGTCAGTGCTTTGACAAAAGTTTGTCTGGCCTTTCTGAAACACATCATCATGAAAGTTGTACTTAAATTTGTTCACAATCTAGTTTTTTTATGCATGTATCAAATGCCATTCCACTCTTTAGCTGTAATGCTGGTGCTGGGGCTTTGAGAGATATTCTCGGTGATGAATGAATTCTTGGTGCCATTGCCTGGCAGTAATATCTAAAACCACAAGCTGAGAAACAGTTGTATGAACATACTCAACCAAAATTCAATGCCACTGTGGTTTCTTGATTTTGAAATCTAATTCTGTGAGGTATAAGTGACCCTTGATTTATATTATGTAGCATGCCTTTTTTAAAAGATTTACAAATTAATTGGATTCCATTTTGTAACTCATAATGTTTCTGTACAAGACATAGATTAAATACATGTTTTGATGCTTTGTGGTTTTATTGAATAACTAAGGAGTTCTGCAGATGCAAGGGAGAGGGAATCTTGCACTTTTAAAATACTCCTGATATGTACTTTGGAGAGGAGCTCTTAGAGCACAAACACCCCAAACTAGTGAGTGCAGTAGATGACCAATATTTTCTAAACCATATTTTATGTGATATTAATAAAGACTGAGGGTTGAATGAAAGAGATCGTCAAAAGACAGAATATAAATCTTAGAAAACAAAGGTTTGAAGATAAAAGCAAAATACATAGAGAAATCTAAAAATTCAAATTCAAATCAAATTCCATGCTCTTGGAAGGCAGTTTTGAATGCATATTGACACATTTCCTACAATGTAAGTAGTAATTAATACAGCTGGCCCATATTATATCATAGTCATCCTATAATATTACAAATTCAGATTTCTTAGGCAGTATCTCATAAAATGCACATCTGAATGAGCCACAATTTATGTGAACATGCTTTAAGAACACATCATGTCATTATCCATTCTGTGAGATGGATACCTTTTTCTTCTAGTAAGAAACACAGTTGTGCTACAAAAGGCGATGTAAACCTCACGTTATAACCTGCAGAAGTCTGAGAATTTTTTAAAGCATGAATTTTATCTCACAGGAATTATATGCTGATGACCCTAAGAACTATCGGCTCTACCGGATTGCACTTTACCAACGGATCATTGTATGTAGAGTGGCTAGGGTTCTCCGTGTTCTCTCCTGCCTCCTCTTGTGTCCCTCTCTCCTTTTCTCTGGAAGCACTAACGGACGAGCAGCCTCTTTGGGCTGCCTGGTCGCTGTCTTTCAGTCCATGGAGTTGCACTCTGCTGCCAGAGGCAGCTATAACCCTCCTCAGCAGCAATGTTTTCTGTCTGTGAACTTACGGTGTCCGCGTTGCAACCCGTACCCTGCTTGTTACTAATACACTGCCACCTGGTGATGGAAGCACAGTTCTTTTTTTCTTCGCAGTTTTTCATTGCAGTGACTGCTTTTATTTTTTTTGCAGAGAAGCACTTTCCTTATAAATTTTGCAGCAGCATAACCATTTTTTTGCAGCTGCTTGGTTTGTCCTTTCAGTGAAGTGCGACAGTTTTTGTTAAAAAAAAATGTCAGTACGATTTAGCCTGGTGTAGAATACGCGCAAGTAATCGTCTGCTTTAACATTTCACAAATACATTCCTTCAACATTTTTTCAGTTACTTAAATCGTGGGTCAAGTGTACGTTTTCTTCGGACGGGTTGTTAGGATGTATTTTCACATTATAGCATCAAAGACAGAAATCTAATTAAAAATGAAATAGAATCGAACTGTACTGTTTAAAAATTCAAGTGTGTCTGGAAAAATTGGTCATGATCATTTGTTTTCAGTGCCACATTTTTTAACATAATTTTATTTTTTTAACATCATACATCTCATTATGCCTTTAACAAGAAAAGGCTTTGTTTCCATCATTCATTGTGAACGTGCTTCAGAGCACTCTTGATTAAAACAGACATAACATCAATCAGAAAGTGTTAACCTGATTCACTGGCACTGTCAAATGACAGATTTACTAATACCTGTGTCTATGTGTCTGATCCAAAAGGAATGTTCCTACTAAAACTTGGATGACTAAGGAACTTGTACCTTGATTTCAGGATCTCATGGAGCAGCTGGAAAAACAGGACAAGACTGTTCGTAAACTCAAGAAGCAGCTGAAAGTGTTTGCAAAGAAGATTGGGGAGTTAGAAGGTACATTGTTGCAGTTTGTAATCCTTAACCCCCTCCCCCCCCCACCAATCCCAGTCACAGTTTATTTTTAAGTTGTTTTGATTCACCAGTAAATAATATTTGTTCCCTAAGTAACAATTTAAACCATTAACTAAGTTTATGGTCTGTTTTAAATAATTTTGCAAGGGTATTGCTATCACTACATTTAACAGTCATATAAATTCTAATCACTCACCCAAATAGGATTTCTGCAAAAAAATATGTCCTACTTCAGGCAGATGATGCCAGTTCTATGTATTTTGGGCTGAAAATTTGTTCTCTGCCCTTTTCTTTTCCTTCCTAATGCTGGTGTCTTAGTGGGTGGTCAGATGGAGAATGTGTCCCCCGGGCAAACTGTGGATGAGCCTATTAGGCCTGTCAACATCCCCAGGAAGGAGAAGGACTTTCAGGGAATGCTGGAGTACAAGAAGGATGACGAGACCAAGCTTGTGAAAAATCTGATTCTAGGCAAGAGATTTCGTGGACTGCAGATGTTTTTATTATTTGGCCTTTTGACAAACTCACCTTTCCATTTCAGTTTGTATCAGTAAAGAAGCTTAGGTACTGTTAAAAAAAAGTATAGTACTTCTGTGTTGCGCTACTATAAAACCATCCATGAACACATATTCGCACCACTAAAAAAATAATTCCTATGCCTTTTCACATAAAATAGCTCACGCCTGAAGTCTAATAATGGCAGATCACACAAATTGAACTTTTTACGAAAAGGGTTTCTGACTTTGGTGCACGCTGTTCTGTGTGTCAGAGCTGAAGCCGCGAGGAGTTGCAGTGAACCTCATCCCTGGACTCCCTGCCTACATTCTCTTCATGTGCCTCCGGCACGCCGACTACATCAATGACGACCAGAAGGTGCGAACCCTCCTGACATCCACTATCAACGGCATCAAGAAGATCTTAAAGGTACGTACCTGGTTTACCCCAGCCAGCATTAGGAAACGCGTAGATAAGGAGATCTTAACCTCACACCCTCCATTATCGATGACCTCTGACCATCTAAAAAACTTTTTTTTTTAAAAAGCATAGCTGACATTCAGCAATTCATTCCTTTGGCTAACATGTAATGCTGAAGGTTTGTGTTTACAACTGAAGAAACGTTTTGATATGAATAAAAATTCTATGATACACAGATTTTTCTGAGGGTGTTTTTGAGTGCTGAGTGTGGAAGTTTGCTATGTAATGAAAAAGGCAGGTCCCAATTGCTCATTAGTGTCTTGTTTTTTGCAGTGTGTGTTTGGAGTAATGACAGAGTCGGAGGTGGCTCCTGACCCTGTTATGTAGTGTGAAGGCTTTGATCATGCAGCAGGGCTCCGTTCCCCAGCTGTGTGAGAACCGAGAACATTAGAATTACCACCTGCTGTAATGATATGTTTCCTTATGGACCATTTAGTTCTTGTTGCTCAGATTCAGGAGAAAACCTGACTTCTCTGACAGCATCTTTTCTGCTAAATGAACCACATAATCAATTCCAAATGGTCAGGAATTAGAAGATGTCTTTCAGGATGGGATTGGATAGCCAGTTTCAATCTTATTTTTTGTTTGTGTCTGCTAGTTGCATTGGCTCTTGTAGTCCAGGTTTTCAGCGTGGAAGCAGTAGACACCTAGAAATGAAAACCTAGAAGTAAAAAAGTTTGATTATTGTTTTAAGAAATTGTTTTAAATTTGCCTTTATGCAGAAAAGAGGAGACGACTTTGAAACAGTCTCATTCTGGTTGTCCAACACCTGTCGGTTCCTGCACTGTCTGAAGCAGTACAGTGGAGAGGAGGTAAAGCATAGACTGATTTCCTTTGAAGCTTTGTAATTGCTTTATTACCCAGAGCTCCTCAGTCCTTAACACTTGTTCTCTGTTTTGTGCTCATCTCAGTCCTTCATGAAGCACAACACCCCGAGGCAGAATGACCACTGCCTCACCAACTTTGACCTGGCCGAATACAGGCAGGTGCTTAGTGACCTGGCCATCCAGATTTACCAGCAACTCATTAAGTGTATGGAGAACATCCTTCATCCAATGATAGGTAAACACTGGACTTTCCCACTGCACGTCTGAGTCTTTGTTTGAGGTGATGCTGCTATGGTTTAATTTAGTTGCTTTATTAAAGTTATCATTAACTGTACTGGTATCGAGAAGTGAAAAAACACCAGTGGCAATGTAATGTAGAAACTGAATTGCCTTAATGTAGACTGACTTGCCTTAATGCTGTAATGTAGAAAAGTGAATTGCCCTTTAATTAATATGTTTGGTCTTTATGGTCTGTCTATATATTCTCATGCAAAAGCAGAGTCTTCCTTTTGAGTGTGGGGTATTCCTTAGCAAAGCAGATTAAGGAGATCCTTCATAGTTCTGAAGGAGCTACGCCAGCAGCTCTATCACCCTGCAACTCGCTACTTGCAGCCCACTGAAGCCTGGCCAGTACCTAGATGGGAGACCTCCTGGGAAAGTTAATGTTGCTGCTGGAAGCGGTGTTAGTGGAGCCAGTAGGGGGTGCTCACCCTATGGTCTGTGTGGGTCCTAATGCCCCAGTATAGTGACAGGGATACTGTCCTGTAAAAAGGCTCCGTCCTTTGAATGAGATGTAAAACCAGGTTTGTCGATAAGAGAAGGGGTGTTAACCCCGATATCCTAGCAAAATTTCCCCCTGGCCTTTACCAGTCATAGCCTCCTAATAATCCCAATCTTGTGTGTCTGTGCAGTCTCAGGAATGCTGGAGCACGAGACGATCCAGGGTGTGTCGGGAGTGAAGCCTACAGGCCTTCGCAAGAGGACCTCCAGCATCGCAGATGAAGGCACCTACACGTTGGACTCCATTCTGCGCCAGCTCAACTCCTTCCACTCCACCATGTGCCAGCACGGCATGGACCCTGAGCTCATCAAGCAGGTGGTCAAGCAGATGTTCTACATCATCGGGGCCGTCACCCTCAACAACCTCCTATTGCGCAAGGACATGTGCTCCTGGAGCAAAGGCATGCAGATCAGGTACATTGCCGCACAGCGCGCTTGTTGTCCACTTCGCCTGTATCCTGTGTGCAGCTCTCTGGCACACCCTCACACAACAAAACACGTTGGGGTGGGCTCAATGTGCGGTGTTTGAATAGTTTGGAAATGCCATGTTTTACTCATTCTAAGTAATGACTGTTTTGGCAATATGAAAAACCTTAAGAGATATCTTCCATTTATTTGAATGTTGTGAGATACACAGCATAGATCAAAGGATTGAAAATGAATACAAAGGCACCTCAAGGAGTATTTTTTGAGTACTTTGATCAGGGACCTCAAACTCAGTTCCTGGAGGGCCTGGTGTCTTCTGGCTAGTCATTGCTTAGTGATATCTTCTGATTTGTCACTTAAGCGATTAACCAAACTATTATCTAAATTGGACATATGTAGGATTTTTCTTGATACCTCAAGACATTCACTTATTGGAAGGAACTGCATTTGAGACCCCCGAGTTAGTGTGTAGACCCACTCAAGATAGCTTACTGAAATCCCAGAAGGTGCTTCAGGGAAACAGCATGAAAAAGCGTAAGAGACTTCTTACCAGATTCCTTTTTCCTCCAGGTACAACGTCAGCCAGCTGGAGGAGTGGCTGAGAGACAAGAATCTGATGATGAGCGGAGCTAAAGAGACCCTGGAGCCCCTGATCCAAGCCGCCCAGCTGCTGCAGGTGAAGAAGAAGACGGACGAGGATGCCGAGGCCATCTGCTCCATGTGCAACGCGCTGTCCACGGCCCAGGTTCGCTGCTCTCCCCAGAAAGACCTCTGGAGCGCTGTACATTAACCTGGGGATAATTCTTAACTCCCGTACAAAAAGAAATACCTTATTTGCCTTTGGCATAAAGTATACTAGTGGGAGAAAAAAGGATAATGGTCTAATGAAACAATCAGAAGCAAGCTGGAAAAACAGTCATAGTTTTTTGACAAAGTTGTGTTCATCCTTGTGCTTATTTTGTTTAGTTTTAAAGTAAAATTTATGTTTCATATGACACCTGTTTTCATCAACAGATTGTGAAAGTGCTGAATCTGTACACCCCTGTAAACGAGTTTGAGGAACGAGTGTCCATTACATTTATACGTACCATACAGGTAAGCTCAGTGGAGTTATTGGAGTATTTTGCCTTGGTGTCCTACATTAATGTTGTAATGTGTCCTATAGAGCATTTGAGATTTTCTCTGTTTATGTTTTGCACCCTTTAAACTTCTGTTTCAAATCTCTGCCGATTATGAAACACTTATGAACTGCTTTTCATGTAAGATCATGGCCTAAGCATTTTGCCTCACCAGTTCCTCAGGCACAACCTACAGGTGTTGCTGATCAAGATAGACTTGGTCACACAGTTACTTTTCCAGTTTTTGAAGGAGACATCCAACACTTTTCTTTTCAAGTCAACAGAGATGTGTGAAGTGTACACTTATTACAGCAATGGTATTTTAAATAATTATGGTTAAGAATGATATATAACATCCTGTAATTAGAGGGCAATGTCTAATTTCACTTTACTGAGACCTAGTGAAGACGCAATAATTGATAGATAAATGTCTCTACTACGAATTTAACACAATTTTCCATTCCCAGTGAAAATCTTTCTGTTCTCTTTAGCTGAATATGAACTTTGAATTTTCCTGCTAGTGTTCCAATTCATTTAGGCTTTTTGTTACAGATCTTTTTCTTGTCCCACCAATTGTATTTAACTTTTCTTCTTCTGTGACGAGCAGACTCTCTAACCCCCTCCCTCCTTGTTCTCCCTTGTTTGTGTTCTCAACAGACGCGCTTAAGGGACCGGAAAGAGTCGCCGCAGTTGCTAATGGACACCAAAACCATCTACCCAGTTACATTCCCTTTCAACCCCTCCAGCCTCGCACTAGAGACCATTCAGCTCCCCAGCAGCCTCAACCTAGGATTCCTCACTCGTGTGTAAAGCTGCCCTCTAGCTCGATGGGATCACTGATTTAGCCAGTTTGTCCAAAATTTCAAGCAAACCACCTTCAGATCAGACACTGGGTTATGAAATGCCACTTTAGGTAGTGTCCCTGTAGAAATCCGAATATAAGTCTTCAACAGGCAATACAAAGTTGAGACATTTTACATTTTTTTCAGGCTTAAGCAAAATGTGTTGATTTGAATGAGGGACTAGTAAGGATGTGAGATTGTCACGAGGAGGGATGTTGACATGCATAATCTTCCCTTCCCTCTTGCAGTTTGTGAATGATGGTGTGTTTTAATACACAATGCATGGTGATGACAACTTGTTTCTCAAGACGATCAGTTGCTGTTAAGGAAACACTTTCATATTTATCATGTTTATTATAGTGTATATCATAGGAGATGCAGATTTTAAGCATTTGCCTAACTTTGTATTGCATCACAATGCTTAAGGCCTTGGTCATAATATTTATCATGCAAAGAAGAAGAAGCATCTGATATTGCATTTGTATGATCTTGAATTTTCCCTTTGAATCGCGAAAAGAAACAACTGGGAAATCAGTCATGCTAAGAACCAATTTAAAAACTGGAAAAGGAAACTGGCAGTATAGAGAATAATTTGAATATTTCTGTCAGAATTATGTAGAATTAAAAAATGGTTCGTTAGTCTACTATTTAATATAGATGTTTATTTGTTAGAATTGTGATTTTAGCACACTTAGATAGCTACTGTGTCTTGTGTAACTCGCATATGCAGCATATGGTACTTATTTAGCACTGCAGTGCAGAGTTTTATGGTATACTTCTCCTAAATATCAATTTGTTTACAATTCAGACATTAGGTTAATTTACTGCAGGTGTCACTGTTACACGTCTAGGAGACGTACTGTAGGTCAAGTGGGTTATGGTGGGGTACTTGGTAATGCCCCAGAGATTTTAAAGGAAAGAAGTGTCAGGAAAGGACCTCACTAATATGATCACAGACTGTATATATAATTTCTTTTGCATCAAAATATTATCATCCATTATGTTCAGAGATTTCAGGTGTGACTCAGGCGTTTCAGAAAGGGCCATATTCGTAAAGACTTAGTGCACTAGTATGTGCTTATGGTTATAGTTGTAGTTACTACTTCTTCTCCATAACTGGGGTATCCTGCTGCCTTATGCTAATGTTCTGAAAGTAATCTTGTATCTGTCACAGTCATGTCACTCAATCAGGAGAGCCAGTTCAATCTGTTTCAGTTCTTCTACCATGACCTGTGAGACAGGTGACAGATGACAAAAGCAGACTGGCTACAGTACTTAATGTAAGATAAAGGTTACATTTTGTTTTTTTAAAAAAAGCTCATTAAACGTTTATGAACAACTTAAATTATTTTTTGGAGTATAAATAATGAGGAATTGCATTGGCCCCATACTAAAAACACTCTGAGCATGTTTCATTTAAATAAATGTTTGTTGGCTTTTAACAGGATATATGCATTTCCTTGAACGCAGAGTTTAGCGGTTAGATAACACAGTCAGCATAGTGGACCAATGCTTCACCTTTTGTTATCGAGGAATTATGTTCTCTGCTGTAATTCAGATATCACTTTGCAGATGTTTAAGAATTTAGATCTGTATAATTGCTTATCTAAAACATATTGAATAAAACCTCTGACATGCTTTTTTTTTTAGAAAGTGTGATAATGTAGTAGTAATCTTTAGTATGCAAGACAGGCCTTTTAAAAAGTTAGCTTACTCTGATATTTTTCTGGTTATGCATCTGAAGACGGAAACCCCATTAGCAGTACTATTTAATTTACATACTGCAGAGATACACAAAACATGCAAACTTGTTATGACAGGTAGATATTCTGTCTCTTCTTATAGATATATTGGACTGACCCCTAAAATGAATTCTAAAAATGTTTAATTCTCAAGAGGATAGAATAAAAGGAAACTAGGTTATCACATGCCAAGTTCATCTCAGTCTTGTCTTAATTTCATTTTGCAGTCAAGATCTGTTGTAACACTAACCTTTGTCAGCATGTTACAGTATATATGCTAATTAAGCTGCCCATGCCTACAAGCAAGGAATACAGAACTCCTGTGAATGTTACAAAAATGTACATATCCTCAGAGTCCCATAAAAATGTTTAAGAAGTGCATTGATGTATGTTTATTTTTGTTTAAAGGCAATATAGTTTGAACTAATTGGGCATTTCATATTTCCTGTTTGTTCTCTGTATATGGTCAGGTTCATATCAGTGTCACTGGGACCACTGTGGACATGAAATACAGTATGTTTGCCTTCTGACATTATAATGTGTTACTCTCCTATGTAATGAAATGTGTATGGTATCACCATGTTGCACAGAACTGGAATATATGAGAAAATATTTATTTAAAGTCTTAAACAGCTTGAATGTTTTTGTTCTATTGTTTTTCATACTAAACATTTGTTGGTTTTACTTGCAATACATTCTCTTGTGAAAGCCTTACCTGATGATTGAATTTCTAGTTCAGTTTCTGATATCGTGTTTTGGTTGGGGCAGGAGGCTGGGTGGTTCTGCTTCATTTGTGCAATATTGTGTTATATCACTAAGCCGGTTACATATCATTTCTTGAGTTAGAGCATTGTAAAATCCTGATTATGAATGGTAGAATACATTGTAGCAGTTATATAATATCATCCATGACATCAAGATCAGTATTTCAATGCGTGTTTTAAATATATACTGTATGATTAGAAATTTAAGTAAATCATGGTGAGAGAGTATCTGTAACAGATGAACTATACATTCTTTAAGTCATATTTAAATAATAAGGCACAGTCAGGATAAGGCATAGATTGTGGATCATTTGTATGAGTTGTTAGTTTCACTTAAGGCTTGTTCAGTTTCTATTCGATGAGCATTTTGCTGTTACAGATAATGGCTGGTATGTGTTAATCGTATTGAAATTGTTAGTTTAAACTAAGTCATGTAATTTCATCTGTTTGAGTCAGAAACTTTTTGGAAAAACAAGCATACATCTTGTTCCACAGCCTTTGTATTGGTAGTTCTTTCTAGATTTCTCTTTCTAAACAAATGGGATTTCATAATTTTTCTCATTTAAAATGCTATTGTTGATAGCCCTAGAAGAACAACACTTTATCTGCAGCACACAGTTATCTTAAGAAGTTTTGAACATTGTGAATATTTGATGATCACAAAATAATCAAAAATTTCAGTCACATTATTAATTCATTATGGTTTTGGCCATAGTATGGATATGTTTATAGATATATCTTATTGTAAAATATTTTTTAGACAATGTGCAAATCCTTAACTTGGCAACAGTATCATAAAAAGTTCACTTTTTTCCACCACAGCACAAATAGCTACCAGATACTATGCCAAACCAGTGGAGCACACCTTATACGACTGGATGTTCCCACAGTATAACTGACCATGTTAATTTTATATATGTCATCGCTATTTGTTAGTCATTTGACAAGAAGCTGTACAGTGTGAGCTTATCAAAAAACTATTCTGCCCGAGACCTTTTGTTCTCCTTAAGATTTCAGGTATTACAGATAAGCTACAGTAGAAGGTGAATATGAAATTTCTGAAGAACCATTTTAAAATTAACAAATAACTCTGGGGGAAAAGGATTTTAAGCTTTTAACAGGAGTTGAACATTTTGAACAAAAAATGATTTCAGAATATAGTCCTTTTTATTTTAAGATTTGAGTCTGCAAGATTTGGGTTTAATCAGCTAGAAAATCGCAATGTATCAGATTGTAAGTTTAAAGAACGGCTATAGATGTTACAGTACCTACAGTATTGTTCTTCCATGCTGAATAATAATAGTCTACTTAGTGAAACAACAAGGTGACACCAACTGGAAGGAGACAGTTTCTGGAGGAGATCTGGATACTGTAAACACTAATAGGATTGTGCTTCAAAAAGGATTTTTCACCAAAACCTCTGTCAAATATGTTGTGACTATTTTACTTTTATCATTGTAAGTATTTCAGATTGTGTGGAAATGCCTCTGTGACATTGACCTCTAGGTTCTGTGTCAACACTGAAGATCTTGGATGGCTTTCAAATCTTAATATTACTTGGCCAATTTTGAAATCATTATTTCGGTATTTTATTTCACTTTTACCAATCTGTTAATCTTAAAGTAAGAACTTCAGTCCTTTTTATGAGACAGTATGGGTGTGCAGTCTTGTCATCATTGTATCTCCAATTGTAAATAAAAATGGTGCAAAAATAAATTAAAATAAATTGTAAACCAATCTGGTTTTGCTAGAGAAGCATTCAATTTGGAAACTGTTCCATAGCCAATGACTGATATGTTTAAGTCAAAAATCTTAAAACTGTTGTAGTTCCTAGTAGCTTCAATTAGTAATTGTGTTCACCATGGAAAGCAAAATGTAATGAGGTACAAATACTGTCAAACTTGTATAAACAAATAAAGAAATTCAGCACTGTATAGAAATTATATTTGTCTTGCTTGTCTGTGTAATTTACTGAATTCTAATGGGGGCAGGTTATTTTCTGAAAGGAATTATGCCTGTTCTTAAAAACACTCATAGACATTTAAATGGGCACACATGGGCTTAACCCATCTTTCTATCAATATAGAAATTCTAGGAATCCATTCATCCATCCATTTTCTAACTGCTTCATCCAATTCAAAGTCGCAGGGGAGCTGAGGTCTATATTGGCAAGAAGGCTGGGCACAAGGCTGGGTACATCCTAAACGGGATGCCAGTCCATCGCAGGGCAAACACAGAGACTCACACCAGGACTGATTTTCCCAGATGTCAGTAAACCTACTACCGCAGTCTTTGAACTGTGGGAGGAAACCAGAGCTCCCAGTGGAAACCCACACAAAAAGGGGAGACATGCAAACTCCTAGCATTTGAACTGGGGGCCCCAGTACTACATGGCAGCTACGCTAGCCACCTTGCCACCTGGACTTTGGTCAATAATGGATCTAATTCCATTCAACTTTGTATTTCAAAACAGTCCAAACACAAAATAATCTAAAAATGAAAGCTACCTATGCATAGATTTATTCTTTGTAGCCTTTGTTTTTATAGAGAAACCATGATCATTGAGAAGAGCTGATAACCGTTTCTTCCATAATGCCTATTCAGTTTTGCTGAACTCAAGGGAATGACCATACGCTTACTATCTACTTCACCGCTTGTACTCAGATACTGTAAATCCAATGAAACGTATCCTGTTTGCTTTATATTGTTTCGATCCCTGTGCAAATGAACACACCCAAACAGCAGCGCCATTTGTCACAAGACGGATCATGGGCGGAGAGAAGAACAAAGTTCAGGAGTAACTCCGTGCCGCACAGGTGGACGACTGAGGGAGTTTCTTTGTGTCGTATTAATGCATCACTTTCCTGATGGCAAATCAGAACAAACTTTCATAAACGCTTTTCGGGAATCCATTGTTATTTAATCAGGGAACAATGGCTTAAATGTTAGACTTCCCAGATGTTCGAAACAGATAGTAAAGTTTTGCTTTTACCCCTGTAAGTGCCTGTTGCCATGGCTCTGTCGGAGTTGTACACCAAGGTAGGAGCGCTTTTCTAGCAAAAAAGTGCAGCCGGAGCAGGACGCACCTGTTCACGAAATATGTCTGGCGGAAGTTTTAAAATGATTTGCTTATTTATCGACCTGTCGGGGTGTTCTATTTAATAAGTAAATCGTTCTCCCATATCATATTTTTCTTTTGACGTGGTGGGTGATTGCGGTAGTTACCCATTTGTCAGTTTTTGAATGTACGTACCGTAGGACCACATGGTTACGGACACCAGGGAAAACGGATCTCCTGCATTTTGGAAATGCATAGCCTACTTTATGTAAACAAAAAAAAAAGTAACTAAAGTTATGTATGTTTTCCACAGGTCGATACCGTTTAACAAGGTGTTATATAGTTTCAGCCTTGTTTTAGGCGACGGTTTTAAGCAACTCCTCAAAAATATATTTTTACACGCTTTGCTTACAACCATATGGTATGTCGGCAACGACTCCCGAACAAAACACGTAAAAGCGAAGAATGACTTGTGACATTTTAGGTATAATTTCTAAGAATAATTATCTATAGAGTTTATAAATCTTTGTAGCGTACTTTTCAAAAAGGGAGGCGTAAGGTTTTATAAAAAAAATCGAAATAGATTAAATGAAAAGCAGTCATTTGATTTTCTTTTAGGGTAAATGGATACATTTTTATTATGATTCTTGTGACATGCTGTACTGTCTTGACCTCGACGTTAGCTGTTTCTTTTTTAAGCATTAATAATTAATTAATAATTCAGAACCTTAACAAGAGGCTTATAATGCAATAGAACGGAGAAGGCAAAGGAGTCTTATTACAAAATCTAATAGACATTCAAAATAGGGAAATCGTCATTTCAAGCTTCAGTGGTGCTTTCAGTTGCACGAAAACCTTTCAAGTATAACCAGACAGAAAAATTAATCGTGTTTTCTGGTCTGAGAGTTACAAGATTAGTTACCATACATCTTGCACCTTTTCTTTACATGGTGTTGTAAATGTTTGTCAATGTGGTAATATACAGTAACTGTCTACTGTAGTTTGTAGGTGTCTACTAAAAATTAGTTTCCAAAGTAGATTTTTATCTTTGATCCTTGAGTTTAATTTTGTATATTTATAATAAGCGTGTGTTATTTTGCAAGTATTTTATTACCCATTTCCATAATTATTGCAGTGCATTGATAAATGTGGAAGTAAATCAGATTTCACTTTGTGTTGCAAGGCACTTTTCATGGGTTTTGTGTAAAATCACTCCGTCTTGTACATGATTTACATGGGGAAAAATAATAGAGTAGTTATTCTTTTTTCAGGGGGTAGTATTAAATGTTTTTGCATGTCTCTTAAGAAACTAATGTTTCACTTCACCGTAACATCCAAACTAGAAACCCAGAATTTGCTAGATTATTCACAGAAAATGCCATCCATAGACTGATCCCTGAACTTGACTTTTAGCATCAAGCTGGTTGAATTGGATTAAGCCAGTCACCTCCACCAGTTTCATATTATCAAGGGTTGAGCACTCCTATTTCTTTCATAGAAATGTGCATTAAGTAATTCTTTGAATTTTGTTTTGTGCTACCTCTAGGTAGATACTTTTTAGTTGATTAATTAGAAAGTTATTTCTGAATGTACTGTATACCACTGGGTTTTAATTGGTATTTAAGGTATTCTCTGAATGGGTTAGTGTTTTCCTGCTTTTCGTTATGAATTTCAGACAGCAGTGAGTCATCAGTTTAGGTGCACAGCTCTCTCTCTCTCTCTTTCATTGCCTGGTGTTGTATAGTTCAATAGAGTGTGGATTCCGGATCCAGAAGATGTCTGGAAATCAGCAGAGATTTTGAAAGATTTCAAGCCTGGAGAAAATGTTTTAGACCTGCAGCTGGAGGATGGTACGGTGAGTAAGTTGCTTTCTGTAATGATAAAACTGCATTTAGACTTTTTTTCTGGTTGCATTTTTATTCATTCATCCCTCCTGTGCCCTACTTTCTTTTTAGGAATTAAAATATCCTCTCGAATTGGGCGATAAGGACCTGCCTCCTCTCCGAAACCCCGACATCCTAGTGGGGGAGAATGACCTCACTGCTCTCAGTTACCTCCATGAGCCGGCCGTCCTGCACAACCTCAAAGTGCGCTTTGTGGACTCCAAAATCATCTACACCTACTGCGGTGAGGCTTCATCTAGCACAAGAATTTTGTTGACTCTCAGAAGGATGCTGTCATTAAATAAAGTGTATAAATTGTTTTATCATAATCCTAAAACAAGGACAACCTAACCCTTTCAATGGATTTAATGCAGGCTAGACAAAAGCTGAACACTTCTAGCTTTGCTGTGTTTCTCTTGTTCAGGTATTATCCTTGTGGCCATTAACCCATACAAACAGTTGCCAATATATGGAGATGCCATTATCCATGCTTACTCTGGGCAGAACATGGGCGACATGGACCCTCATATATTTGCTGTGGCAGAGGAGGCTTACAAACAGATGGCCAGGTGAGCTTTCAGCACTGTAAAAGCGACATTGATCCCCAGAAAATGACAGGACAGCTTCTTATTTTGAAGCATCCTTACATTCCAGGATCACAGTTTGGCAGCGTTAGAAGTTCAATTAAGCAATCAACCATATATTTTTATTTCTCAAATGCACAACAATACAGCGTGCAGCGGTAACTGCAATTGGCAATCAAAATATCTTTCGTGCGAGCTTACCGGGGGGAATAAAAATAAAAATCACAAAATTAAAAACTACAGAATAAGGTAACATAATAATAGTGCAATAAAAAATGAAGAAAAAAACAATATAAATAGAACTGCTTCATATCCAGGGTGTATGCAGTACGTTATGTCCAAATGCAGTGTTCCAAATACGATGGAAAACTGCCACAATGTTTTCCATTACAATGGAATGTAACTTCACCATTTAACAAAGACCATTAGGGTGGTTGCTGAAGGTGACTGCAGCTTGGCTGCTTGGCAGTCTTATTGCCTGGAGGAAGAAGCTTTTCCGTAATCTGTTGGACTTGGACCGAATGCTTCGATACCGTTTACCTGACGGGAGGAGAGAAAATAGTTTATGACTTGGATGACTGGGGTCCTTGAGAATAGACCTGGCCTTCTTCAGACATCTAGCTGAGTAGATATCCTGAATGTTTGGTAGCTCACAGTTGGTAATGAGCTGTGTTGACTTTGGGGCGGAGCAGCTCCCATACAAGGCAGTGATGCAGCCAGTCAGGATACTCTCAGTCGTGCACCTGTAGAAGTTGTCCTGGATATGTGATGGCATGCCAAACTTCTTTAGCCTGCAGAGATAGAATAGGTGCTGCCGTGCTATTTTCACAATGATGTTGGGGTGGTGGGTCCAGGTTAAGTCCTCTGTGATGTTAACTTCCAGGGACTTAACACTGAGGTTTACAACTTCCTTTTATGTCTTTCTGAGAGAGAGGCTTGATCCTGTAAAAGAAGCCCAGCTGAGGCGTTGATTAGTGTTTGTTGGTGGGTTTCCAGGAACAGTAAGAACCAGTCGATCATCGTGAGTGGGGAATCGGGAGCAGGGAAGACAGTGTCGGCCAGGTACGCCATGAGGTATTTCGCCACGGTTAGTAAATCCAGCAGCAAGACGCGTGTGGAAGACAAGGTCCTGGCGTCAAACCCCATCACAGAGGTGGGTTCGTTTCTTTTGTCCTTTCTACTTATTTCTGAATGACATAAGCACAGTTCTGATGTTGCAATGCTATTACTTTTATCTGGGAAATAACGTTAAAAGATCTGGATCTCGGATATCTTTGCTGGAAATGTGTTTAGATGGAGGATTTCTAGTTCAATACAAGGATAGAAAATAACAGATCGTATTTGCTTGGCATAAAAGCACAGAAAATGAATACACTGTTTTAGAGGGACAATGTGAGATTCTGTTTCTTGTTTCTCACTAAAAGCTTTCGCTATCGTCTACTAAATGTGTTGATGTACAAGATGTTTGGTCTTAGGTCATGCAAATCAGTCGGTGCTGATTTTGCCCCTATTATTTTGATTGATCACTGCAGGCTTAAACTCTTGAAAAGTGCAGGTAACAGAAATGGCTTAGAGAATTTATAATGGGCTCATCTGATCATTGTAGATCACCAAAGATCCCATTTCAGCTGGGGAAAAGGAGAATTGCACACAAAGAAACATGATTCTTTTGATTTATATATAAGAATAATTTTAAGTGAGTGTTCCTGTGTCTTTCTGCTGTCAGGCCATTGGTAATGCAAAGACTACAAGGAATGACAACAGTAGCCGTTTTGGGAAGTACACTGAGATCAGTTTTGATAGGAGGAATCAGATCATTGGAGCAAACATGAGAACATACCTTCTGGAAAAATCCAGAGTAGTTTTTCAGGTAATGTTTTGTTTTGATCATATCTCTGTTCTTTCCTTATCGCTGCACTTTCTTGAGCAAGTTTTTGGCTTGAGCAAAGTTTTTATGCCTATTAATTCATGCCTTTCGTTTGAATTCATGGTTGTTAGTATTTTTTTGTTCTAGGCTGTTAAATCTCATTAAACTTTTTTTTCATGGTGGCAAGAATTCAAAGGGGTAACTGGTTTTCAACTTTGGTGTGAATGCAGTTTTATCTTAAATTATGCAGAAAATCTGTATTTGCTCTTTTCTTTGTATTGTAATAATTACAACATTTCCATAAACAGCCAGTTCTTTCTTTAGTCAGAGAACGAAAGGAACTATCACATATTCTATCAGCTGTGTGCTTCTGCAGACCAGCCAGAATTCAAGAATTTCAGACTGTGTAAGTATTAATGGAACAACCACTGACCGCAGACACACTCTGTCTAGTCTCTGGTCTTTTATCCTTTGCTCTCTACCCCACTTTGTTCTGAAGGATGCTTGTACTGTACATAATTTTGCTACTGAATAATATATGAATTAGTTGGCTGCACAATTTCAAAGGCTGAACTACAAAGCTCCCTGCAGTTAAAGCACTGAAGTGAGATGTTTCCTAATTTTGTTCTTTTCTTGTTTTCCAAGATGGCCTATATTCAAAATAATTAAAATTATGATGTAAAAATAATAATTATGTAAAAAATACCCCTGCACATTTTACATGAATTGCGTTCTGCACGTGTACATATTAAACAAGGCTTCTGAGCAGCAAAAAACATGCAAAATGTAGCAGTTTCCTGTTTCTTTTGCATGTTTTACAGTGAGTGCAGATGAGTTCAGGTACACCAGTATGGGAGGTAACACATACATAGATGGAGTTGATGACAAAGCTGACATGAATGAAACTCGGAGAACTTTCTCATTGCTTGGTAAGCGATAGTTATACAAGTGCATTTTATTCAGAAAGTATAAATAAGGTTTCAGAAGCATCCGTCTTCTCTCCATCCAATGATCGTCATGTTGATGCACAAAGTTTGATGCTGCGTTAAGTGTGTTAAAACTGTATAGGCACAGTGTACATGGAAATTGAAAAAATCTGAATTGATATTGAATTTGGTAAATGTTCAAGTGGTGGTATATCATGTTTTGTGGAAATGGTTAGATGACTGTTCAGTCCCATTTCATTTTGTGGTGCTAAAATAATGTTGTAATTATTGTACTGTTTTATTGGGGAAAAAAAACAAAATGGGTCTTAATTATTCTCAGGATTAAAAGAGGATTTTCAGATGGATGCATTCAAAGTGTTGGCAGGGATTCTACACTTGGGAAATGTGCAAATTAAAGCTGTCGGTGATGACAAGTCATCTGTCAGTGTAAGTACACCTTTGTTGTGTGTTTCAGGGCTACGTCTAGGGACTGTCCTTGCATTGCCGTTTAAATGTCTATTAAAAAGCACTTTTTCTTGCATATTTTGGCTGAAGTTAAATGGGTCTCAGTTGCCAAGTCCTCTTAGGGCCCTTTTTATTTGTGACCTTGTGGTTTGTTTTCTTTGTGCATGATGGAATCAGTCCAGCGACAGGCACTTGGCCCAGTTCTGTGAGCTGCTGGACGTCAGTGCTGAGAGTGTCGCGCGCTGGCTGTGCAGTAGGAAGATCGTCCTTGTCTCGGAGACTGTGGTCAAGCCCATGACCAGGGACCGTGCCATCAATGCCCGGGATGCCCTCGCCAAGCAGATCTACGCCCACCTGTTTGACTGTGTCATCGACAAGATCAACAGGGCTCTGAAGTTCCCCGGAAAGCAGCATTCGTTTATTGGAGTATTGGATATTTATGGGTAAGGATTTATTGGTCAGGTTGTTTTTAAAAAGAAAATCTTTAATTATCTTGTGAGTTTCACAATTCTCAGATATCCACTGAAATAAGAAGCAAATTATTTTAATGCCTGCATTTTATTTTGGCATATAAATTCCATAGGAGTTGTACATTATATGGAAATAATAACAATCTGTCTAAAACAAGCTACTCAACCATGTTGCCTTAGCCGATATCCTGGCGTCTTTCAAGAAACAGCTGGATGAGATCCACAGGGTACTAAAAACCAAACAAACTACTTTGGCTGGTTGGCCTCTTCCTGTTTGTAACATTCCTCATATTTTTATTTCAGTGGGGTTTTTTTGCTCTAAATTTTGACAAAGCAAAATGTTATATTCTTAAATTTAGTTCTTACTGCATCTTAATTGACACACATAGAATGTCTCTCATTTAGTTTGTCATCACTCTTGTTCTTCATTTTAGCTTTGAAACATTCGAAGTCAACAGTTTTGAACAGTTTTGCATTAACTATGCAAATGAAAAGCTACAGCAGCAATTTAACCTGGTATGTTACTATCCCTTCCAAATAATATGCCTTCAGACCTTATGAATATTTCTGTTTTTCCTAGAACTTCATTATGCACTTATTAAGCTTAAAATGTTATTGCCTTCCATTAGCATGTGTTTAAATTGGAGCAAGAAGAATATATGAAAGAGGACATTCCCTGGACATTAATTGATTTCTATGACAACCAACCTGTCATTGACCTCATTGAAGCTAAGATGGGCATTTTGGATCTGCTGGATGAGGAGTGCCTGGTAATGAAATTCCATTTTTCTTGGAGTGCCTGGTAATGAAATTCCATTTTTCTTTTCAATCAGCTGTTCCAAGAAAAATATTTTAAATGGAATTAACCATGAAGATTCAGGAGGATTAACAGCAGCCAGGTTCAACTGGCCTTAGCTGTTTTAAATCGGTCATTCCTGAGGTTTTGCAAAACTATAAATACTGAATGTAAGCTCATTTGCATTTGTGGTTATGTCTCCCTCCTCCACCACATCTCCACCTGTGCAGCCCCCGCATGGTTGCTATTCACTCTGCTGGCTGGTCCCAGACTGTTCGGCCTGTGGCCATCCTGAGCCAAGCATGTTAAGCCAAATGACCAAAACGCTCAAACATTTTTCAATACACTTAATTCCTGGGTGTTGTTATTCCTGGTGAAGCATTTCCCAGTATTGCTGAGTATGGAGAAGTGATAAGATTTCTGTTATTCGTTATTTGATGCTGAATAATTAATACCTAATTTAGAATTAAACATTGAACAAAAGACTCTTAAGTTTCTGTGAGGAGAAAGTCGCCAGGAAGCACAGAAGACCACATTTTGTTGAGATTAATTTCCTCTCTGTCCAGTTTCCACAGGGGACAGACCAGAATTGGCTACAGAAGCTATATAACAACTATGTGGACAAGAACCCTCTTTTTGAAAAGCCAAGGATGTCCAACGAATCATTTGTGATTCAACACTTTGCTGATAAGGTAAAAAAACTGAGACTTTGTAAAGACACACTTGTGAAGGACATTTTTAACTCTCTCTGAGGGAGAAAATCCATCCAGCCACCCATTTCGCATTTCTTCCAGTTCAGGGTCATGGGGGAGCTGAAGCCTGTTCTGGCAAGTAACGGGTGTAGGGCAGGGTGCACCCAGGATAGGAATCCAGTACCATCTCAGGGCAGGCAGTCACAAACCCATACATGCTAACATTAACACCGAGGCCAATTTCACAGCAACCAGTTAACCTACAAGTATGTCCTTTGACTGTGGGAAGAAACCCAGATGAACACTGGGAGAACATGCAAACTCCACACAGATAGCACTCCAGGTCTGGAATGGAGCCCAGGACCGCAGCGCTGCGAGGCAGTAACACTAACGGACTGCTGTGATACCCGGGGCAGAAAATCATTAGCCCGAATCAGTTTTAAGGGGCTTATTCCTTAAGATGGAATTTTCATTTTGCTGAATCACTGATATGGTTATAGTATTCAATGAAAAAAATCTGGCCACACCTTCCCTTTACTGTTAATTTTTATTTCACAGTAGAGGTTGGAAAAAACAATTTAAAAAAATTGCAAGTTTATATTGGAGATTTACAAAATTATTCATTTCAAGCAAATAAGAAACCAAATGTCTAGCTACTTTTTGACCTTTTTGTTTTTAACTGAGAAAACAGCCAGAATTTGTTTTGCAAAGCCTACTGTATTTGTACCACTGACCACATTACACCACATATGTTGGTGTAATCCTTCCCATAGCCTATAGATGGCACTCAGCACATACTGTATAAATTATTCACTTTAAAATGTGTAGCTGCTGTGATATTTGTATTTCATGCTCAAGTCATTGATTTATAGTCTCTTGCCTTCGGATCTGGGATCAGTTTAATGATTATTAGTCACAACTATATAAATCTTCAACTTGTGAACTGTTTTTTTTTTAAGCATACACTAAATGTTTGAAATGTTTTATGCAGGTGGAGTACAAAAGTAAAGGCTTCCTTGAGAAGAACAGAGACACAATGTATGAAGAACTGGTTGATGTAATGAGGGCTAGTAAGGTATGGTGGCCTGAGCTTCCTGAAAAAGAAAAACATTTCTTTTTAGTATAATATCGTACAAGGAGAGCTTAGAAATATTTACTTACAATGCCATATTTGAAAAGCCCTCAAAAAGAGAGTAATCCCCATACCATGCCGCAAAGCTATTAAAACTTAGAGCACTTTAGCAGACAGCCTTCTTCCAGAGTAAACCATTTTGATGTGGTTGTGCTAGAATGTTTGATTTTTCCTTCTTAATATCTTAAAAATGCAATAATCTAGAATTCCCTACTTGGCGTTAGAATATAAAAAAAGTTTAGAACGAGGGGTTTGTTCAGCCCACTTTATCCCATTTGGTATGTGGTACCTTTTTGATTCAGGAATCTCTCCCAGCTTGAGAAGCCTGTTTAGTAAAGCCAAACTTGTCCCAAAATCTTAGGGTGTATAGTCAAGCTCCGACAGATATTGCTTTATGCCCTGTAATGTATCTTTTTTCTCTTCTCTGGACCGATTCCAGATCGGCAATATCTTTTTTTTTTTTGTAATGTGGCAACCAAAACTGCACACTGTGAGAACTTGTTCGTACCGTACATTGATAAATGTAGCATAGGTTCTGTGATTTTAACTATACACCATAACATTTTATCTGCCTGTTTTATTGCTTCCACACTTTGTCTAGAAGATTTAAATGATTTCTGGATAAACAGTTCAGACTTTTTCATATGTGGTCTCTTCAATCTCAGCCTTTCCCATTTTGTATTTCTAGTTTGTTTTTGCAATCTTCTTCACTTGACTTCAATAAACATCTTCTTTTTTTAATTTATCAGCTGCCTCTGCAGTGTTTTGATAATCTTGATTTGGCTGCTGGTTATGGTTAATGTGGATGTGAGGAGTGGTTTTGATATTGAAAAAGCCCTGGTTTTTCACCATAACCAGTTGGTATTTTTTGTGAGTTATTCTAGTGCTTCCAACATCAGTCTTTTCCATTAACAGTTTCACCTTCTTGCAAACTTCTTCCAAGAAGAAGAACCAACATCTCCGTTCTCTAAAAGCATTAAGATCAAACCAGCCAGGTCAGGGTTGAAACCAACCAACAAGCAGCTCCGAACGACAGTGGGCAATAAGGTACTGGCGTCTGCAACTCACTCCCCTGATTGAAGACTGAACCTGGAGTTTGCAGCTTAGGGTTTTCATCTTCTGTTCCCGTCTCTCTCCCGTTGCAGTTCCGCAGCTCTCTGTATCTGTTAATGGAAACTCTCAATGCCACAACGCCTCACTATGTACGGTGCATAAAGCCCAATGAAGACAAGCTTCCATTTGAGTAAGTGCACATCGGAAACATGAACAGCTGTGGAGGAAAAAAAGAGTTAAACCTAACCTCTTGAGCAGTCTCCAAAGTAGCCAATTACAGTAAATCATACTGACCACAGATGCTGGATGTAAAAAATTAAGAAACAAAGCACAGGTTAATTTTTACCAGTTGATTCACATAGAACATAATCTCAAGTATCCCTCTAAAGTAGATTCTTTATGTCAGCTGGCATTTTGCTTCTAATCCCCATGCTTGCTAGCATAATGTACCACTAGGTGGTGCTATGGATACGTGTTTTTCTGCAGATATTTTAACAATATACTTAGAGGCATTAAAAATGCAACATGCAAACCGTAACATTTGGTGTGTTTTTAATGCTTCTCCCTATAGATCAGGGTGGTATAACTTTGATTATGACAGACATTTCTGTCTTTTTTTCCAGCATGGCTCTTAATTACCTAAACCTGTTTATTCTTGGCTCAATTGGACCAGTTTCCAACTTTCACTCAGCTTTCAGATGCTTCTGCCTTAATGAGAAGTCCTGTCCTACTGCCTGCAGGATCAGAGCTGCACCATCCCAATATAGCCCAAACAAAAGCTGTTTAATATCTTGAAAGTTCAGAGTGCATGGTGTGAAAGGGTGGAATTTGAGATTGATTCACATTTAAAGTACTGCAGTGGGCTTATGCTACCTTGCAGCAGTTTGTCTTGACCCTGGTGGATTTTGTTTCAGGTATGACTCGAAGAGAGTGGTGCAACAGCTGAGAGCCTGTGGAGTTTTAGAGACCATTCACATAAGTGCCCAAAGCTACCCATCCAGGTAAATTGCTGTGGCTTACCCATGTGCACTAAGTTGAAGTAAAATATAGAAAACATTCAGTCTAGGTGCTTCTTGGCTTATCCTACCTGCACGATGCAAAATGAATTTAGAAGCTCTGTTAGACATTTCTGCCTATGATATTTGCTCACTTTAACTTGTGCCATTTAAAAAAAAAAAATTTGCATTTCAATTTGCAGATGGACATATATAGAGTTTTACAGTCGCTACAGCATACTGATGACACAGCAAGAGCTTGCTCTGAGTGATAAGAAACAGACATGCAAGATAGTGCTTCAAAGGCTCATTCAGGTGAGTACTTCGTCCTTTCCTCTTAGAAGGCTTGTGTTCAGAGTTCTTTCCTGGAATGTTAAACATATTAGCATAATTTCAGTGTTGGGTAAGCTGCATTTTATATAATAAAAATGCTTTTGGTTGATTTTTCTTGTTTCAGCATCATATTTTGTTTTTGTAATACTCTCCTGGTACAGTATCTTACACATGGAATAACAACAATGTGTGTAATCTATATTCAATGTTATTTCTTAACATAATATAAGTTACAAGTGATTAAAACAAGTCAAGTAGTTTGTACTTAATACACATTTTTGTTCATGATTGTTGCACAATATATGGGACATGATGTATGTTACAAATACTATTTAGTACTGGAAATGCACAATGCAAATTATATTCAGTTGTGGTGTCTCTGGGGTTTTGCTAATTTCTTTTTACGAATAACATATTTGAAAATTCTTAAGATTTCAGAACTTGTGACGTTTTAAGAAATGTGTATTTCACAAGACATAGCAGTTGATTTTTAATACTTGACTAAAAGTTTCTTTTTTTGTGATACCCAAGTTAGAAATATAACTCATACCTTAACAAACTTGTTTCTTAACAAAAATAAATGTAAACTAGAAAATTCAAGTAATGTTTTTTCTTATTAAACTTACATGTAAAGCTAAGAATAGGTGTCACTTCTTTACTGAGAGTTGTAGGAGCATGGAACAAGCTGCCCAGCCAAGTTGAAGTCACTACTCTGGTTATTTCAAGCAATAGCTGGATGTGGTCCTTTGAATCAATTAACTACGAACTACCAATTGGGCTAGAATGTTAAAGTTAATATGGGGTGTGATCCATATGAGAATAAGCAGTGTCTTGACATCACTAATGCATAAACCTGATCAGCCTCTGAACGTGCTGCTGTTTGAAGTTCCACCCCTTTTCCTGTGCAGTTGCAGGCAGTCAGAGAATGCTGGCTGTTTGCAATTGTCTCCTGTTGATGACACTGGTGAGTCAAGGTTGTGCTTTGGTTATCCAAGCTCTGCTTTTTCTTGTTATCCTGATAGAAAATGTTCAATTCCAGAATGGAAAAATACTGGACTCAGGGACTTCATCAATACATACAGTACAGTAGCTGAGTTTGCCTTCAATCTGCACCAAATATTCTCTTGTCCTAGAAGAGGTTACTCCCCACATCACATTTCTACCACTGCACCCGTTGGTTTGCGCAGTGCAGCAGTCGGTACTACACCCACCAAAACATCTCCGCACCCCATCTTCCATCAGGTCTAACAAGGTCACTCATCAGAGAATTAAGCGGATGACCACTTCACGCTGCTGTCAATTCGGAAATTCTTTCCTCTCCATCTTGCTCCCCTCACAGGACTCCAATCAGTACAAGTTTGGTCGCACAAAGATCTTTTTCCGCGCGGGACAGGTGGCATACCTGGAGAAGCTGCGGTCAGACCGACTGCGAGGGGCCTGTGTCACGATTCAGAAGCACCTCCGCGGCTGGATACAGCGCAAGAGGTTCCTACAGATGAGGGAGGCTGCAATCGTCATCCAGCAGTATGTGCGCGGGAAGAGGAAAGTGAGGTGAGCAGACATGCACAGACGCTGTTAAGACATGAAATGTCATAATATAATAAATAGGCCAACTATGTTCTCTCCACCCCTTCTTTTGTGGAAAGATATTTTCCGTTGCTTCAATAACGTACAGTTGGTCTTCAATAAAAACATTTGAAGGCACTGATTTTCAACTTGAACCAGAAAGCATGGTGAGTTAAGTGATTTTTTTTGTTTAGCAATTACAGCACAAGTTTCTATTGTTCAGGCAAACAGTAACTGCCGCTACTCTGAAGCGTGTCTGGGCAGCCATCATTATCCAGAAGTACTGTCGAGGTTTCCTGGTGCGCCGGGTCTACCAGCTGGTACAGGTTGCCACGGTGACTATCCAGGCCTATGCTCGAGGATGGCGCGCACGGACACAGTATAAAAAGGTATGTACCTTGTATGGATGTCAGTCCATACTGTAAGCCTTCATGTGCGTCTTGAACAAGTTACCCTGCCATGATGTTGACAAAGACGCCCTGGAACCCATCATGAATTTCCACAATCCTCAGACCAATTAGCTACTAAAAACTAGATGAACTAGATCAGTCAGTAGCCATCCTTTAAGAAAAAAGATGTTCGAGGCGGCACAGGGGTTAGAACTCCTGCCTTACAGCTCTGGGACCTTGGGTTTAATTCCTCAGGTGCTTTCCGCATGGCGTTTATATGTTCTCCCTGTGTTTGTGGGTTTCCTACCACAGTCCAAACACATGCTGGTGGGTTATATGGCTTCTCGGAAACTGTCCCTGCTGTGCCATCCACCCATCCAGGGTGTATCCTGCCTTTTACCCATTGCTCGCTGGGATAAGCTCCAGCTCCCCTTGACCCTATATTAGATAAAGCAGTATAAAATCAATGGGTTCTAAAAGGTTTCGGGGAGTTTATTTTACCATGGTTCTATCAGTACTGAAAGTTGCATAGATCTGCAACCATGGTTTTGAAGAGCCCAAACCCAACTTAATCTTGAATTTTTAAAGACTTTCTTTGTGATCAACATGTTTATCATTTGGGACTGAAATACGAGTACTGTTCAACCACAAATGACCAGATTTAACACATTACTTGCTTATTTGATCAACATCTTGTAGGTGTTCTTAGTCTTTAAAAATGTGGCACTGTGGCTAAGGATCTGCGCCTGTGCCTGAAAGGTTGCAGGTTCAAATCCTGCGGCCGGCTGAGGAATCCTTCTCCGTTGGGCCCCTGAGCACGGCCCTTAACCCCAACTGCTCCAGGGGCGCTGTATAAGTGGCTGACCCTGTGCTCTGACCCCAAGCTTCTCTCTCCCCATCTTGTGTCTCATGGAGAGCATGCTGGGGTATGCTGTAAGACAAATTCCTAATTCAAGAAATTCTATATGGCTAATAAAGTGATTTTATCTTGTATGAGACCAATTGAATTGAAGCTCTACAGATCAGGGTTGGAGATTCCTGCTGTAAACTTTACAAATCCTCTAATGCACAAGTGAACTTTGCGGTATTGCTTCAGCTGGTGGAGGAACAGAAAGCTGTCATCCTACAGAAGTACGCCCGAGCCTGGCTGGCCAGACGCCGGTTCCAGAGTATCCGCCGCCTGGTGCTCAATGTGCAGCTGTCTTACCGAGTGCAGCAGCTCAAGAAGAAGCTGGAGGATCAGGTAGGTGTTGGGGCAGGAGGTGAAGCACTGAATCTCTGATGACGTGAAATAAGAAAACATAAAAGAAATCACCTCTTACCTTTTAATTCCCTTCTAATTTTTGCATTTGTAAAACAAATTGGTAAACAGTTCAGGGAACTGCACCCATTTACTCACCAGTGGACTAAAAGTGGACATGTTGCTGATACCTTTTGCAATGTTCTCAATGTTTCACCATGATGTACAGTTTTTGAAAATGATTTTAGTTCTTTCACAATGTACTCTCCAACCACAGAATAAAGAAAACAATGGACTCCTTGAGAGGCTTACTGGTCTGGCCAGTGCACATGCACAAGATGTTGACAAGCTGCAGAAGCTTGAAGCAGATCTTAAGAAGATGGCTGCTGAGAAAAAGACTTTTGAAGAGGGAATGAAGAGATCAAAGGCGGAAGCTAATCAGGTCTTTATTGTCACTTTATCCCCATGTCTGTTGAAAGACTTTGTCTTCATCCTACAGAAAAATTAATGTTTTGTGTTCTCTGCAAAAGTTAATTATTCAGCTCGAAGCCCAGAACAATAACCTTCTTCAAGAGAAACAAAACCTGGAGAAGAAACTACAGGATTCGATTAAGGAAATGAAAGGTAGGACGTGTGTGGTTAGGAGGTGAAGTGTTTATTTTCCAGTTAATAAACTGTTAACCTGTTTTATTATCATATAAATTTATTTTCTAGATGATGCTGATCAGCTTAAGGAAAAATTCTTGGAAGAGCTTGAAAGAGAGGAGAGACAAAGAAAGTAAGAATCAATCATTAAAAACAGATTGTAAATGTTTTAAGTAGTAATTGTAACACTAGTATGAAACCCATGAACAATTTAAAATATATAAACATTTATGAATAATACATTCCTCTGATAAGGACGCTAATACTACTGCTATATTGTAGCATAAGTATAAGTTGCTTTGTTAGAATTTGGTAGGAATCTTAGTATAAAATACACAATTTGTAGTTCTGAAATGACAATTGTCTGTAATATGTTGCAATGTGATCATTCAAGTACAGATATAGGGTTCCAATGTCTAGTGTTATAGCTGTACCTCAGTAATAATATTACTATTTAATGTCCTATATTGTAGCTGTAATTTAGTAGTGGTATTGGTTGATAATGTGGGGGTAATTATTGAATTACAGGTCAGTAAATGCAGTTTCTTGGTGATGAGGATCTAACAGTTCAAGGTGGTTTGCAACTTTCCAGTCACTGTGCTTTTTCAGGATCCTGGAAAATAGCTTTGAGATACAAAAGGAAGAATATGAAAAACGCATTGAGACTATGAAGGAAGAGATAAAGTGCCTGCGAGAGGAGAAGATCATGCTCCAGGAGCAAGCTCAGGAGGAGCTCCAAGTCAAAAGCCACCTGCAGCAGCAGGTTGGAGAGCTCGCAAAGCAACTCAAGGTAGGGCAGCAGGTCGGGCAGCCTGCAAAAGAGGCCAAGGTTTATTTAGGTTATTTCTTTGACAGAAGTGGGTTGAACTACCTCCTGAGACACTATATAGCGTATATAGAACTTCAAATACAGTATATAGAACAACAGTTCACATTCATTTGTTTTTTGCCACTACTTCACTCCTTAATATTTTGAGTTTGATTTTTAAAAAACATTGCATACTTTTCTTTGCCCCTGCGAATAGTCACCATTGAATAAAATGTAGTTCCTAATTTTCAGAGTGCATTTGTCAATACAGTAGTAATGAGTGATGCGATATGATGTTGTGAGTGCATTTGTATTGCCTGAAATTTCACCTGTTTGTTCCATTAAGAAATTGGGTACATTCTTTAAGTTTTTTTAAAAAAGGTTTGATTGTGCATGAAGGTGTTTTTTAACTTTAAACAATTGAGAAAAATGTTAATGTTGTAAAAAAAATTATTTAACTGCCCTTTCTGAATTTTCACTGCTTACTTTTTATACATTAATGACAACCGTGAATTAGTAAAATCTACAGTCGCTTCTCAGTTTTTTATTAAAAAAAACAGTACATTTTAGGCACAAACTATCTGGGTAGTTTTTGGTATTTATTTGGTGTTATGTGTGGTGGTTATAGATTTGGTGGGTATACTGTAAATATTTCCATACATAGTTTAAGTGAATTCTTGAAGAACACAATTCTTAGATATGCTTTTTTTTTTTCTTTTATCAGGTAATACCAGAGTTGAAAAAGGAGATTGGTAACCTTGAAACAGAGAAACAACATCTGGACAGACAGAAGAAGGAACACATGAATGAAGCAAGAGGTATATAGACAAATGATAGTCTACCTTTATTCTTATGCTCTGCTTTTCATTATTTTCATATAATATTTTGTTGGTGTCTGCAATAACACCACCATAATCGATTTTGGAAAGAGAAGAATGGCACACAGGAAACTCTGCTGCCCTCTTGTGATTAAAGACATTATTTTACTTTAGTTCATCAGATCTCCCTCAAAAAGTGAGGGGGATTATGAATTCTACACCTTATGTCCTTACAGCAAAAATATCTGAGGTGACCAAACAGCTTCTGTCAGGAATAAAAGAGGAAGAGTTTCTCTCCAGGTAAAAAGACATCAACTCAAAAACTTGATACTCACTTTTAACTCCATGGGAAGTTACATTCAACAGATACATTTTTTTAGCAGAATTGCTTGTCTTCCATAGAATCGGCTAGATGTCAAGAAGAAAAAACATTTTAAAAGGTTTAATTGCTATTTTGACTTTGTCATAAATTCGTTTTTAACAAATGTTGTTAGAAACAAGCAATTCTGTGAAAATTCTGTGGCCTTGCAACAGAATTGCAGAATTCCCTGGGTACAGAGCGCTTGGTGTGTTGCTGTTTGAAAATCACTGAGCCTGAATTATTGAAAGACTTGCCAAAATATTTGAGGCTTTCCCTCCTGTTTTGATTTTCACAGTTTCACAGCGCCTTTTTAAATTGCTGCCTCTTATTGTTAATTGTAGTTAACAGTAATGTCACAAGGTTTTTTTTTGTAAGAATACTGTTAATTCCATGTACAAATACTCTTCCTTCAATGACCAGGTTAACAACCAAGGATCTTGAGCAGATAAATGAAGAAGGCGAGTTGTTGTTTGCCTACGAGGGTCTAAGGAAAGCTACAAGGTGTGCACATTTTGCTTTGAACCTCTTCACTAAAGGGCATGCAATTCAACTTGAACATGATTTTGAAAGAATGAATAGTTACTACCAACTTACAACACTGCATTCTCATGTGGCTGACACCTGATTTTTATTATATATTGCTGGTTCCTTAACACAGGGTGATAGAGACTCATGCCCAGGCACAGAAGGAAAGTTATGAGAGTGAAATCGAGTCCCTCAGGTATCAGATTGAACACTTCCAGAATGAGAACAATGAACTTCAAAAACTGTTCCAAGAGGGGAACAATGTGAATGCCAGCATTCAGCAAGAGGTTGCCAGGCTTGCTTCTGAAAATATGGTAGGTCGAAGACCAGGCTTTTTGAGCATTATAACATTTTTTCTAATGATAAAAACTAGCCACCAAACACAAAGGAGTATTGTTCTAAATACTTTGCTTTGACACAATCGGCTCTGTCACAGCCCCCTCAATTAGGAGGAATCAACCAGGGAGCTGCTGCAAGAGTGCAGCTGGTACTGAGGGAGGGGGTTAGAAAAGGTGTCTGCAGAGTTGTGGGCAGCCAGAGAGGCTTCTCGTTCGTAGGGAAGCAGAAGAGTGAGATTAGAATTTCACCTTCTGCCCTGAATTACTGTTAAATAAAACTATTAATGACCTGCTAACAAATCTATAGATGCATTGTTGCATGATATGGGGTATAATTCATCTATTCTTGGTGTTTTGGTCTTCTTTTTAGCTGCTTGTCATTGACATGATTCAGTTGAAAATCTGAGTAAATATTCTGACATTCTAATATGTTTTGTTTACCTGAAGGTAATTCCCCAATACAAACAGCAGATCTCGGAGCTTCAGCGGCAAAAGCACGACCTCGAGGACCGTTTGAAAGACCAGGCCATAGAAATGAGAGGTATCCTTCATAATTCAGAGAATTTAAGATCAGCGTTTTAAGCACAGTGTGTCTCTATAATTTGTCAGCTCAAAGTGCTTCTATATTGGATTTTTTTTCTCTTAAAACAAGAATACCAGTACTTTACCAACCTCTTTAATTTGATTAGTACTAGAAGCTGAGTTCTTTAAGATTCTGTTTCAAAGTTGAGGTTCAGTGCATGATAATTCCACTTTCCATTTACAGTTTGTTAATCATTCATTGCTTTAGTTCTGTGAATTCCGAAATATCTATCTGTTCTATCTGTTTTTTAGAAAAAATGGAGGAGATCTCAAATGAGTTGCGCAGTAGTTTGGAAGATGAAAGTGCACAGTGCAGGTACAAGAGACTTTCAATTGGACTGGACCTAAACTAACTTTCTTTTGTTAATATTTTTTTTTCTTTACACAAATCATGCTGTGTTCTTAGACAAATACTGGCTGTGAATACTGCTAGAAAAGCAAAGCCTGGCCTCCACCTCCAAATACAGTAGGTCATATACTTTAGAATAAATCCTCAGGATGGTGTTATTGGTGTTTTAAATTATATAGAGGTGGACAGGTGTGTTGTATCTGTGGCAGCAGGATTAACTAACTATTGCTTTTGAATTTTTTCTGAAAGGCTGTTGGTCTTGTGTAATTACAGTATATAGAAACCTAGGAGAGTTAAATTGTCTTTTTTTTCCCCCAATGAAAGGCTTTTGCAGCTCCAGCTAGAAGCCTACGAGAAGGAGAAGCAGGAGCTTTTGGACAGGATAGCTGAGAAAGAGGATGAGAACACCCAGCTAAAGAAACAGTACCAGACAGAGAGTGAAACCAAAAACAGGCTGAGACAGGAGGCATCCCGCCTGATTGCAGAGAACATGGTCTGTACCAATGGCAATTCTGCCCCTTCATAAAAGATCCATCCATCTGTTTTCTAATGGCTTTATCTAATACAGGGCTGTAGGGAAGATGGGGCCTATCTCAGCAAGCAGTAGGTGCAAGGCAGAGTACACCGTGGCCTCCTCTGTGGGGGGATACCCTTATGAACATGGGGGAGAACACATACAAGCTCTGTGCAGATAGCACCCCACCACCGTGCCGCCCATTAAAGAAATCCCATTCTTCCAAACTAAAAAAGTCAGAAGCTTTTTAGATTTCCAAGGGTGATTCAAGTATTGAAGAGTTGACTTTCTCCTTAAATCAGACAACAGAATGTTGTGTGCGTATGTGGGAACATTTACATCTACAAATTCAATACTCCAGCAAAACAAAGACCTAGGTGATGTTTTGTGAAGAGGTCCTCCAGCTTTCCTAAGAATATTGGTCTTTTGAACAGACCTATTTTGACATCTATATATTTGCCTGGAAAAATACTAATTACTTTATATTAACATACTGTATCATTATGCATTTGAAAGTAAAATAAGCTTTCATGATTTGTAGGACTTTGAAGAACAAATTGATCTCAAGGACAGATTAATAAAGAAGCTTCAAAACCAGATTCAAGGACTTCGGTCACCGGAGAAAGGTACACTTGCAAAACTTTGTGTTAGTTTGTCTGTTTTTTGGAAGGTATTTAGCAACTCTAATTTTCTTGTTAGGTTCTTCTGTTTCTGTGTTTCCTGCATGTCAGACCATGAAGGTACACGATCTATATGGAACTATGTGGAATACATTTTCCTGGTCGTATTGTTCAGTGGAATTGCTTCCAAGAGGAAAACGCCAGGCTGTTTCAATTGTTCTTTAACCCTTTTATTTCCAACTCTCCTTCATTTCAGCATCTTATTTGTGTTATTCTTCATGCTCAGATCGATCCACCTATACCAAAAATTGGTTAAAAACATATATTCAGTTGCAATTACAGTCCACTTTGAATAAGTGGTGTTTGAAGCTCTTATTCATATATTGAAACTAGAAATAGATGGAAAATACTGTTTTCAAAACTTAATTTTATATGCCTTGTTGCTCTGATTTTTGCTTTTGTTTTAATTACAGATAACATTAAAATGAACTGACTGTGTTATTTCCCTAGTCTTATTCCTCTTTTCTGTTTCTTTGGATTGAAAGTCAATCCAGTCCAAGCACCGCCTGTTCCCAAAGAATACCTCGGAATGCTAGAATTCAAGCAAGAAGATGAAGGAAAAATCATTAACAACCTTATTCTAGGTATTGTTTTTTTTTTGTCAAGAACAGTATTGGTTAAAATGTATCCAAAACTCATATACAGAATGCATAGAAATGTAATCTTAACCCCTTAACATTAGCAACCTTACATCTTAAATAGAGTAAGAGGGAATGCTTTAGAATTGATTTCTTGAAGCCGTTAGCTGGGAAGCTGAGTGGGTTTACCAGCACAGCACTGATACTCCTGAAAGTTGGCTACCGAGTGAGTATTGATCCTGCACAGCCTGTAACTGATTGCTGGTCTTGCATTGCACTGTGTTCATGCAGAGCTGAAGCCCAGAGGTGTGGTAGTGAACATGATTCCAGGTCTGCCAGCACACCTCCTGTTCATGTGTATAAGACATGCCGATTACCTCAGTGATGCCACCAAGCTCAAGTCCTTAATGAATGCCATCATAAGTGGCATTAAAGTCGTCATTAAGGTAAGTAATTGAGAAACCTAAGCTATACACTGTATATACAGTGCCCTCTAAAAGTATTGGTACAGAAAAGTCAACAGTGTTACTTTTGATTTACTCAAGCATTTTCCATTTGCGATCATGAGTCTTGTTTATCATGAGGTCATAAACAAGATCATATGAGACACACATTCACTTTAAGTAATTAAGCAATGAGAGCTGTCTTATGATCCTAATATGAAGGGCACTGTATATACTGAAAATAAAAAGAAGCCTATCCCTCTGCTTATGTTTTCAGAAAAATAAAATATTGCAGTTTAGGTGTCATTTTGATTAATCAATCATAACTGATCACAATATACTTTAGTATAGTTGCATAAGCCCCTCAGAAGTCAGGTAGTGGATGAACAGGTGATGAGGTGGTTTAAGCTGTTGAATGTGAAGCCTGGGGAAAATCAAGAATGGGAAATACAGAGTGGAACTTGTGAGAGAATCCTACTGTATACTACCAGGGGATTCCTAGGAAAGTAAGCACACAAACTCGCAAAGGCAGCAAGAAGTGCAGTCCAAAAGGCTTTAATTTAGGCCATAAAGTAACGGTCAGCTTTCAAAAGCACCTTACCTCTGGCCCTTTTTATACCCTGCCAAACGCTCAGTTGTACTCATGGGGAAAATCTGGGATTCTGACCTCCTTGCAATTAACCGATGATGACCTATCTCGCCTTTATTGTGACTATTTACAAGTGGTTTAGAAGCCATCCAGTGGCTTCATACTGTAGCTGCTACATAGGGGTCCAGGTGCTGTAATTGATGGTTGAAATTACAACCCTTTCTACAGCAGGCATGCCACAGAACCATTATGTCCCACTTAATAACAATGTTTTTGCACCATCGGTATGTTGGAGGCTGGACTATATCAGCACACTGTCAGTTGGCAGCTAGGGTGTTCACAGCCAGTTATGTCTAATCTATCGGGATATTGAAGCAAAACTCTGTCAATCATAGGCCACAACCTAGGCAATCATGAGTCAATAATAATCAGTGGGGAGGAGAACAGATCGATGAAGCCAATTCATAGATGGGGGATTATTAGGAGGCCATGATTGGTAGTGGCCAGGGAGACATTTGGCTAGGACGCTAGGGTAACGCTCCTACTCTTCGAGAAATGCCCTGGGATTTTTAATGACCACAGAGAGTCAGGACCTCAGTTTTATGTGGTGCCTATGGTGCCTTTTTTTCAGTTTAATGTCCCTGTCACTATACTGGGGCATTAGAACCCACACAGACTGCAGGGTGAGCGCCCCCTTCTGGTCCCATTAACACCACATCCAGCAGCAACCTTAGTTTTCCCAGGAGGTCTCGTATCCAGGTTCTGGCCAGGCTTACACCTGCTGAGCTCCGGTGGGCTGCCAGTTGCAAAGTGATATAGCAAAGGTACAGCTATAGTCAAGACAGCTCAAGGTGGGGTTTGGGTGTTATTGTCTAACCAGGAGTGAATAGATGTAATACTTGACAGCAACTGCACAACGTTGCACTCCATTAATCAAGTTATAGAATTGAAAACAGTCAATTTTGTTCTGTGTTCTGCAACTTGAAAAATCTTCAGACCCAGTGAATTAAACGTGTATTGGTGGGTTACGCATTTGGATCTGAGAAATGATGTGGCTTTCTCTCATGAAAATCTGGGAAAACCGTGAAATGAGAGGAAATTGATTTCCATTTCAAGATCAGGCTCTGTATTTCACACCTCTGTGAGGGCAGTGAAGGTTTCTCACCTGATGGTCTGGAATTGTAGCTGTGCGATTCTCACTTTAGGATATTCAAGGTTCTTCATAAGCTGATTTTCATTCTGACTGTGCTGTTGCCAGAAGTCAAGCCAGCATGAGGTTTACTCAGAGGAGGAAGCACGTCTTTAGACTCCACCCTCAGGCAGTATTTCTGAGAGACCAGGCAGAGCAGAAAACAGTAGCAGCAGTATAGTCCCTGCTGGCCTGTGTTACATAGCAATGCTCATACCTGTGGTTTCAATTATATATTCATGGCATTTTATATTCTAAATTCAGATTGCACAATTAAAAATAAGTACCTTACATGGTACTCTCACTTGTTTCTGTAGGCCTTTATTGAAATTAGTGCTTCTCATTGTGGTAAAGCACTCTGTTGGAGGCTAGAATAATACCAGCAATTGTCATCATTGTAGTACTGTATGTGCTGTTATCCTCAAAGATTTGGATTCAAATAAATGTTTGTCTTTCAATTGACATCCTCTAAAAATACCTTTTTCTACTCTGATGTACATTATTCTCCCTTCCTTTTTTTGCTGTTTTGTTTCAACATAAGCTTTTCTTCTACTGCAGGATCACCAGGAGGATTTCGAGATGCTGTCTTTTTGGCTGTCTAATTCTTGTCACATGTTGAACTGTCTGAAGCAGTACAGTGGAGAGGAGGTACTATAAGACAACTGTGCCCTGGAAACAAATTCTTTAAAATAAATATAAATGAAGGAATTTTATCCAGGACACGCACAAATCTTTTAAATATTAACTGAAGGAATACTTCATGGTTCCACTACAAATGTAATAACCGTATACCAGTTGCCAATACAAGTTGGCATTAAGTGTTGCCATTCCACATATTGTGTTGGCAAGGAAGAGAAATCCAATATTGCAGGATGAAGGTTTTGTTTTGTTCTGTTTTGGGGAAATTCTTCAGCAGAGGAGCAGGAGGCAGCCTTGTGGAGACTCAGCTTTATTGAGCTCTATACACACAGCAGCACAGGGTTGGAATAACACTGCTAAGTTTTCTAACCCTTTTAATACATTATAGCTTTGTGTAGAATGTAATGGGTTCATTTGTTTCAGACTCTGGTTTTCATAATGCTCTTTGAAGATCTCTGCATCTCTAGTCAACCTATCAAGCCAACCAATTACTAATTTTATAAAGTCAGTTCATACTTTAATAGACCTATATGCAGTTTGGAGACTGATACAGGGCTGCATAGTTGAGTTAACATATTCCAGTAATTATTTCATACTCTCCACACTGCAATTAAACACTAACTCTATATCCTTGAACACGTGTCGATTTTTATATTTGTCCCACTTCAGTTACAATGCATCCAAATACAGTGGCTAATTATTTTTCTCATTAAAGGAATTAATGAAACACAACACTCCACGCCAGAATAAGAACTGCCTGAGAAATTTCGACCTGTCTGAGCACAGGCAAATTTTCAGCGACTTGGCCATCCGTATCTACCATCAGTTTATTTCGGTCATGGAGAACTGCTTAATGCCAATGATAGGTGAGCGAAATGGATGGATGTTAAAAACTTCTGATGATCAATATCATACTAAAAAAGTCTGATTCATACTTCAGAAATATAGCATGACTTGCTCTTGTAGGGAAATTGTTTGCTAGCAGCACTATGAATCTCATTAAGCAAAATATGCTGTAAATACTTATAATAAAGCTAAAAGGGTTACACAGTTTGTTTTATGTTAACTGTGACATTATCATACATTGTGCTTGGCGTTCATTTTAAAAATATACTGTAACCGTTAAGACATCTTAACTTAAAGTCAGTTAAGACAATGTAACATTAAGACATTGTTATATGCCATAAGTGGCTGACTTGCACAATGTGTGCAATATTGTGTGTATATTTCACTTCATCAGAATCATGTACCATGAGGTCCTTACTTATTTAAACCTTACTCACACACTCCTCCAAGCCGTACTTAAGCACTCGGAAAACTTCATCCATCCATCCATCCATTTTGTACAGTAACCTCTTCATTCAGGGACACAGAGGAGCTGGAGCCTATGCCAGCAAGCAAGGGATGCAAGCCAGGATACAACCTGGACAGACACTGGACAGACACTGGACAGACACTGGACAGACACTGGACAGACACTGGACAGACACTGGACAGACACTGGACAGACACTGGACAGACACAATCACCCCAGGGCTAATTTTCCCAGGAGCAAATTAACTTACCGGTGTGTTTTGGACTATGGGAGGAAACCGGAGCACCCGGTGGAAACCCACATGAACACCATGTTAGAAAAATAAAACTAATTCAGTGTTCGTTTTGTCCCAGTACCTGGAATGCTGGAACATGAAAGTCTTCAGGGCATTTCGAGCATGAAACCCACGGGTCTCCGCAAGCGTTCAACCAGCATCTACGAGGACATGGAAGTCTACACCATCTCCTCCATCCTCCAGCAGCTCAGCTACTTCCACAGCACCATGTGTCAGCACGGCATGGACGCCGAGCTCATGAAGCAGGCCGTGAAGCAGCTCTTCTTCCTCATTGGAGCGGTCACCCTGAACAGTATATTCCTCCGCAAAGACATGTGCTCCTGCAGGAAGGGCATGCAAATCAGGTGGGGAAAAAAACTCACAATTGAGATTCCACAAAATAAATGGGAAATGCATGCAGTCAGCCCCCGATTAAGCCATATGTGTTTATTCCATTAATTCCTAGGCACTGACCTAGGATTAAACAGAAGCCAGCAAATGGATCATTAAAAAGTTAGGATATTTCTGACAGAATAGTGAAAACATGGCAAGTCTAATATGCTACACTGTTTTAATCTCCCGTCACACTTCAAAGAAAATAATTTTACATTCTGTATCACACCCACTTATTGAAAAGAACTGTTGATTGCACATTTTGTAATCTGATCTGTTCTATTCGCATCTTCACTGTATTTTTGTTTCTTGGCCAAAGCTGACACTTTCCCAAGCTCAAATTTGCATTTTTATTTTGCAGATGTAACATTAGTTACCTGGAAGAATGGCTTAAGGAGAAGAGCCTGCAGAACTGCAATGCTATAGACACTATGGAGCCTCTTTCCCAGACAGCATGGTTACTCCAGGTCAACAAATCAACAGATGATGATGCCAAGGAAATCTGTGAGCGATGTTCTGGGCTTTCTGCTGTGCAGGTAAAATCTGGAAGCTTTGAAACATTTTTAAACTGCTACAGGCTTAGGATTAGGTTATAGTGCAAGTTAGATTACAATTCTAACTTTGAATATCTAACTTTTATTGACTTCATATTTATTGACATCACATTTCATGTGTGCACTTTTCTGTTTTTAAATGGATTTGTTTTGTTTTTTTTCACTTCTTCTGTAACAGATTGTCAAGATTCTCAACTCTTACACCCCTATCGATGATTTTGAGAAGCGGGTGGCACCATCATTTGTACGCAAAGTACAGGTGAGAAAATTCCACATACTACTACAGTATTATACATCTGATCTTACAGTTTAGACGAAATTCAGTTGTGGGTAACCAGGACATAATTTAAGGAGCATGAGGTGTCTGGAAAAATAAACAGTAGCTGATCTCTTCTTTCACTGCTGATAGTATGAAAAATTCCAGAAAGACAAAGGATTACAAATGAGTCCTCTTTTTAACTCATTTTGTTGCAAGTAGACAATCAATGCAAGACTCTCATCCAGCTGTTTCAGGAATGATCCTAGAGAATTAGCTTCAACAGTACTGTTGGGCAGTTTGTGCCAGTCTTTCACAATCCTTTGAGTCAAGTCCTAAATGCACTTTCTTTTCACTTCTACTTGTCCTGGTTTTCCTGCTGGTACTGAAGTAGTCCTCCATGTACACTTTTGCAGCAAGTCTTATCATCATTCTATACATTCCACTTCTATATGTGTTAAATCAGATTTTATCAGAGGTGTAATGGGTTTTTATTAGACACTATTCATGTAATAACAGAATTCCAGGTACTTACCTCAGAAGTTTTATGGGTTTTAGAATATTCCAGGACTATATACAGGATTATATTTAAAAGTATTTTCAATGCCCGTAATTTGTCACTTCAGGATAAACTTGCTTCCCATATGGGCTATGAAAATTGGAATTGTTTTCATTACAACAGATCAGTGTAGTTCAGTCTGTGAACTTCATACTGTTCTGTTATAAATAAACATTTTGGTGGCATTGCAAAACCACAGTACTTCAGGCTGGAAGGTGGTGATGCTGCTGTTGTAAATATAAAGTATCTTAATATTCTAGAATAATATTGTTTTCCTAACCTTCTCTTTCCTTTATTCCTAGTCTTTACTGCAGGGTCGTGAAGGCACATCTCAGCTCATGCTGGACACCAAGTATCGCTTCCAGGTCACTTTCCCGTTCAGCCCCTCCCCACAGGCCCTGGAGATGATCCAGATTCCCAGCAGTCTTAAACTGGGCTTTTTAACCAGGATCTGATGGCTGTAAACCAGCAGACCTGTATAACCCAGTAATGGATCTCTCTGCTTTTGTGCAAAAAAACAAAAAAAAGCTTATTTTTAGCCTCAAAGACACAGGTTTTTTAAATTACAAAACCGTATTATTAATGTATTTAAAATGTTTGGGAAGCAGCTTAAGTATGTAATGAAGTTTAAATCTTCTTTTTCTTGCTCTCCAGTCAATGTTTTAGACTTTTTCACCTTCAGGTCATTAACAAGTGTTTTAAGTGTGTCTTTTAAAATTTGAACAAAAGTAAACCCATGCACTGCCTTTTTCAAACAGGATGTCTTGGTGTTAATATTGCTAATCACAGTGGTATTTAAATTAGTAAAGGGTCCCAGGTTACGTTTTTAAAATCTCTGCTGGTTATTATCCTCATTACCAGAGCTTTACTAATGCAGAGGAATGGTTTAGTCAGCTAAATAATGTATGAAGATCTTGGCTTTTTAACCCAGCTTCCATTAATGTATTATTTATTATCTTTATACTGTATTGATCATGATTCTGATTGTTTAATGAAGTACTTCCTTAATGAGAATTGTTTCATGGCCTGCTTTAGATTTAGTATTACACCCCGCATTACACACAAAAACAAGAACTTTTGATCATAATCATTTAATGAAATCTAGTAAATTTGTATATTATAAGCATTAAGATATTTCATTTTACAGAGACTATAGGGATCTAATTATATAACTTATCCATGTATGTAGTTTTTCTGTGTTGAAAATGTTGTAAAAAGTGGGCTGTTACTGCTGGTTATATCTTCAAAAGGAGATTTAATGTGTCATGTTATTTTCACTGCAAAGAAGTTAAACTGTGAATCGTTACATTCACAATTTTGTACTTTTAATAGCACATTTTACAGTTATGCACAATTGTACACATTTTGTATATATAGAATGTACTTATTACCTTTATTCACTGTGCACCATGTGTTACAAGTCTTAATGGGAGATCCACAAATTGTTATCAGTGTAAACATTTCACCTCGTGGGAGAGAAAACCACACCTGTCATATGTAGTTGGAATATTTTTCAAACACTGTTGATCCTTTATAAAAAGTCTGTTAAACTGAAACAAAATGCATTGTCCCTCAGAATCAGTGCTTGATCAGAAAACAACCTGTTGCATATTACCTTTTTACTAGTGCCTCAACTGCTACAGTTCCACTTTGGTTCAAATGCTTTTCTGCAACATATTTGGTCTGATAACTCTGCATTAATATGGAATTTTCTACAATACTTTTGCAGAATATCATCATCTTTTTGTGTCAGAACGCTTGATTTTCTCATCATGGTGTATTATGAAAAACTCTCTCTGTGATTATAAATGTCTTTCCCATTATCATCCTTGTTTGTTTGGTTTTTTTTTAGCTTTTTCTTTGGGAAAATCCTATCAATTTAAAAATGAATGTGTTTTAATAAAGATGTACTGAACTGTTTCCTGTGAGATGGTTTTAATAGTTTGTGCTTTTGCCAACACTTGTGCCTTAATATTTTTAACTGGTGGGAATTTGATTTTTGTTTAGGTGCATTTTGACAAAAGTAAAATAACAAAATCCAGTCCTGATCCAATTCTTCCTCAACACAGTTGATTTGATTTTGTTTTAGCAATTGTAAGCGATTACAAAACTTAAATGTCATTTCCATGGTGTTTATAAAACACTTTTATAAGTTTATTGAACTTTTAAATATTTATGCTAGAATGTAAAAAATTGTATTCTTGTATAGTCAATTGTGCCAAACTTTTCTTAATGACGTTTCCTATCTCTCTCTATATAAGATATAAGGCACTTCAGCTCCAAGCAGCAATGCGCAGGTGTTGCCAATGTGTAGCCAGATCTTTAATACCCTCTAAGTAGCTTACAAGTCAGTCCTTCATATTCAATTCTCTTTACCCCCTGCACATGAAACGCAGCCTCTGTAAAGACACAAAGAGTTCTTCTCGGACAAGGTATTATTTCTTCTTTTAAACCATAAAAGCTAGTTTTTCAGAGCTGTTGATATCCGATTTCAAATTGTACCAGTTCTGCTTTGCTCATATTACTGACGAGATAAATCTGGATCTTGGTTGTACTTTTGTACAGTATGTTTTCAGGAGGTCGTTTTTAATTCTACATTACTTGTTCGATGGTGGATAATTGTGTTTATTGAAATTACAAAAAATATTTAAAATAGTTTTTTCAGTTAAAAACTGCAACCTATGTATATGATTTTGTTGATTTGTAGTCTGCTATGACTAAATGTGTTTTGTTTACATTCTGAAGGGTTTGCTTTGTGCTTGAAGAGACTTTTTTTATGTGTAATTATCTTGTTGGAATATAAGATGTCTTATTTTATATAATGAAACATGCATGCTAACGTATATTCTGGAAACGTACCAGAAGAGTTTCCAAATTATAGAGCAGAAGGTAGTTTTATGAGGTAAAATAGTTTTCGATCTTTCACGCGTACTATGTACAATACCTCATTACTCATTACTCCCTTAGACACTTGTATGATTTATTTATGCACTTCAGCATCTCATGACTTTACGTTCATGTGAGCGCCCTGTTCAGTAGTATATAAACATTCCAGTCGTGTTTTAAATGTTTACGTAGAAAGGCACTGCTGATGCATAGTTTGTAAGCTGCAGTGTAATTCCCCGAAATAGATTTACTGCTACTTTTTGCTTGTATTCCTGGCCCTTGATCTGGATCAAGCCTTTGGAAGGGATTTATTCTCTGATTATCCTGCAACAGCTATGGGTTTCCGTGGCTGAAGACTCGGCTCAAGAGTAACAGAGGACAGGGATACATGAAAAGAATGTAAAATAACTGGGTTCTCTTTTCCATTCACGTTTCCTTGACAGGCGTGAGAGTTTCCAGGATGTGTGACCAAACGTTTCTCGCCATCAACTTCGGGCCGTGTGACAAATGTCAAAAGACAAAGCCCCTGATGAATATATACATCAAATCGGAGCCGATCAACTACTGCGCGCTCTGCGTGGAGCTGGTACGCTTTTCTTGTCCGGGCCTGCTCTCCCGGAGCCTATTCAATTCTGTCAGTGTGACAGCCATTTGCTTTAGAGGTCCCTGACTTTCGTTTTTCACGAAACATTTTACGTGTGTTTGCTCTAACCCTAATATCCCAGCCCACTTCTTCCCTTCTACCGACCCTCTCACATTTTTAGCTAGAACATAGGGAAGTTACCACAAGGGACCAACTGAAACTAGAGGCAAAGGAATGTGCTGCACGCTTTACTGAGACATGGCAGTCTCTCTTCCATTAATGAAGATTTCTGGATTTCACATGGCTTGCCTGCCAGAGGGAATTTCCACGGCTTCCCAAAGGAAGTCCTTACTGATTGTAAATTATGTGGTTTGCCGTATCACTCTGTTGGCGATGCCATTTTGCTTTGAAAGATTTTCATTTATGAAATGTTAATGGACTGTAATTTTTTTTCTCGCCAATACTGTACAGACAACTGACCTATGAAAGGAAGTTCCTTAGGAAAGATGTATTAATAATACATGAGACCGTTTTATTTTTCTTAAAGTTTTGTGTATTTCCCAGGGCAAAAAGGCTGTCTGTCCTTAGTTCTACAAGCGCAGAGCCTTTCCTGCAGGCACTGCTGCCAGATTAATGAAATACAGCAGCAGCGCTCCATAGACGTAAGCTAACGCTTATCAATCTTATTCAACTGTCCAGAGTGCTTGCGCCTGACAGCTGACACATGCCTTTGAGCTGCCCTAAACAGAGTTAAAATACCAGATGACTCTAATGGCGGTCACTTGTTCTTGTGGTGATAATAAAAAGGATACCATTATCTTCTCCTTCGAGCTTCAGAGTTGCTGTGTAACTTTGGCAACCAAAACTTGCATAGATCGTTCTTTTCGTTTAATGTTTACTACTGTGAAAGAAAGAATAACGACAAACCGCTATATTTTAGCTGATTCTGAAACGGCGTACATGCGGATCGAGGGTAACACAGATCGAGGGCTGTGTGTTTTTTAAACATGATAACGATAATGTTTGCAAATCTGGTCCGGGTGGACGACTGTGATATTTTCGTAAGGGTGGGCGCGAGGTAGATGGAAAACACACAATCTTAAGTGAAAGTAACGCAAATCATTCCCCTTATTTCTACATTAAACATAATGTACCAAAACACTACGGACAGCTTTAGGAGCCTAGAAAGAGCATCTCCCCGGTGACGTCAGTGCAGCTGCATCAGCTGCGAGTCCTGGGCTGAGGCTTTAGTCAGGCACAACACTACTGAAGCCAACAAAACATCTCTGTTTTTCACCCCCTTCCCCCCGTTGTGCTCACCCGAAGATGGCTACCGAGGGGCTGCAGGAGAGTGAGACCCTGGCATCCTTGAAAAACGAGTCGGAGACCCTGAAGTCAAAGCTGGAAGAGGAGAGAGCCAAGCTGCACGATGTTGAACGTGAGTGCCGGGGATGAGAGGGGCCTCTTAGAAATCACAACATCCACCCCTCTGCTTCCCGAGATCATGGAGGCAGCCTGAGGGAATGAACCGCTTTTCTGACATTAGATCAAAAGGCGAAACGCAACCTCGGCTGAGACTGTGTCACGGCTGTGTTTCTAGCGTATACGTCAATGGCTAATAAGGTGTTTGTTCATCGAGTTATAGAATTTTTTCCAAATGCGAATTACGGTATGCATTTACTCTATATTTCTACAGTATATGCTGCGAGGTAATCGTTTGAATATTATTAGTGCGTATGAACAAATAATACCCTGTTTTCTGATGGCTATAGCGCTGAAATGAATTTGCAGTGCCAAACAGACTCTATTAAATTAGCTCAGTTAAGGCAGTTTGGTCGTGTGCGTGCTACAGTATATTGTATTGCTTTCAGGTGCAGAAATACCTTCGCTTTCCCGTCTGTTACATACACGGCAATTTGGGGGGGGGGCTTTCGTAAAACGTACAGTATATGCACTATGTATAAAACACTCCGCCCGATGAGATTTTTAAACTATTTAAAATCCATTTTCATCTGAAATATAAGGAATTGTCTCATCAAAGTGAACAGCGCCTCTTGCTGCGTTTTGACCTAGGTGTTTTTTCTGTCACGTTAGAAATAGGGTCACATTTAAACCACCTTTACTTGCATTTTTGAGTTTTGCAATAGCGATGGTTGGAATGACAGAAGACCATTTTGAGCAGGAAGCTCCCGAGCCAGGTCTGTTTTTAAAAGGTGTTTCTCGCTGCGCCCGCAGTACACCAGGTGGCGGACCGGGTGGAGGCGCTGGGTCAGTTTGTGATGAAGACCAGGCGGACCCTGAAGGGCCACGGAAACAAAGTGCTGTGCATGGACTGGTGTAAAGACAAGAGAAGGATCGTGAGCTCTTCCCAGGTGAGGACTCGGGGCTGCGGGTGGCCAGATATAAGCGGAACTGCCCGGAAATGAATCTGAGGGATGTTATGCCTTCAACCGCTAACCTGAGCAAATTATCCGCAGTTTAAATCATTCAAGAATAAAGTATGTGAAAAAATAAAGAGGATCTATTACCCATTTCCCGGTACTTCACATATTTCAATCAGCTTGTGTAGCCACTTTTGAGAGTCATTGAGACGTCACTGTCCATGGTCCTGATCTTTTTATTTTTATTCAAAATTGAATTTAATCACTCTTGGCCTACTTAAGGAATATAGCATGTGGCCAGAAAGAGAAGGCAATTTTGATTTCTTCTGATGGTGGTGGAAACCTTTGTTTTCTTTTCCTCTGGTTCATAGAAAGTTTTGATGATGGAAAACACAAAGAACAGGTAAATGAGAATGATAGTGTTTTGGGTGTTTTTTTTGCTCCAAAGGTCAAGTGTTACAATGAAATCAAGCATTAAAATTTTATATTGACAGCTGTAATAATGTTGGGTGGCTCTGATGTTGAGAAGGATGGCATTTATAAAATAAAAAAGTCTAGTATTCACTGAAATACTATTATGTATACTGTATAACTATATAGTATTATCTTATGTGATATAGGATTATGTCAAAATAGAGTATTGAAACACAGGTTTTTCTTATAGAATTTAAAATATTCACAGGCTTATCTTTTTGTCTCAGAGGGTGAAAGTTTTATTTGTCACCTGTCACCGACGTGATTTATTAAAAAGTTAAAATTTTCTTGCGTGCAGTTTTCCTGCCGAAGCACAGAAATGGTTTGCTAATGCAAAGCAGGACCAAAGATGCTGAATTCGCACTAAACCATCTTGCTTTAGGGAGGGCTTTTTTCTCGAGTCAATAAGATGAGCACAGTGGTTAGTACAAAGGATGTAGTGGAGCTGCAAACCCATTTAGTACAGTCTATAAATGGAAGGTGATTTGAAATGGAAGTACCGCAGGCTTTTGAATTATAAATATTGCATGAAAACAGTGGGGACATCTTAAACACTGGTGAGGGCTGCTTCCGTTGATAAAAAAAACGTGAAGAAGAAAGAAACTAAAGAAATGTGTGTTTTCCCGGTTCTGCAAAAGAGCAACACGATCACAGGGATTACGCCAATTGCTAAAACGAGCCATAAAAGCTCATTTATTTCAAGTGAATTGATGGAACTGTCCATCCATTTTCTAGCTGCTTTATCCAATACAGGGTCTGGGAGAGCTGGAGCTTTTCCCACCAAGCTAGAGGTGCAAGGCAGGGTACATCCTAGACAGGGCGCTAGTCCATCACAGTGCACAGACACAAAATCACACTCTCAACCAGGGCCAATTTTCCCAGAAGTCAGTGAACCTTCCAGAATGTTTTGGACTGTGGGAGGAAACCAGAGCACCTAGAGGAAACCCGCATGAGTATGGGGAGAACACACCGTACTTGCACACATTCTGCACTTTGTATTGAACCTTAATTGTTCCAGAACTATTCAGATAAAGAGTTATCTGGCTGAAGGGTATTAACCCTGTGCTCCATGTTGATTCTTAATAATAAAAATATGCCTTTTTTGGGATTATGTGTATCAGCACCTTTATAATGTTTTTGGGACCACATTTTCAAAAGTTATTCTAGTTTGAATATAATTTTCCAACATATTTCACTCCTGAAGCCCAACAGTGTTATTTGTTTTATTTTGTCACAGGATGGAAAAGTAATTGTATGGGATGCTTTCACAACCAACAAGGTAATATGGATTTATTCTTTTATATGAAGTTGCTGTGGGTGAGAGGAGAGAAAGTATGAGCTGAGAACTCAATGTGGTTTTATAGATTTCATCATGACAAAAATGCCGCACCTTACAACAAAAACTTAGCAATTCCTCTACCCATTTCTGATGCTCATTTCCTTCTGAGGAAAAGCAGGACCGGCAAAAACATAGCCCTTCTGCAAATATAATCAAACTTTCCTCTAATGGTTTTCCAAGTGGTTACTACTTTCCAACACTAATGTAATTAGCTTTTATTTTTTAGATGAACAACATCTAAAGATAAATGTTGCCCGATTATGTTAGATATACTTTATGTACCTAGATATTATGAATAAAATGGTATAACTTTGCATCAGATTTAAGCTTGTCAATTCCCGATACTTTCTATGAGATAATCCAGCCATTTTCTAAACACTTTATACAATTCAGGGTCACAGGGGAGCCAGAGCCTGCACCAGCAAGCAACATGCACAAGGTGGGATATACCCTGGACGGGACACCAGTCCATGGCAGGGTACACCCAGACACAGACACGCACACACTCACACCAGGGCCAGCTTCACAGAACCCAATTAACCAGCAAATCTTTGGACCGAAGGAGGAAAGTGGAGCACCTGGATCATATAAACTCTGCAATGTTAGCACTCCAGGAATTGAGGCCCTGAGCTGCAAGGCAGCTGTACTAACCCCTGCACCACCGTGCCAACTTCTCTGAATATTAAACTGTACGATTACAAATGTGATCTGACATTAGTGAAACATCCCTATCATTTGTAAGGATTCCACAATAAACTTAGAACCCGCCAGCTCCTCATTTATCCTTTGAGCATCTGTGTATCAAGAGGTTGCAGCAGTAAAAACTGCCCTCTGCACTTTTGTTGTACCATCCCAAAGTGTGCATTGGTGGCTGCTTTATTGGCTGTGATGTCTGTTTTATTGTGAAGCAGGTTTTAAATCTGCCTGTGAGTTCAAAGAATTGTATTGTTGGAATGACTTATTTGTTCTCTGACCAGTGTGTGGGTAGCTTGAAATCCATGATCATAGTGTCTGTGTTCCAGGAACATGCAGTCACCATGCCATGCACCTGGGTAATGGCTTGTGCGTACGCACCCTCTGGCTGTGCAGTAGCCTGTGGGTAAGTCACCTCTTTTCTTAGTTTCCAGTGGAGCAGTACCTTTGCAGTCGGGATATTTCCTAACTGTTAAACACCCTGGAACTGATTTAAAGGTCTGTTAGAACTCCATTCATTGGCTTGTATTGAAAAGAATCTTCTCTTTGTATGTGATCCCAATTTTCTCAACAGGTTCTGCTAGTGAAATCAAGAATGCTTTTCTTGTTTTTGTCTCTGAGTTTGCATTCTTCCTCGAACAGTTACGCACCTGAGCTTCATGGCGTATTTAGTCTTCATAACTGAAGACAGCAGAGCAAATAGAAAGAGAAAGGTATTCACTATCTAGTCACTGCTTATAAAACAGTTTGCTGGAAATTAAAGCTTAGTAAAAACACCCTGAAATGATCATTGGGGTATGTGCCCTATAGAATTGAGTAGGTAGGATTATAGAAGCACATAATTAAAAGTAAATCGGTGGAGCCCTTTCAGCCTAGTCTAGTTTGCATGGTTTCAAGTTACTAATTAATCCCAGGTTTTCTTCCAGCTTTTCTTTGAATGAACCTATAGAATCAGTTTCATAACATGGCTGTGCAACCTGTTCCAGGCACCACCACCTTTGTGAAACGATTTGCTTCTTTTTCTCAGTTCCATTTTCTCTTGCTTCGGAAACATTCTACTGTGCTAATGTTGTAACAGCTACAGCTCACTGGTCACACTAACTCTTCCTTCACCCTTGTCTTTCCAGAGGTTTGGACAACAAGTGTTCAGTGTATCCATTGACTTTTGACAAGAATGAGAACATGGCTTCAAAGAAGAAGTCTGTGGCAATGCATACCAACTACTTGTCAGCCTGCAGCTTCACCAACTCTGACATGCAGGTAGGAGCGTGACAGCAGCCAAGGTACAGAGTATGAGAAGACTACATTGCTATGCAAAATTGTGCAACGTGGCTTCAGCAGCTGGTTGAGGATTTTAGAAGAATGTATGTATGAATGTATTTCAACTCGACCATTTATATAACTGATTTATAGGCCTGCAGAAGGTAGTCGGCTCCTTGCCCATTCAAAAATTGTTACACACCTGCACTGAACATTTCTTCATAAAGTTTAAAACTGCTTACAGTGCCATAGTGAATTTCAGCCCTCTGATAGCCTACTGAGTTCAAAATGTGACAGGGACAATAACTTACTGCTTAATAATTCATACAGATTAATGCTGCACATTTTTAAGATTCTCCTGGACTCTTTGGGACCTATGTATAGTTTTTCATTTGCAGATATCTGTCATTTTAGTACTGGTACACAGATCTGTAATTCATTATTTAGCAGGGCCATGGGGACACCATGTGAGTGTTGCATACAAAAACTTCTTAATTTCATTAATTGGAGATCCTTTCAGGTTTTATGTACTCAATCCATCACCCACAGAAGAGGTGGCTTGAGTCACACAGTGGGCTGATTCTTAACAACACCAACGCACAACATCAGGTATCGACTGACAGCAAACAGCTTAGAGCTGAAAACAATACAAAGAACTAGGTTTAGTGATCTTGAAACACCCCCTCATTACTAGACCACATCTGTGTGCTTAGTTACGTTTCCCTGTGCAAACCCAAGGCCAATAAGAGGAAATGATCAAGAACTTATGAGAATACCACCTCATGTGATTTTCTAACCTAATTATACATGTCTAATTGAGAAATGTTAATGCTTCCTCTTAGAATCTATAATTAGTTGAAAGAAAAACCCTTTTTGAAGATTAACACTTGCTGGGTTTTTCAGCCCACTAATTTGTGATGAGGTGGACTTTTACATTTTTAACGTACTACAAACTACAGAAGTCAAGCATTAATATATATATATACTCAGTCTTAAACATATGACATTATTTATTTTATAAATTAAAGAACAGTCTGAGAAGCCTGGAGAATCTTCCATGAAAATCAGAATTGCAATCAATCTTTGACTTCTAAGGTCACCTTGTTTTAAGCTCTATTCATGACACATATGTAGTAATATTGAGCAATATTTCTAGATGGCCTCTTTTGAAGATAGAACAATTACTCTATGTTAAAAATGTATCTTTTGTAGTGGGAGCTCCAGATTGTTCCAAGCCTAATATTGTCTATTGACCAAGAAAACCCGAAGAGAAATTGTGTACTTTTCTTTGGCTTGATCACAGCAGTTGTCATGACAATACCATAGGCCACTGGTTTGGACAGTGAGAGTTTGATTTAACTAATTGAGATTGAATCCTTTTGTGCTGAAAAAATGAGTCATGCCTCATGAAACCAAGGACATCCTTTTTATTAATGAGTCCTTCAGTGGATTGCTCTGGAGACCCTTTTTCTGTCTATTTTTAAAAAGCTTCACTGGCAGGTCAAGTTTTGTTTGTAGACGAAAGCTTTTTTACTTTTAAATGTATATAAAGATCAGAATATACATGTTTAGAAGATGTGTTTTGTTTTTTTGCAAATTTCCTTTCTCGGTGAGACCTGCCAGTCAGGAAGTAGTGAAGTAGTGAGATCTTTCAAAAACTGCTGATTAAACAGAAAGAATAAGAAAGAAATATCAGGCCATTTTCCTTCGTGGTGCTTTGAAGCCTCTTGGTCACATGCTCGAGATGTGGGTCTTATTAGTCATGGCTCGTTTAGCAATGCTTGTGTGTAATGGGATATCAGTGCTGCAAAGCTAGGCCTGCCACCACAAGCTCCCCATGTCATACCAGCACTGAGGGACGTGGGTAAAAGGTGATGGGAACATGTGTCAGCCTGACGTGCAGATGGACGGTGTGAAACCAGATCAAAGGCCCCAGGCAGTTATTTACTAAGTCTGGAGCAGCAGAGCACAGGGTGAAACAGCCTCTGTCATTTGTGGCATCTTAGATGAATGTGAAGTTAGGGGGATTCGTCCAGTGTAAATGAGTGCTTTTAATTAAATGAACTAAAGCACTTTCAATGGCATGATTAACACTCAGTCTTTCCTTGGGTCATCTTACTTCACGCACTGTAGGCTCTCTTTATCTTTTCACACTGGAGGGGCACCATTGAGCTCACCATCCACTGAGATGCAGTCTGTTCTCTTGCTCGCTGATGGCTGGGACTGTGTATTGACTGATAAGACATTCGTCACAAGGGCAAATGAAAAAAAAGATTCATGCAAATAAAATGAACACACCAGATCATCCATTTAAGCTCATCCCCAGAGTGCTCGCTACTTCACATAAGAAATTTCAAATAAATCTAAATGTAAATCCTTGTACTGTAGTACCATTTACCAGTGATGTTTGTTGTAGGTTATTTCACCTTTGCAAACCTCCTTTCACCTCTTAGTTAATTCAGAACACATTCAATCATATGAAAGAATAGTTTTCCCCTCTACGAAGAAGCCTTCATAACAGTGTGGTGCAAAAAAAAACGTCAGCTCAGAAGCTGCTTTTGTGGTTCAGTATCTGCATTGTTGCTTGTGATCACAAGAGGGCAGTATCTCTATTTCTAACATTTAATATACAGAAGCAGGAATATTCCTTGCATTTATATAGTTTTTTTCATCCTAAAGTATCATAATGATCTTGACATGTAGGAGTGGACTCACCCTGGGTGACTCACAGAAGTCATTATGCCCCAGCAGCCCCACTACACAGAAGATCAGTGCAATGAGATATTTACAGTATATAGTGAAGTAGACCTTGGTTTAACATCTCACTGGGACAGCACCCACCACAGCAGTGTCCCTTGTCACTATATTGTGTCATTGGTTTGGAAATTCCAAGTCCAGGGGAAGAGTACCTAATGGTCTGTTATATGAAATGACTTAATATCAATGCATATAATATTCATCTCTGATATTTTGCCAAATTGCAAAACACAAATGTTTTAATTTTGGCAAAATACTTTTACACTTGTTGGGGTAGTAAAGACTGTGTGACTGTATAATTCATGAACCCTCCACCCTCGGGAAGATAAACAAAAAAACAAATGTATAAATACCAGAAAACCCTTTACCCACTCCCTAATTTTGATTTTTTAAGATTTTGGGAGAGGTGGAAGACTGGAATAGGTTTTAAGTTCTGTTTTCCTCTGTGCTTCTAGTGATTGTTTTGTTTTGTTATATCTTTATTATGCAGCATTAAAGATATTTTAAATCCAAGCTCTTCTGTCCAGTCAGCTGTAAGTTCCTGTGGCGGGTGGAAGGAATGGGTGTAAGGGCTAGTGGAGGAGGTGTGACTGGGCCCCCCGTGTGTCTCTTCAGATCCTGACAGCCAGTGGAGATGGCACCTGTGCTCTGTGGGATGTGGAGAGTGGACAGCTGCTCCAGAGTTTCCACGGCCACGCCGCCGACGTGCTCTCTCTGGACCTGGCGCCGTCAGAGACGGGCAACACCTTCGTGTCCGGGGTGAGGGAGAGCTGCCCGTTTCACAGCATCAGAACACTTTTTGAATATCAGCCACACGAACACTCTCTTTACTTTCTTTACTGTTGACTTTTTACCTTGATTCCTGGGCTGCCCTGCTTACAGACTGCTTTCTTTTTTTAAGCACTCCAGTGCAGTAGTTCGACATGTTTGTGAAGATGTTAATCGGTGTCTCTAAATGAGGGAGTGGGCAGTTCTGGTCCTGGAGGGACGATGTGTCTCATCTCTTAACAACTTAAGCCAACTCATTATTAGCTTGATTAACAGCTTTTCCCAGCTCTTCAGTTGCTGCAGCTTTGACACAGCACCCCCTCCAGGAACAGGCTTGCCCTCCAGAATGAGCATCTTCCTGATGCTGGACAAAGATGATGGGAGTACTGGCCAGCTGTGACCTGTTTTGATGACCTGTCTTGCTGCAGGGTTGTGATAAGAAGGCCATGGTCTGGGACCTGCGCTCTGGACAGTGCATCCAGTCCTTTGAAACACATGAGTCTGACATTAACAGCGTCAGGTGAGTGTGCCATTTTATTACACCATTTTTCAGAATGGATTTGCTGATCATTAACTTGAACTAACATTCCACCTTTCACCTGAAAATGCAGAACAGAGGAGCAAAGCCATCTTAATCTTGACTGTTTTTTCTCTCAGTTGTAGATATCCTGTGTTTGCCTTTAGTCAGTTAAAACCATCTAAAGTTAAGATTAGTAATTATTTATTGCTTCATTTCAGATACTATCCCAGTGGAGATGCATTTGCATCAGGTTCTGATGATGCTACTGTAAGTGTTTCAGAGCCTGATTATTTTTAATCAATTCATTGCAGAACTGTTTCGTTTTAGTCTTGTTCATGTAATAGCAAAATGTTTCCATTTTCAGATCATGTTGTAGAAATTATTTTTAAAACCATGTTTAAATAGTAGTTTTTGTATTTATACTATGTAAAAGGGGAATTGTTTTTTAACTAGTTTTTTTCTATTTTATTTTTTTCCCAAAAACAAATTTAGCAAATATAACAAGATAATCGTATTCCCCACCACACTCCTAACCCATTCCCCTCAGAGGTGCTCAACGTTTTCTACCTAAGGACACCCAAAATACCATCAAACCACTACAATGAATTTCCAGGCCAATAATTTACCTTAAAGAGATGGTAAAGATCTCTTTAAGAGATAAAGATAATCTTTAACCTTTTAAGGTAAAGATAATTTACCTTAAAGAGTTTATAAGTCTATTGGCTTATCAAACTGAGGATTGTGTGTGTATTTGTGGTGGAAGATGTAAAAGCCTGAAGATGGTAATTCATTATTTGTAAAAGTATCAACATAGGTTTTAGTGAATCCCAGAAACGCTCTCATGTTTTGTAATGTTTTTTTAGTGTCGTCTGTACGATCTTCGAGCAGACAGAGAAGTAGCAATTTACTCCAAAGAAAGCATCATTTTTGGAGCTTCAAGCGTGGACTTTTCACTTAGTGGTAAGTGTGCTTGATAGAGTCAGTAGGTACTGCAGGGAATTTAGTAGATAAGCACAACAGTGCTTCCTCTCAGTTATTGCATTTTGTATACAAGTAGTATTTATATAAAAACAATTATTTTGTGTGTGTATGTATCCATTTCTAAATTCTTTATCCAATTCAGAGTCACGGGGGAGTCAGAGCTTATCACAGCAAACAACAGGCACAAGGCAGGAATGGACACCAGTCCATCACAGGGTACACACAGATACAGACAAAAACATGCACGTACTCACACCTATGGCCAATTTTTCCTGCCGCCAATTAACCTACAGTACCAGTACAGTATGTTTTTGGACTGTGGGAGCAAACCAGAGCATCCAGCGCCAGTACAGTATGTTTTTGGACTGTGGAAGGAAACCAGAGCACCCAGTGAAAAGCCATGTAAAAATACAAAGTCCGCACAGATAGCACCCCAGCGCTGGAACTGAACCCAGAGCCTCAGCACTGCGAGGCCGCAGTGTTGACCACTGCATGGAGGAGTGTTAGCCTCCATTCCAATTACCATGCATGTTCCTACATGGATTATTACCAAACTGTTGCTACTGGATTTACAGGTTCCAAAATCCTTTCTCAATTAATAATGTTCTTGTGCACATCTCTCAGTCACAAGAAGCGTGGAGGCGGCAGTTTGTTGTTGAGACGGGGAAAATATGGAATAGAAACATTGCTGTACTTCAGTGTCAGACGCTGGAAAAAAAATTACAAGATAAACATCTCAATATGACAGGTCCCAGCAGCTGAGTAGTCCCCAGGCCTGGGAGGGTATGCATTGGACTCCTTTTGAAAAGTGCTTATCTGTCTTCATGATTAGAGCAAAGCATTTGATAGACACATTACTGCTACCGAAGTGCATTCCTTTCCAGTATATTATACATTACGTGATACCAGCAGTGTCTAAGATGACTTTCAATAATGTTTAAGACCTTATCTGATGAGAAAGAAATCAAACCAGCAGGACAGCCAGAAAGTGCATTTGATATATCAACAGGGGATCATCTTTCTCATTGTCTAATCTGGAATTCCAGCCTTGATGCAGTTAAATAGATACTGTAGCTTCTTAACATTCCATGTACCAATATTCTCAGAAGGCTTTGAAATTCTTAAAAATAGATCATCCATGTTGTTAGAATTGTTTTACAATACATAAAGACATGTAAAACGTATGTGTTATGCCTGCTGGTTGTGTCTCAGATCAAGAGGCTGATGTGTGATAGCTTGCATCTCCAAACACACAATAGCTCATATGCAAGCACATTTAACAGAAAATATACCAAGTAATTATTGTCATATTTTTAATTGGAGAATAGACTATATTGATGACATAGGAAAAGACTGCTACTTTTAAATATTGTGTGATGATGTGTTTATAGGTTAATGAATACTTTTTGTTTTCGTCAGATTAAAGATAGATGATATATGTTTAATTAGAGCTTTGTCAATAGTTTTTGAGACCATTCTATCATATAATTAGGTCTGGTACTATTCACCATTCATGTATTCAGTGAGCATAAAATTCTGTAAAAAAATACAGTACCTAAGGGGGGTTTGTTTATTTGCTTGTTTTAACCTGCTAAACTTGCCCAAAACATGTGAGAGCTTAGCAATTAAAAGTATTCTTTTCACCTCTGTAAAATAATAACACAGCTGCAATGTATGAAGTCTTGCTAATTAGTGTTTTTTCAAAATATCTGGGCACTCAATAACCATCACTCTGCCCCTCTTTTTTTTTAACTGTCTTTATTGTTTTACACTTTATTTAGACAGATCATAAATCAAAGAATAACATAAAGAAACAAACAAGGGTTTTCACAGTATCCAGTAATTACCATAATATTAGTACTTCTTTTTTCAAAGGCTAAAAAGACACATCTCTTCCTGTGTGACTAAATTAATTTAATATCGATGTGAGTCAACTTTAATTTTAGCGTTAATCCACTCACATGTGCACAGACAAAATAAACTGCTAATAAATAATCAATTATAAATGTAAATGGAGAAAGTCCCCTCCCTCTTGTCACACTGAGACAGTAATAGGAAGGTGCCAAATGTAGCGTAAGATGACTAATTAACCTTGAAAGATAAGTGTTAATACCCTAAACCTTAAGGAAAAAAAAATCCTGACTAGATAAGAGTTCTGAAATGTCATTATAGTCTGATATTGTATTCAAAGGTTTAATTTATGTGGCTGTTTGGGTAAGTATTATATAGAATAACTGGGGAATTCCTGCAGCATACTGTAAATGTCATATTTGTTTTCAGTTTGGCATTTAAAAAAGGTCCTAACATTATTTTTTTTACTGTAATATTGAATGGGCTTTAACAAAAAAACTGTAAGTAAAAATGCTTAAAACAGAATAGTTTTATAAAAGGACAGGTCAATTGCATCCTAACAGAAGAAATGTTACAAATGAGAGTAAGCCTTTCAGCCCATCTTGTCAGTTTAGTAGTTAGTAGATACGTAATTGATCTGAGGATCTCATTCAGGTGTTTCTTCACGGACGCTAGAATATCAGCTTATACAGCAAGACTGGAAATACTGTTTCATGCTCCCACAACCCTTTGCATAACAAAGGGCTCTTGTTCTCGGTTTTAAATGTGCTTCCACTTAAAAATGACACTTGTCCTCTGGTTTGTGTTTCACAGCTGATTCAGAAGACATCCACTGGGTTGAATTTTCAATGCCTTGGAGGATTTGGATACTTATTATAAACCTGATTCATGCCACAGCTTGTATTAGTGCCAATCCACTGTCTGTATACAATTGTATAAGCTAAAGTATAAAATATTCTTAGTATTTAATACCTTAAGTATTATATATGGAGACATCATCTCTTGCCTGTAGCATTAATTAAAGTATCTTCATGCATTCTGAGCCACACTCAATCCACTGAACTCTTAAAAGGGAAAAAATAAGGGGAAATGTAGCTTTATCTATAATATGCAACTGACCTCAGGACCTTTGAGCTTATCTTTCTTCTATTCTTTGTTCCCAGGACGTCTGCTGTTTGCAGGATACAATGATTACACTATTAATGTCTGGGATGTCCTGAAGGGCACCAGGGTCTCCATTCTCTTTGGTCATGAGAATCGGGTTAGCACATTGCGAGTTTCACCGGATGGCACAGCCTTCTGCTCTGGATCATGGGATCATACTCTGAGGGTAAGTGGGGGGTTTCCAGATTTGCATCTGCAGCAACTAGGCTGCTGGGAATTCCATTACGGAATAAAAGAGAACCATATTTTAGCAACAGCAATAGCAGAGTTCAACAAGTTTCATGGAGCAGTACTGTAATTCTGCTTTCAGAAGGGAAGTAGGAAGGTGGAGCATCATCATAGTATAATGAGATTTCAGGTTTCAGAAACAGGTGGCTTGGTTGCGCAGTGGTTAGCATTGCTGCCTCTCAGTGCCATGGTTCCCTGTTCAATCTGGACCTGGGGTGCTATCTACATGGCTTTGTATGTCCTTCCCGTGTTTGTGTGGGTTACTTCCAGGTGCTTTGGTTTCTTCCCATAGTCCGATGAGAGTCCCTTACTGGTAGGTTAAATGGCTTCTGGGGAAAAAATCCTCTGCTTGCCGGGATAGGCGCCGGTTCCAAGAGACCTTAATTGGAAGATGTGATTAGAAAAAAAATGGACATGCTAGAATGGAACTTTAAAATTTCTTATTGATACCAAGTGCAAAACTTTGTCTTCTTTTTTTTTTTACAGATCTGGGCTTAAAGTTTATGTGAGGCCTCACTACAAATGAGAATCTGGGTTCCTTGAATTCTACATTTGTTAATCAGGATGCACACTTAACTCTACATTATCTCAACTGAGGCTTCTTTTCCTTCAGACAGCTTCAGACAGCTGAGAAGGTCCTGTGGTAAAAGGATTTGCTTTGTAGGAAAATACCAGAATAGTAATTTAACCATTAGTGTACATTCCGTGTACTGACAATATATAGATAGAATAAATAGATATATAGGTATACTGTACCTTGTCAGATATTTCCTTCTGTTGGCAAGGGTCTGAAGTCAAGGACCTCTTACTACTTTGGATTTTTGAATGTCAATGATTGTAACAGTGTCAGTCCTCAATTTTTAGCTGTATTCCAAATAATGAAAACATGAAATTCTGATTAGCTTTGGAATTCTGTTTGGAATTCTGTTTTTGTTGTGATCGGTGAGTTACCGATCTCAAATTCTCCTTTATTTAAATTACAGCTAAAATAACCTGCTAGGTTAGGGTTGACATAACAGTTGTCTGTGAAGTACCGATTGGTTTGAACTGTCCTAACAACCTGACTGTTACTGATGCTTTGTGGCCTAAAAGATTCTATTGCTTTTTGTAGTCAAAGTAGAAACATAACATTCTTGAACTCTGCAGGCAATTGCATTTAAAGATTGTTTTGTTTTACATGAAGAGTGTCAAAGAACCTTGGTTTCCATACATCACCTGTTTTCATTTCGCATCCTGTTCTTAACCTTTAAATTTAAAACTGCTGCACAGGGTGGTTATAAAGCTTTGCAGTTACCTGACTACCTGTCTGCATCCATTCATTCAGTGTGCATGAGGTTCACGTGAGTGTACAGATTAGATCAAGGACATGTGAATAGCAGGGGGGAGAAATGTTATCAATTTCTGAGATACAGACAACTATCTCAGAGGAACTCTTCATGGTGCCGATAATTGCAAAACTTCATAATCTCTACTGTATCAGCAACTTAGAAAGAAGCACTATAGGATAATCAGGTTCATTCACAAAAAGTTCTTCCTATAAAGGACAGAAGATATCCTCATATCCAGATCCTACCCAAACGTAAGTTGTGACTGTACCAAACTGAATATAGCTTTGGGTTATGTTATTCTTATCATGTCCATTTCACTCGTTTCTGTGCATCTGTGGTCTGGTTGGAATAACAAGGATAACAGTAGTACTACACCTGCAAAAATCTTTTGCTGTACCGTGGGACTGCACCATAAAGCACCATATGGCTTGTTAGAATATTGCTTGAAAACTAAGCAATGCAACTTTTATTAAGTTTTTTGTTTTATTTTTTGTTTCTGTTTTAGGGAAGGTGAATAAAAAATAGATGCAGAGTGGATGTAATATTTATAACTTGACAGGACAATGTTAATACTATAAGCGGTAAAGTTGGTGGAATCCGTCTTGGGGTGCTATAGTTCAGAATGTGCATCCAATATTTCCAGACTGATGAAGGCATTAATGCAATGTTAAAGATAAGGACAGCAAAGGGCAAATTCAAATAAATTTTTCCTGGAATGAAAGTGTTAGGGTTGTCTATTTTTCATCTTCCACAGAGAGGAGCAAATGAGGGTTACTACTTTATCATGTATATTGTAATTAATCTTACTTTTCTTACAATCAAATGAACTGGCTAGAAACAAAAATGATCACAGTAGGGAATGCTCTGTCTTTGTGTTTTCACTGTACACGTCATGCACTCTTTGGTTGTTGTGACAGCATGCTAAAAGAAGGTATGTATCCCACTCTTAGGAAAACTGTGGTCATCAAACCTGTTATGACTTTTTTAACAGCTCCTTTACATTCATAACAGCTCATTACATTTTGCAGGAGATCAAAACAACGTAAGAATTTGCCTGAATGTAATTCTGCCTTGCTCACGTTTGTCAGGAAGAATGAAAGCAGAATTTCTGTTCACCCATTTTTTTATTGACCTCCAGTTCTGTTCTGGCCTGCTACAGAGTTCAGATGTTGCGTGAGGTGTAAGAGTGATGTGGTTTGCCTAGAATCTGTTGCACTACTGTATAAACTTTAGGATACTGTTATTCTCAATCGATAAAATGTACAATAGGATTTAGTTGTCCTATAAAAGCATTTCTGTAAAAGCATTTACAGTATTGTTTTCTGTAATCTGTCCAGTTTTCTGTAATCGTTTTGTGTATATATTTAACTGATTCACTGCTGGGACTGCTGTACACTGACTTTTGCCCAAATGTAATAAATAGAGTTTTAAATATTGTTACACATTTGTATGATTTTCTCTTTTTTACTGTTGAAGTACATTCTGCAAATCATTTGTGACTTGTTCCTTACTTTTACTCAGTTCCAATTCCAATATCAATTGAAAGTAGCAATAATAAACCAAACCTAAATGCAAATGGTCTAAAAATGACATAGCTTTAATGTATTTACTGCTGTTAAATTTAGCTGTTCTTCTACAAATACTGTAGATCTCTAACTTAAGCTTAAGGATACATTTTTTGTGTGGATTTGATTTTGTTTCTGAGTATTTTAAATATAAATATTTTATTTCTATTAGGTGTTGTTATCAAAATCCTAATAAAAAAGAAAGAACAAAGCTGACTGCATTGGGAGTTGAAATGTTTTGCACTTAAGGTTAAAATTCATGTAAGGAATCAGGTATACCACAAATATTTAATCATTGGGTGTTAATGTACTGAGAAAGTACATTTCCATAATTCAGGAACATGCTATATTTGTTGCAGACTCAAAGTAAAATAATATAGACTAAATCATATTTAACTATGTGCTATACTGTAGTTAAAGTAGATCATCTGAATTTGCTGGAACAACCAATTAAAAACAGTAGCCCAAACCATCTGTTTTTATTGAAAGCTGGGAAAAACAACAGAATTCCAGTTAAAGGCAGCATACTTCTGTCAAGTTGGTGCCTGCACTTACTGTAGGTTGGCATAGTTACAAAGAGCAACACTGGTTCATTAATTTAACACAAGATTGCAAGGGGGGAATTCATTATGATAAATCATGATGGTGTCAATAGTGTAGGATATTCAGCTGTGAACAGATTTAAAAATGATCAAGAACAGGACCAAAACATTAGTCAAAATGATCAGGAAGTACTCTCATAACAAACATTTTTGCTGCACTTTCTGAGACCAAAATACACCATTTAGCTGACTATAAAGGGGGTGTTGTAGTGATGCTATGTATGTATTTTTGACCATGGAGCTATTCTCTGTATCTTTTCAAATTTGTTTGATCATACCTTTACTGTACTGTGAGTCATTTTCTTCAGAAACGTATTTAATGAAAAATATTTTTTTAGTTAAGAGACTAATCTATTTTGATTATTTAAATTAAGAGAGTAATCAGTTTTGATGATCCAGTTTTCATCAAAAGTGGCAAGATGGCCATGATATTTCTGTGCAACACAACTGAATCACTGAGCTGCTTTATTCCTCCTCATTATTTCTTTCCTTCTCATTCATTTCAAATTCTATATATAGGTTACATGCTTTATTTCACTTCCTGTTTCACTATTTGCTCTGTATAAACAGGTGCATCGAAGGACAGCAGTAATGGCTCAGATGATCAAGGAATTTACAAACTCTGTAGATGGATAAACAGCTCAGCAAGCTGTACAAAGTATTGTGCCATAAAAATATTGTGTAAGGAAAGCATTTCAGAAAATTTGCTTCTATTTGTTGTTTTAAGAGTACTTCAAATTAATAATTTTTAAAGCATGAAGAAAATGTCCCAATAAAATTTGTTTCTGCTTGAAAAGTAAATCATATTTGATCTAGGCAATAAAAACATATTTGATACAGCAAGCAGACTGATGTTTGGTGTTCAGAGGTAGCGAATTTGATTTTGTGCTCAAAGCATCAGTGGGTATTCAAACTACAGATAAGCTTCTTGAAAGAAACTCAGGGGCATTCATTTGGAAAGTCCAGTGATCTCAATATGACTCTGGCAAAAAAACGTCTACCTGGAAAAGGAGTATAAAGTAATTTACTTTGATCTGAGACTCCCTAAACTCTTTTAGCTGGAGAAACCCCCAGTTTAAGATTAAACAGAAAAAGCATGTAATATCATACTTCACCTATCACACAATAGAGAGCAATAAATATAAATATAAGCATCTGTATGGCAAGAGAATAATAAATTAATCAGAACTTTTCTACTAATGAGAATAAAATGGATTTTTCACAATGAGAATTTTCTCGCCACTGATTATATCTTTATAATATATTATTATGTAATATAAATTAGTTATAATATAGTTATTATTATTAGTTATTATTGTGTTTTTTGACAGTCACCTGGGATAGCTCTAAAGACCCTCCTGATCTCATCCTCACTCAGACTCTAAGTTGAGAACTGACTCAACTGAAAAAAAAAGATTTAAAGGGAAACACAAGCTCAGAAAAACCAGAATGGACTTGCTGACCCAACTGTCTTTAAAAATACATGCTAGAGTCTGTCCACAAATCAGTACTTTATGTTTGGATGGTCAATGTGTCATCTGGAAAGCATGTATGGACCACAAGAGAGAGAAGAAAATGTTGCAGTTTGGTTCACTACAGACTCACAGATAATGCTACACTAGGTAAGGTCACAATTCTGCTTTTGATTCCCAAAGACACAAACATTTGATCACATTTTACAATCTGGTTTCTTTTCATAAAATAACTATTATTTAATACGTACATGACCTTAGTCATCCTCACCGAAATTAATTATTTGTGGTAAATCAAGAGAAAACGTTTTGATTAGTGTATTGCCTTTTCTGTTCGCAGTGTTGTAGATAAGTGGTTATATTTAATTGACATGTTTTGCATCAGATATTCATTTCTATGCTGTGAAAGAGAAAAGAAAATTAAAACATGAAAAAAGTTACCTGTGAAAGGCAGAAATATGGTCCATTTTGCTCCCTTGGTTGTTATTAGTTATTGAGCTGAGGATCTAAGAATGTTAATAAGGTTACAACTGAGGTGGCCAGTAGGTATGTTGGATAGTTAAAGTAGTAGTTAATGGATCCAAGAATTGATCCATTAAGATGGGATGCCGGTGCATCGCAGGGCAAACACAAACACCCACAGACTCACATCAGGGCCAATTTTCCCAGAAGGCAATTAACCGACCTTGAGAGAGGAAGCCGGAGAGCCTGGAGGACTCACATGGGACAAACACCACAAAGATAGCACCCCAGGAAATGAATCCAGGGCCCCAGCACTGTGAGGTAGCAATGCTAACTACGCCATCACCATGCCACCCACAGCTTAACTTACACTTACATAGCGCTTTTCTGGACACTTCACTCAAAGTGTCCAGATACAGATAATGGGGACTCCCCTCCACCACTACCAATTTGCAGCATCCACCTGGATGATGCGACGGCAGCCATAGTGCACCAGCACACTCACCACACACCAGCTATCAGTGGGGAGGAGAATGAAGCCAATTCATAGATGGGGATTATTAGGAGGCCATGATTGGTAAGGGCCAGGTTACACTACTCTTTTCAAGAAACGCCCTGGGATTCTAATGACCACAGAGAGTCAGGACCTTGGTTTTACGTCTGATCCAAAGGACGGCACCTGTTTCCAGTATAGTGTCCCTATCACTATACTGGGGCATTAGGACCCACATGGACTGCAGGGTGAGGGCCCCCTGCTGGCCCCACTAACACCTCTTCTAGCATCAACCTTAGTTTTTCCAAAGGGGTCTCCCATCCAGGTACTGACCAGGCTCACACCTGCTTAGCTTCAGTATGCTGCCAGTTGTGAGTTGCAGGGTGATATGGCTGCTGGCTAAACAGAATGTTGTAAACATTCCCCTGTGGTATCCTATTCCCGATCTCCACTGGTCTTCTGACAACTTTCCCTCCATCAAGCCATGATGAGAGTCATTTTGCATGGGGTTGAAATGCACATTCAAGGGGCAGCTTCAGTCCAGTATATCTAGTTTATCTGGTCTTTCTGTAGCCGTTACTGTCTGAAAACCAGATGCCTGGATCTGCCTTGCCAATGGGATAACGTGCACTGAAAAAACCAAGGGTCTTTTATTGCTTGAACACCACTAACACCTATAAGTGCTACAATCCACAATACTTTAAAATCAGCGTCGTTAACATTCACAGTAGTCCTTTAGAATGTCTGTAGCACAACATTTGTTTCTTGCAAAAATCCTAATTTTAAACGATTTTGAAGAACTTCTAAAGTAAAGTTTATATTAGCAAAGAAACAGCCTAAAATGTGCTGCAATAACACCTCTTGAGAATTATGATATAGTAGGAGCAAAGGATTTTCATCTTTTTATGCAACTTTTTTGTTGTTGTTTTCCTCGGGCTGCTCTTATCAACATTGTCATTCGTGTGAAGTCAGCTTTTTCCGGAGGAAAGAAAATATTTGTTTAAACCTCACTGAATGAATCCCATTCATCACCTTTACACAAAAAAGGGATGGTCTGGATTGTGGTGTACTGTATGTAAAAAGCATATTTGTGTCAGAATGTTGTTTTCAAAAACAGTCTATTCCCGTATTAGGGTTCCTGTAAACTAGGGTCTACACCAGTGGATAAGAATTTGAACGTTTTAAGACAATATTAAAACATCGCAGTGTTAGCTAAATCCCTTTTCACTTCGTCTTTTTAAAACATTTTACGTTTTTATCTCTCATTTTATACCATTCACTTCTGTTTTATTGTATTTTCTGTTGCTGATAACTATATCTTAAAAGAAAAAGAATGCTTATTTGTCACTAGAAATGATTGTGAATCTCGTTAATAACATACGATAGGATCTATACCCAGACTGGAACTAACTGGTCTGCTAATTTCTAGATTTTGCACTACTGCACTAACGTATTCATCTTAACTCCAAGAAATTTTATATTTTACCATTTAATGTTAAAATTAAATTAACATTCTGAGATTTTAGCATTCCTCTTGTTTAATATTATAGTATCGTAAAATACAGTTCTTAATTTTAATCTTCATCATAAAATGGATTTCCCCTTTAAACATAAAAAAGGCGGAGTCGATGAAAGGAAAAAACTGAACAGGAAGTGATGCCTTTTTAAAGAGACCTTCCTTTTTTTTCCCCTCTGAAGTGGAGAGGACAGCCATCGCTGGGAGGTAAGATTTCTGTATTCTTTATTCACAGTTAATCAAGGATACCATTTGTATAAATACGATTTACTCGAATTAGGAAGAGAGGTCGACATAGTTTTATAGTTTAGCTAAGGTATACGAGGGAAAAATGGAAGAAACCCTTTTTCTAGAAGTCTTTTTTGTATATGGTTCTTTGTGCTTTGACAGATCGGTGTGATCTTCATTTCCAGCTGAATCTGGGCTTTCATTTTGGGACACTTACAGAATACCAAAATATACATTAAGAAGTCCGACACGTTTTGTTTATGACGATATTGGCCGTATTTAAAAAAATAACGCAGTATAATGTGTGTTATTAGCTAAGTGATCCTGAGTCAGGGGACGAGTACTACAGTATTGGGCAATAAAGAATTCCTGTGGTTTTCATTCAGTTTTCATTACAGACCAGCAGAGTTCAGTATTTTTCTCATTCCGTTTTCTAGCCATTTAAGGTAGAACAGACGGAGTCTTATTCGTCACCCTTTTAGATCAGGGAATGCAATATGGAGCTCACTGAATTTAATCAATTCAGAAGTGAGCTGTAGTTGTGTTGGTTTAACGGGAGTCCTGGTGGAGGGGTGACGAAGATGTTGAATTACCATTACTGGTCTTCGCTTTAATTAAAGAAAACAAACAGGCTCCTCTCATCTTTCCACCCAATCCGTTTTCGTACCGCGACCCTCTCGACTAGCCCACTTCTCAAAACCACAGGCCTTGACATTGAATTGAAATCCTGAAACACGAAGCTGACGGCGCCCTCACTGTTGAAGACTGAAATGTCGGTTTCTCTACTTCTCTATTCGCAGAGAAAATGAGCTGCTGTTTGAGGGAACAGACCTTGATTCTGGCTCGGGATTACATCGACCTCTGCCTGGGGACGACCCGCCAGTCTCCCAGCCCAAACGCCGAAGCGATGCGCAGTCTGGCCAAGGAGATGGAGAAGCAGTACCAGTCCAAATTTAACTCCCTCCTGCACAGTTTCATCGCGACGTGCGGACCCGACCCCAGCGTTAACTTGAAGAAGGTCATGGAGGAACTGGTCGGAGACGGGATTTTAAACTGGGGGAGGGTGGTTTCTCTCTTCACCTTCACAGGACTGCTGGCACGCCAGCTGTACGCCGAAGGAGCGAGTATTGACTGTTTTAAGAGACTGGCCGAAACAATTGCTGACTACCTCGGAGGTGAAAAACGAGAATGGCTGATACAGAATGAAGGATGGGTAAGTCTTATGTATTATAGATAGGTTTGTGTCTTTGTGTGTGTGTGTGGTGGTGTGGCTTGTGATACTGAACTGTTGGTGCCATAAGTCGCTTTAATGGTTTTATTTTGCCCGTACGCAATAGAGGGTCTCCTTCTGGTGTCCTTTTGCTTCTTTATTTAGATTAATTGATGCTGCTGTACACACACAGCAAGTAAGTGCTCTCGGTGCCGATTTCAGTTTCCTTTTGTTAGCTACTGTAGCCGCAGTTTTCCTCGTAATCTCTTGAATGACGTGGCGGCAGTTCTTACTGTATTTAGTTGCCTGTGCCCCCAACCAAATTTCCCCATCGCTATATAGATCAGCTATTACCCTCTTATAAAGCAACGTATTCATTGAGGAAACAAAGGCTGCCCTAACTTGTATTTAAAAAAAAACGGACTACATGCTACATTTTTGTGGTTTGCCTGCTATGTGAAAATGACCGTGTGGTGAAAACCGAAGCATTTTCTGGAATGCGTTTGGTGCCGTCAAAACGGATGTGTAACTTTTAACACTAGCGTTTCCTTTTAAAAATGTAAAAAGACCAGCATGAAGGGATATGAGCAAAAGTTTTGTTTTAGAACTGGATAGGTTTGTGTTCCAGCAGATAACTGTAAATCGTCTGTAGACTTATTAGTCCTGTCTTGAGTTGCAAACACCAGTGTCTTGGCACAGGTTTGTGGTCAGTGATCTCACTGATCAAGGAGTCTATAGCTGTAATGGTAACAGCTGGTAAACTGTTATTCTTCCGCTCATTAATGGTTTTTCCCTGGGCAGATGGAAAGTCTCTGAACATTTTAACCATACCTGATTAGTTTGGGGAAACCTGCAGTGTCTTCAGTTCCAGAATTGCCCACTTTTTCAGCTTACTAGTTAACCTTTCAACAGGGATTCAAGTTTTAAGGGAGGTCAGTTAAGTTTCAAAAGCCTAGGGAAGAAAAATGTTTAACAATTAAGAGACCCTTGTTTAAATGTATTAAGTGGTTAGATTGCTCTCTCTCAAGGCATTGGTGGTTTATTAAAAAAAAAAACTCTGGAACACTAATCTTAAACCTTCAAACAAACCTAGTACATTAGGTACAGGCAGATCAGTGTCAGTGACCCGATGCAGAGTTCAGAGAGCCTGAAAGAAGTCTGTCAGATTAACTGTAGTGGGGAAAGGCTGAGTCCAGTGAAAATTTAAGGTACCTTGACTGTGTCTGCATGCACATACTTGAACTTGAACTTTATTGCCATATGTAACCGGTACTGGTACAATGGAATTCTTACTTACAGAAAGTCTCTCGATTATAAAACAAGTGTAAAAAACAAAGCAAAGTGCAAACAGTGCATCAAGACAATGTGCAAACAATAGACAATGTGCAAGTAAACATGCAGACAGTTTGACTGTAAACAATACAGACGTGTAAACAATGACTGGAGACGTAATACAGCAGTTGAGTTACTACTTTAAAAAACTAATGCATTGCAGTTATCCGTTACATATTTAAGGAAGGTTGTGGGAATTTTTTAAAGGTAATGTATTCTTTTAGATACTGACATACACATATCACACAGATCTCTGTAGACAATTGTTAAACATTTTCCTCCAACTTGGTGTTCATTTGAAAAGTACCCTACACAACCGACTTGTAACTGTAATATGTAACTTTTTTTAAATGGACTTTCCACAACACTGGTTGCTTCAACCTGTTTTAGTTTTTTAAGTTTCTTCAAAACACATCTTTGCTTGGAAAACATGGTTACATTTTATTTAATAGAGGGAATTCTCTAATAGTGACTAATTTCAAGTGCCTGCAGGAAACTGGCTGATGGAACTAGTGAAACATTAACTCTACCAGAGGAAGCTTTATATTAAAAGGTTGTTTGATTTCAGGTTCCATAATGACTAAAAGACAGAAGTTATTGATGTAGACACCTGGCAAACGAGAGGGCAAACAATGCCAGCTGGCCTTTTTTTCTGTCAGTAAAACAGATTGCAGTGAATGGACAGCTGCTTCAGAATGCTCTCTGTGGGCACATTTGGAATTAGTTACTACTTCCCTCTCTGTGTGAGGACAAGTGAGTGCATAATGTCTCCTTTATTTAAAATGTTTGCCCATGAACTTTAATCGTAATCTGAAGCAAAAGTATCCCATTAATCTTGATTTTCTATGGAAATTTTGTGTCTATAATCATCAATATGGAGCCTTTTTTCTAGCACCTAAGCACTGCATGGCAAGACCTCAGTTACTAAAAGATTTGACAGACGAAAGTTGTGCTCACATTTTCCCTTAAACTGTGGTTATTTCGTGTTAAGTGAGAATGTCTTTTGTGTAGGGGCTTGGGGGTGCAGTGTGACCTGTGGAAGGTGAAAGATTTAGAGATTCCCAAGTTCTAAGCACTGCTAAAGACCATCTACTCTATCTGGTGCCACTGTGTTCCATAGGGATTATAGTCCACAAAACTAGTCCTGGAGGGCCACAGAGTCTTTGTGGGTTTTTGCTCCTTCCTTATTCTTCTTAATTAAGTCTTAATTAAGCTAATCAAGCTAATAATTGAGCTTATATGATACCTATATACCACTTCTCAAAGATCTTCAGATGTTGATTTAAAGAAGGTGGATAGTGCCCCTGAAAGACAGAACGTATGCATCTATGGGTCAGACCAGAGGTGTCCAGTCCTAGTCTTGGAGGGCCGATGTGTCGTTCCAACATGGATTTCATGATCTACACCATCTGGTAACTGGCTCAGCTGAACCAATTAAGTAGCTTCTCCCAGCTCTTTTGGTGCTGCTGCTTTAAAGAGACCTGGAAAAACTGCACTCACAGTGGCCCTTTAGGTCAAGGACTGGACACCCCTGAATCCTGAATTAGAATAAAAGTGGTCATGCTGGTGTTTCCTGCTGCATCAGCAGCGAATGTGACAAAACCAATGTCCCTGCTGTCAAGTGCAGATTCCTCGTTCATGTGTTCATGCCCTCTTATCAAGTCTGAGATCTTTAACAAGGTGAGGTTGAGGTCACTAATGGAAAATCTGCATTCACACTTTGTTTTGTCTTTGTGTAGGAGGGCTTCTGCAAATTTTTCCAAACTGCCAAGGAAGTGAACCAGGAATCAACCATGAAGACTGCACTGTTTGCAGCTGCCGGTGTTGGCATCGCTGGGATAACTTTTCTCCTCGTGCGTTAGACTAGATCAGCCTGTGTACTTTTTTTTTAAATCGTTTTAGACGAGAGCATTAACGCATTGAGAGAAAAGGGGGAAACATGCGTAGTGAAACATTCAGTGTTCCAGCATGATGCAAACGTACACAGTACGCAGAGTCTTTGTGTAGGTGATGGATAACATTTTAGATCACTAGTTATAGTCATCATTTGGAATTTTAAAATTCCTTAATTGATCTTTGCACAAATAACTAAAGTTATAGTTAATCTCTTGGCAACATTATTTTTGATTTTTTTTTCTCCTCTTGAACCTTTTGTTTTTACCTCTTTTTCAGAGCACATTTTTCTTTGTTTCTTGCAATATAGACACTCGTCTGGTCTGTATCCAGCACCTACAAATGATTGTCCTGAAAAAAAGTAATTTCCCCTTTGTCCATTTTATATATGAATTGCTTTCTGAAGTTATAAACAAATGGTGCACGTTTTCTAACTGTAGTGCACTGTGAATGGATAACCATTCATATGATTACACTTGTTTTTAAGTGGCTTAAAAAGTGTGTCTTTTATTTAAAATATATTTATATTAAAATACAAATAAGCTCATTTGGTGTATTGGTGACTTGCAAGTGTCATTGCAGGTATGGTACCCATTTCCAAGACCTTTCTTACAATAAGAGAATTAGGAGGTAACAGTCAATTGTAATGTGTATTTTTTCAGTGCTTACTAAACAGCTTATGAGCTCTTGACTTGTTTGCCTAAGTCTATCCAGAAGCATAGCTTCTTTTTACTTTAGCATTGGGTTTTAAATGTTCTTTTTCAGTGCTGCTTTGCAGTGGTGTAGCAGCACATATTTGAATACTGTTCTCTGAGTGTTTACATTGAAGATGGAAAATGTCTCTCACACAACTCTACAATGACAAACATAATTCAGAACAATTTACACTTTTCTCAGTTTTTTATGTTAATTATGGTTAATGACATTCATTTTCTCCATTTATTTATAAGTGTCTTCAAAATAAAAGCAATGTTATTAGATAAACCTTAAGTAACATTATTCTTTGTAATCTCCCTATAAGACTATATTGGTAAAGAAATACGTTTACTATATATATATAAAAGAAAATATATTTCTAAAAAATCTTTGGGAAGAATAAAGTTTGAAAACTACTCAAGTTAAATGGCTAATGTTAAAAACAAATAACCCTGACCAATGGTTTGAATTGCAGAGTGATACACTGTAGAACTAGTCTCTGCATGTTGGCCATGAAACTGAGTCATTCCAGAAGAATGCTTTGCAAAGCATGTCATGCTGTATCATTACACAGTAATTTGAAAGTGTTGTAGGTCTGGTTTCAAACACATTCACCTTTGAAAAAATCAGTGCAGTACATGGATCTCTCTACAAAGTGTGTATGGAGTTATAATTAAGGGTGCAGGTCTGATCTTGAGTTCTGTCTGACATCTCAGAAATAATAAGTCTGTTTCAGAATGTTTTTCATCTTGCTCACTAAATTGTGTATGTTAACCTTAAGATCATTAGTAGTGCACTTTTCAGAGTCTTGCCATGTTAAGAATCAGAATGCAGGCAATTTTGTTTCATGGCTGTGACCGTAATCTGATCACTAGTTGTTCCTCTTCTGTCATTTTAACAGTGTGTCTCTAGGGTTATAAGTTCTATAGAAGTACAATACAGGGTTTTCTTAGTTTTGTGGTGTTCACTGGGTTGTGTTCATAATGTCATTATTTGAGGGGGGAAAAAAGAGGATTGTTATCACTATGGCATCTCTACAGGAAGATCTGCTGTGATTCATCAGGTGTTATATCAATGACTTATAAGGGGGCGACAGTGAGTGTGTGTATAGTAAATCTCTTCCTTTTCCAGTATGCACAAGGGAATGATGCATATTGTAGAGAACGGTGTCCATATCAAGAATCCATATATGGCATGGCAGGAAGAAGAAAATTATCAGATATAACCACACAGTAGGTGGCTGTGCATCTAAGTGAAGCAAAAACAGGATCTGTTATAACAGTGGTGCTTGCTTGTAGTACTGGGGTGTGGGGTAATATTCCCAGCAGTGCTTGCTCTTCAATCCCTGCCCCATGTTTGTATGCTCGCACGCACCTCGGCTGCCATGTGCCAGGTACACTGTGTTTTCTTTTTCATAAATGGGCTTCAAGTGTGGATTCAGTGTCTTGGTCCACCCCTTCACACGTGCGTCCTTTGAGGATACAGACCCCAGTTTTCCCTCTGCTTTGGTGTCACGAGTTATTTGCTGTCAGGCTCTGTTATTCTGACCTCGTCAGATGCCATGCGCTGCAGGTCATAGTGAAGTGTGAGGGATGAATAAGAGGGTCATGAAGGGCAAAGGAAAATCGTGAGAAGGCTTCCAAAATTAAAAGGAAGTTGGTCTGTTTTGGCTGTCCAGAACTGTTGCCATGTGACACAATTTCAACACACCAACCACAAGACCCCTGGACATTATTTTCTTTCCTGCAAGGAAAACGTCAAAGTCGGTCACGTTGTAGTGAATAATACACACAACGCAAGACTCCCAATAAATCCTAACATAATAATCCTTCCCCAGAGTTTAAAGTTAGTATTTTTCTAAGAAGTTATAAAAAAAGCACAGTTTAGTTATTTTGGTTTTCTGGATACCACTTTTTTTTTTTAAGCCTAGGTCGGCAGAAAAAAACAGCATAATCTTGATCCTATAATAATTTCATCCTAACTTCACATTATTTTTTCTGCTTAGTAGTAGAGAATCTTGCTTTTAAAGGCTTCAGTAATAATGGACATTTTAGTTAACTAGCTAATCATTTGTAGAAAACAAAACTGTAATGCCGTAGGCAGAGGTAAGTGTAATTTTGTAAAGTCAATTCTGAGCGATATCAGTATGTGGTCTGTGCGCTACCTGTGGCAGACATTCTCCGATAATATCAATATATGGAGAGGTAAACGCTGACCAGATCACATAAGGGCCATTGAGTTTATTTGTATTTATAATTGTCATGGTCTGTATTTACAGCACACCTTTTGTTGGGAAAGATGAGTTGGAATTTTCTAAGCCTATGGCTATGAACTGTGAGCTCTTGGTCTGATGAAGCAAAGCAGAAATGTGTCCTTAGACATTTTGTGAGATGGGGAAAAAAACAAAGTTGGGACCAATGGCAGCATGTTTTTGTGGTTTTAATCTGGCACATAAAAAGTTTGAATGTTCAAAAGAACAGATATTTTCATCTTCGCTTGACTGTTTGAAAGGGACATTCTTTGGGTCTTTTTTTTAAACTGTATTCCGGTTCTGTGCAATGCATATAAAAAGTCCCCAGTAGTTCATGAACAACAATAACATTACTGCGAGAAATTGGGGAATCTTCTAGTAGTGAGGTAAATTGACAAAAATAGCTGACAGTATTGAAATGACAATTCTGCCTATTGTTTGGTACAACAAATGGTCCACTGTCATTTAAATGATGTAATTTTATGTGGGTTTGTGTGACTTGAAGTCTTGTCTGGAGTTGTAAGAGTTGGGTTCAGAGTGCCTGGATACTGACTGTGGGAAGTGAATGACATTAATAGATTGTGGGTTTCAAAACGGGGATATCAAAACTAGGGCAGATCAACTGGGTTAGAACTGTGCTGAACCTTTTGCTTTTGAAAGTCAAGCTGCTTGATGTTTGGAGCAAGTCATTTTATAGATCTTCTCTCTCAGGTGATTCCCCTGTCAAATCAGGAGAAGCCAAAGAATCTTTTAACTGCTGAATTTCACACAGATTTGAAAGCAATAACAGAATGTGGTTTAAAAATGTAGGGGTTTAATTTAGCTTGAGGACTGCACCACAGAAAAGCTTCAGCTGTTTTTAAATAACATGTTTTGATACAGTATTCCTTTTTTCCATAGTAGGACCCTCTGTAAGGCTATTTTTTATGTATAATACACTGGATGTCAACATGAGTCACATGAAGGCTTGTGACAAGACTAAGTATCATGCCCATGCTTCTTTCTTTTCTTCTTCCTCAACAGGCAAAATCTGGGAAGTTTATGATATTCTAAATTCCCTTAGTATTTAAAGCTTATAAGCTTCTGCTTTTAGTTCTTTTGCATATAACACCAAGAGGTATTAAAAATCAAGTTTTGGAACTGATAACACATTAATTACATTTTTTGCCACACAGTATAATTAAACAAAATATCATATTCTTTTGTCTGTGATCTTTCAGATGTAAGCCTATCACTTTCCTGATTCACAAACACCTTTTTTGCACCTTGTCAGATAGTTTTGTAATAGTCTTTTTGGATCTCTATTAGGGGATGATTTCTATATCTTCGTTGCCCAGCAGATCCTTTGCTTGTCTTGCATGGACCTTTTCTACTTCGGTGATTCTAGCAAACGATTTTTGTCAATCTCTTCTTGTGCCCTGTCAAAGTATTGGTTCTAATTGATTTAATTCCAGAAAGTCACAAGGTATAAATGATATCCAGAACCTGTTATGGAAGAACAAATGAATATACAGTATATTTAGACTCTGCTTTGGATTGAAATTTTTCCTAAGGCACAAGCTGGTGCAGGTACTAATGTGGTCATGACTGGGTGGAACCTCCATCATGAATTTCTCAAGGACTGCAGAGAATCAGAATAACTGAATGAATGTACAGCACTTGGAGAAATATTCCCTCTGGATGACTACAAGTTCCTACAAGCAAGGTTCCTCAGTTTGAGGCCAAACATATTGTTTTGGGGCTTTACCATGCAAAAACCGTGGGATATTCACTTAATGTAAATGTGATTCAAAACATTACATCTAAGAAGCAAATCATTGTTTCAGCCTCTGCTTTTTGGGAAGTTGAAGCAATCAGGTACTATTACTAGACTTTTGATCATGATCTGTTCCAGCATGCACTGCAGTAAAGCAGAGGGATTTGACAACTGCTGGAAACCCAAGTTATACATATCCTACAGTAGGTACTGTAAAACACCATCTGCTTTTCCATTTAGCGTTCTGTGTACTGTATGTGTGAAGACTGATGAGAACACATTGATCTGTCATTACTGGTCTTTCTGTGTAGGTTTTCTGTTATCATTCCTGCATTCGTCTTATCAGACAGCATTTGCAGACTCCCCGATATTCAGTCAGGGTTGTGAAATGGTAAGTCTGGTGGTGGGGGAAGATGCAAACTGATGTTGTGCGAGCTGTAATGGAAATCGCAGCACACCTTCTGATGAGCTGTCTGCTCTTTCTGCTTTCCAAAACATGCAAAGGGATTTCACCCAGTGTATCTAAATCTCCTAAGTGTGAACTTGTAAAACAGCATCTGCAATGATTCACAGGGGCTCTACCGAAGAAAAGGTTAGCTCCCCACATTCGTAGGTTTTCTGGCTGCCCGTAATGTGGAACTGAAATGTCAGACCTGACATGAAAAGTATATGAAGTCTCATTTGTTATTTCTATGATATCATTTGCCAAAATCAGGGTGGTTGCTGTGCCTCGCGTTAGCACATGTGTTGAAACAGGGACTCGTGATGCCCAAAGTGAAATTAGTAGTAATCCTACCCAAATGTAAAAGTTAGGATTCATCTCCTATGTTTACCATTAATTGAG